AAGTTACCGTCAGTATACTTCACCAGATTTCACCTTTCTTATATTTTTCATTACAAGATGATGAACCCGCAATAAATCCTACTGGTACCGACAATATTTTGATTTAGCTCGATGAAAAAGCATTGGATTCCACATCACCTAGTACTCAACTTATGATTGATATGCTCAAAAGCATATCGAATATTAATTGCAAATTGTACAACAGTGCAGAATTATTCCTTGCAGAAGTTAATACTATAGCTAGAACAGGCAGAGTGATACTTGTTACATCTGGATGGTTCGCAGAGAGACTTTTCCCTGAATTATCAACATCTAAGTCCTCACTTTGTTCTTAGTGATGATCGCGAAGAATTTAAATTCTATAAACAATATATTGAACTGTTGCAAAATTATCCATAGACATCGGATAATAGGAAAAAAATGATGCTACCCAGAGAAGAAAGATCGATGAATTCCAATACAGTTATATACCTGAGACAGCAATCAAATGGTATACTAAAGATAGTTTTCTATATCGTTTGGTGAATAAAGTATTGCGATCGTTGGATATGGAACAGATTATTATCTTTCGACCTTTTATCAGAGATTTATGCAAACAACTTCAAACATTACACGAGCAAAACCAATCAGACACACCATTAACAGTGTTTCGTGGACATGCAGATATGACTGTAAAGCAGTTTACGACAATCGAGAGAAACGTTGGTAGTTTGATATCATTCAATGGGTTTCTATCAACTACAAAGGACTTTGATGTTGCATTAGTATATGCTGGAGTTTCATCAGCTCAGAAGAGATCAGTCGTGTTTGAAATTCGAACCAATTACAAGTCGACAAATGTGGTGTTTGCTGACGTTGCAGCATATTCAGAAATCCCAGAGGAAGAAGTTTTATTTAGTCTTTGCTCTGTATTTAAAATTAATAATATTCAAAATGATGAACAAAATGAATTGTCAAAGGTTATTTTGAGCACTCCAAATGAAGATCCAGTGGCTATTCCAGAACAGAGAAACTATCGTTTGCCTTTTCTATACCAATACTGTCGGAAAACATATCTTATCGGAATATGCGCTGTGATCCTTTTCACAATGATAATAACGCTAGGTGCTCTCTTTGGTGTAATACTTAAATTTCAAAATCATAATGGAAGACCATATGACTGTGTTGGTGCGAATTGTGCAGATGTTAGCACAACGTCAGGTAATGCATATTTAGTGACATGTTCTTTACCTAACTTTATCTATTTAATGTGGCACTTATTTTCTTGACACAACGATCGCAACAGCATCAACGTGTATGTGTCTCTTCTCCCTTATTTAAGATGAATATTCGATATTTGAACGATAGCCTATCATATTTTTAATCAGTAGGAGCAGATTGCATTCCAGTTGGATGGAATTATAAAGGCGACTTGATAACAACTGATCAACCTTATGTTCACCTAACTGTCGATCATGATTCAAATGTGTATGTTGCTCACGAAAAAATGAAGAGTTTGGATAAATGGTCGCCTCAAGGTACATTTTTGAGGCAATTATATCAATGTCAATTTTGGAATCGAAGCTTGAATATTTTCAAAATAATAGATGACAATAATGGATCATTGGTGAGCGTAGAATACGATTTTAATCGTATTTTGAAATACTCGAATGGATCAGAATTGGGAGAAACGATCATCACTGGAACACTTCTTCGCATGTTTTCACACACGAAGGCAGTAGATATCGATGCGTATACAATAGCTGTTGATCAAACTGGTTATGTTATCCTGGGTGAATTGCATCGAGTATCAATATGGTCACCCGATGGAAAATTCCATAGTACAATTATGAATAAACATCGAATTCATGAGTCTGTAGGATAAGAAATATACACGAGGAAAATCGTAATTGACAGATTAGGAGATATGTATGCTTATGTCAATCCTGGACGAATAGTAAGATTCAATAGAACTTCTAGTACATGTAAACACAGTATCGTGTGATTGATTTTTAATCGGCAATCTTTTAGTCAACGACTTGTATTTAATTTTGTTATTTTATGGATATTATATGTTGAATAAAAATTTAACAGTAGATGTATTTTGATGAAAGCGAACACAATGTGAGAGAAAACACTAATATTCGATGTGTACAGAAAAAAGAAATGATTGTACTTGAGGTCGAAGCAGAACTTCGAATTTAGAAGATACGAGTGCTACCATTACACCCTCACCCTCGCCCTCAAGGCAACATTTATTTTAATTGGAATCAATTTCAAATTTTTGTATTCGGTTATTTACTGAGTCAACGACATAAAGGTTTCCTTGATGATCAAACGATAAACCGGTTGGATAGAATAATTGATTCAATTCATGTCCATATCCATTCCCACCAGCAACAATACTTCCTTTTTTCGCTCCTTCGATCCAACGCATGACTCGATTATTTCCATGATCCACTACGTAGATTTGATTCAGCTGATCGAGAAGAATTCCTTGTGGGCCAGATAATTGCTTCAAACTATTTCCTTCGCCATTTCCTCCGGCAATAATAATACCTTGTCTTGCACCTTTCAACCATTTCATTACACGATGATTTGCACAATCCGATATATATACCGAGCCATCACGGTCAACAAAGATGGAACTGGGATGATTAAGTTGATTCAAATTCGATCCTCTTCCATTGACACCAGCCACTAATTTCCCATTTCCATCTCCGATTTGCCACTTTCTCACTTCATGTTTCTCGTCATCAGCAGTGTAAAGAAATCCGTCTCGATCAAGCGCTAAGCCAGAACATTGTATTTTAGCGATAATCACTCGTTCTGCCTGTTCCTTATCTCGAAACCATTGAACAATTCGTTTGTTTCCATAGTCACTAATGATAAAGCAATTCTTTTCTTTGTCAAGAATCATATCTCTCGGTGAATTCAACTGATTCATTTCTTTCCCTTTTCCATTTCCACCAGCAACAGTTTCGCAAGGACATTCATTTGATCTCCATTTCACAATACGATCGTTGTCTGAATCAACAATATAAATTGTTTGATCGTCAATCAATATGCTCGAACGATTCATTAACTGATTTCCTGCAGTTATGTCAATCCCAAATTCTTTCCATCTCGTGTCTAAATGAGAATTTATCTGAATGGTGACAATCTCAATCGCAATACTCCTTACTTGATCGATCAATGAGATTAATTTTGTTGATAAATAATGTTGGATTTTCTTCAATGAGAATGTATTTTGGTTGATTGAGTTCTTCGGTTAATTCAATCAATCTTTGTTTGAGTTCATCACATTTCTGTGTGTTATGAATCTGTTTCAATTGTTCGGTTATACCGGCAAATTGATAATCTATTCGTCGAAATGATTTCTTCAGCGATATGATTGCTTCTCGTCGACATTCTTCAGCTGCTTGTCTTATTTTATTGATGGAATCATTTTCCCATTGATCAATTTGTTTCATCAACGAATGTTCTGGCAAGTTTTGTTTAAATTCAACAAACTTTTGTAAAAATAACTCTCGTTCATTTTCCACGGCTTGAATTTCTTCACTGAGTTTCTGCTGCTCTGTATTCTTGGCCATGATGAATAAGTTTGAAATTACACGAAGAAATGTGCTCCTTAGATGTAATTGCACAAGAAAAACAAAATGTTTCACAATATTTGCAATAACAAGTATTTCATAAGATAGCTTTATTCGAACATAAAAGCAATAATTATGAGATCAAGTAAGATTAGTTCGCTATGATAACTGATGTCTCATTTCGATTGTTGTATTTGTCATGGGCTCAACAGTAGAGTTCATTTTGTTTTTTCGTTCCATGATAAAGTGATGCACAAGTCGATAGATAAGTTCACACAATTCAATCACACTCAGCGCGCTCAATCCGATCCATATAAACAGTACGTAATTGAGAAGAAATGTTAATTTTCAAACGAGAATTTCACGTTCTACTTACAATCCTGATTGTCCGCCAATGGCAGAGAAAGTATCGATTACTGTTAGTTTAGCTTCTTGATTATATTCAATAGTATATTTGCTGCTACACGATACTTGAACTTTCAGATAATTTCGATCGAAATAATAATCAAAATTTTGTGCAATATTACTGGGAAGTAAAACGCTGACATTGGATGATGGATTTAATATGATCTTGGACCAATATTCTCGATCTCCTTCCGACGGCGCATCTTGTGCGCTGACAGTCGTTTGAAAGTCGATGTGTTTACATTGAGAAGCGCATCGCGAACACCATTTTGATTGAAGCGAATCGTTCGATACTAATCGTTGTCTGGCAAGAATCGCACACGCAATTTGGCCAGTGAATATGTTACAAGCCTTCGCCGAAATAAGAACATTATCATTCGTAAATATCTTTCGAGTGAAAAATGGAATAGGAAAAATACATGAGCATTGAGAATATATATAAGATTGTTGACATAATTCTAAACATAATGATTCAGAATAGACAACCTCGGTTGAAGCAATTGGATCGAGAAATGTTGATGCATACAGATCACGTAGATCATCACTAACAGCTGTTGTACAATTCGAATAAGGAGCTGCTAAGAATGTGGTTTCGCTTTTTTGGTATGTTATCAAATGTGATGCACCTGGTCGGAGAAAAATACCTGTTTCAGTTGGCACAGGAAGCTCATCATTATCATGCAGAGTTATAAGAACGCCATTATCGTACCATATCGAAGGGAAAAAGAGCTCTTGTGGAATATAAAACCACAATGTGAGACCATCTCGTGCAACCAGTGTCTCGCCATAGTCATTCACTGTAAACACTGTTCCTGATGCTTTCCAGTTGAATGTATAACAATTACCCATGACTGGTGATACCGATACTGTAAATGCATTCGAACAATCAATTCCATTATAATCACAGTTGAGTAAGACATCACTCAGCTGAAAACCGATTGAAACCAATTCATCGGTTTGATTTCGAGTGAACAAATCGACGATGAGCGGAATCAACAGTGAATTGAGAATGGTCTGATTAGCTGTTAAGTTAGATGATGTTAAACGATGATAATAAGAAACTAATGATTGGTTTATGTTATCGTATCGATAAGGATTTCCATTGCAAATAGTAACAGCAGGAAATGGCATGCGACGATCGAGTCGTATGTCAACTTTAGTTTGCGTTGGATAAGAACAATACTGTAGAATATTTGATATAACAAAATAGAACATCATACCGCATGTTACAGTGAATGAAAAGAACCAAAAGAGTCGATTCAATGTAGAATAAGCACGACCTACACTGCGTAGGCCATGTGTTGAAGTGGCAATTAAATAATCGAGTACAATCGATTGACGACGTTGTTCAATGAAATTTTTTGAGCTGGTGGAGCCACTGATATCATCCATCGGTCGTGTAGCGTGAAAGATTTTATTTTCTTAAATGATACTCACTGAAATGACAAATAGCACTTTCAATTTACTTTTAAGTTGTCAAAGAGAAATACTTAATTAATCGAGAGTTGACCGAATTTCGAGCAATGTGAAAATTAAATCGTCCTTTATGACTTTTTCTGATGAGAGAAAAACTTTAAAAATGACAAGGGCGGATGTTGTTAGCAATTATAATAGATGTATTCTCTCTTATTATAAACTTTATCTTCACGATTCAGAAAAGATCAAAATGTAGATAGTTCAGTGGAATGCGTGCGGATTGATCACGAGTGTCACCTTAGCATACGACAAATACCATGGAGACACCTTTGCTCTTTCCTTGGAAAGTATACTTGATACAATCAGTTCGTTGGGAGCTATTTGAAAGATAGATTGACCCATATGTACTTGTACTCTATCATCGATTATAAGAGCCACTTGTTGTGTATCACATTTGAAATGGATGACGACAAAAACATCTCCGTGTTGAGTAGGATCGAAATAGGCAATGATAGTCATGTTTGATCGAGGTCTGATTACATCAGTACTGATGCTGACTGTGGTAGAAGGTGAAGTTTGAGTGTTCTCGTATGTCAGAGTGACAGTAGAGTTGTTAATCATGATCAGTTCCAGATGGTTCTCGGGAGGCAATGCAACCACAATGAAAACCATCGATAGTATAAGAGCAGAGATCACGACGCGTAACATTCTGTAGTGTAGTCAACAATGACCGATTTTACTTACACAGAGGTCTTCGTTTTCTGCGTCGTATAAAGGGAGAACATAGATAAACACAAAACATTTTATCTAAATTTACATTCTTTTATTTCACAACATCAACACACACATCATCTATTATATTTTCGTTTCAAAATGATATCGGTCATGTGCCGACTGATTGTATAATCAAACAGGAGTTTTTCGAAATCAATCATTGTCTGTAGTTGTTTGACCGTTTCATCATCTGCTAATGGCATGGCAAAGGATAAGAATTGCAATGGATGATCAGAAATTTTCAATAGAATAATTCGTAGAAATAGATCTATGTCTAAACTACCGATAGTACCAATTTTAAGATACGTCATTTGTGGACAATACGTAAGAAGGAAACAGATTTCTTCAATATGATTCATTTGTTCTAAATAAATTTTCGTGATTTGATTTTCTTTTGAAATTTTCTTTAAAATTTCAAGTTCATCATTTGATAAAGATTTCGCTTGCGTTGTTGATAAAGAAGATATTTTCAATGCAATGAGTTTTGGTAACAGATTCAGAATTTGAATTAATTTCTCAATGGTAATGTAATCAATTTCTAAATAACCGATCTCTCGAATTCCGACGATTTTTCTAAAGAAAGTGAGGAAATCGTCCGAATAAAGCTGATTTTTCAGCATAAGTCGCAATGTTAAATTGTTGTCAATGTCATCCAACGTAAGTTCGTACCATTGTTTCCTAACAAAGAAAGTGTATTCATATATTTCTAAGAGAAACTTGACGCATATACTTATAAGGATAAATGCTGACGACAATATTGCGTTTATTGACTACGATATTCAGTATCCATTGTCGTTGAACCCAAAATGGAGCATAAAACCGATTAAGTTGAATGTTGCCTTCCAAGATTTCGCATCCATTGGAATTAAAGTTCCATTCTGGATACGTCAAATGACATATTTTCAATTGAGGAAAATGTTTTTCGATCAAACTCGCCCATTGGTCGGCGTCAAAACGAGTTACACCGTGAAAATCCGGAATGTAGTCAATCTTGCATCGAAAGAATCGTAATTCAGGAAGACGAATCCTTTCTAAATGTAACCTCAAAGCATCGAATTTCGTTTCACATCTTTCAATCACAAGATGCGTCAAGTTTTTCAAAATAATCGGCACGGTATATTCAACATTTTCTTCTTCCGCGTCCAGCTGGTCGTCGACTACGTACGCCAATATTAAACGGCGAAGTTTCGGCGTGTAAGTAAGAAAAGGATATACTTCTTGAAAACTGCACGATTGACCCATGAAAAGTCGTGTGATACCGCTCATTTGCTTAGGAGTAGAAATCGATAAGAGACGTACTTTTCGATTATCGTGGATACCTGTATCGAACTCGAAAGAGTTTAATTTTGGTAGAGCAAACGCCAGTTGATACGCATAATTGATTTGTTTTAAAGTCAACGAAGATTGTGTATCAATTTTAAGGGAAAACAAACGCGGTAATTCCCTTAGGTTTTGTAGAAGTCTATAAAGTGGATCTGCTTCGATGGTGTAGAAGACAAGCGATTCGAGACGAATGTATTGTGAGTTGACAATGAATAATGACGCGGTAAGATATTGCGAATCGTTGACATCTATATGGATGGAAAGTATTTGGGACTGATGATGACGCATGATTTGACGGTAACTCTTTGTGAACATTTCGTACGACGTTGATTCATTCGATATGATTTTGTACGCAAGTGAACACGAGCGAAGTATTTGCTGGAAACGAAAATTTAGATTTGAAAATGCTTCATATATTTCACATCCGGCAAGATAATCGAAGATTTCATAAAAACATTCGTTCGATAGATTTTCAATGGTACTTATCGATCGACCATTTTCAGCTAATTTCATACAAAACGAATCAAAACTTTTTTTCATCCGAAACCTTACTTCGTAATCTTTTCTTTACACAATCGACGGATGATCTTCGCTTGATGCTCATCATGAGATTGACCTCCAAGTGATATAAATACCCGCTTTCTCAATCAGAGAAAGGAACCCATGGCTATTGAATTACAACGCCGACCAATCGAAATTCATTTGAACGTGAATATCATTCGACTCCATCTTCAGGATATACAGATGAATGAACGATCTACTCGTCATCTTTGTTTTTTTCTTCGTGAGAATGACGCAAGTGAAAAATATTTCATTCTGTGTTAATCAAGATAACAACATTCAGTCATAGCTTTATTTTAATTGAAATAAATGTTAATTTCTTCAGGAAATCAACAGGAAGACAGTAGAAAGACTGTAGGAGTTGTCTGTGATTATAAGATGCATAGTTTTGACAGACAAACTTGTCACAATGAATAACAGCGTTGGAAAGCAAGAAAGTTCTTTACCGTTTCAAGTTTTGTATTTTACTCATTTTACAAATTCCGTCGATCATATTTTATTTGTTGATATTCACATTCTTTATTAAACATACTGCAATTTTAAAAATAACAAAAAATAAAGGTCTATCGCTTTCGTTTATAGTCAACTTCTGTGAAGCAGCATTTGATCTACCGATGATAATAGATTTCTATCGATTTGGCTATGTTTACCCGACAACATCAGCCTATTGTACATGGTGGACATTTTTTGAATATACTCTCAGTGTTTCAAGTGAATTTCTCATGGCAGTTATTTCCGTTCAACGTCATATATGTTTATATTCAATGAAAATCTCTTACGTGTCCGTAGAAAACGTTTTCTATACCATTATTGTCCACTATTTCTCGCAATTGCGTATCCAACATTTCTTTACTTAGGTCTTGTTGTCATTCATCCATGTGATGGTACTCAATGGGATTATGCATCCATCTTGTGCGGTCTAAGTAATTGTTATCTTGAAAATAGTTATCTGTTAGCGATACTGGACTGGGCGTTAGACAATGGAGTGCGACTACTAGTTATTCTTGTACTTATCCTGCGAGTTGTTTATAAAAAACGTCGTTTACAACAATCTGTATCGTGAAAAAAACAGAGACGTATGACAATTCAATTATTAATGATTTCGTCTTTGTATTTTATCGCAGTGATCGAACAAATTGTGGACTCAAGATATGTCGCTAAAATTCAGTCCAACTACGTTTTTGAATTTCTCTATCTTGCTTGTCTCTTAATGCCAATACTTTGTATTGCAATTGTTCCAGAGTTTTACCAATGGCTACGCAGGTTGTCTGGACTACAAGTGCTAGCAAACAATAACATCGTACCACTACGATCGATGAACATATAGTAACGAGAAGATGATATATTTTCATCTTGGATGAGCTATTTACGAATAGAGGCAAAAAAGTTTGCAATATCTTTCGCTAGGCTATAGACTAATATAATATAAAAGATGTAAATTGCGGTCGTGGGCAAATATGTGCAAGAAAGAAAACTTGTGCAGTCGCCATCAAGATGGTGCAAAAAGTGAAGACGGAGAGAACGAAGAAAAATATCAATAATTCATGCCCATACACGCACATGGTATATTGCTAGTCCGATTATTCTTGCTTCTCACAGCACGCTTTCTCTTTTTCTTGTGCTTCCTTTTTTTTGTTATTTACATCCAATTTGTTTGTGTTATACTTCCTACAAATAGTAGACGAATGTTTTAACTTTTTTTTTCATTTTTTTGTTTTTTTCGTCGCAAAACTTTGCTATGCGTATTCAGAATTCTTTTTAGCACTAACATGATCCAATGGATCACAAGACGAATGTTCGGAGCTTTTCAGTATCCTTCTCTTTCTAGTTGTGAAACATCTTTTTCTTACATTGACCAGTTGTCAGCAAGATTCGAGTACTTCCAAGACGAATTCGCCAAGGTGTGCTTTTCGAACTTGATCGCACTGACTATAAGCAGAACTTGACTCGTAATAATTTTTACTGTACACCTTTAAAACAGTTATGAATATAAGAAATTCAGTATTGTTTACTCAAGTTGGTAAGTTCCAGTCTCGGTTTTACTAAAACGAGTCAGAAAAGCGCTATTTGGAGAATAACACCAACTTGACGGAACTGATCGAAGGCGGAACATTGTTTCTCTCAAGAAAACTGTGTTTTAGACATAAATTAGTTCATTATGAATAACAATGATGCTAAAAATGTTTTTATGGACGAACACGTTTCCTTTTGGGTCGAGAAACAGGGTGATAAAGGATTGATATTCAAATGGCATGAACGTAATGAAAACGACGTAGTTGAAGTTTTCGACCATTTGAGCACGTCCGCAGGTAATACGCAATCATCAGTGAGGTCAAACGCAACTGATCTTCCAACTCACCTTAAACATTCGTGCTCGAAAAATAGCAATAATATTGAGGTGATTTGGTTAGATAGTAATGCTAATAATAACGACGATTGCTTAGATACACAAGCTAGGCTTGATACACTCATTCAATCTTCACAGGTATTTTTGGATTCGGACGAATGTGTTGATTACATTGTATCCAGTGATGATCGCGCAGTCTTTCTTGTCACATCAGGTTCGCTTGGTCGTATTCTGGTTCCACTTATTCATAACACTGATCAGATTATTGGCNCTTTCTAAATGTAACCTCAAAGCATCGAATTTCGTTTCACATCTTTCAATCACAAGATGCGTCAAGTTTTTCAAAATAATCGGCACGGTATATTCAACATTTTCTTCTTCCGCGTCCAGCTGGTCGTCGACTACGTACGCTAATATTAAACGGCGAAGTTCCGGCGTATAAGTAAGAAAAGGATATACTTCTTGAAAACTGCACGATTGACCCATGAAAAGTCGTGTGATACCGCTCATTTGCTTAGGAGTAGAAATCGATAAGAGACGTATTCTTCGATTATCGTGGGTATCTGTATCGAACTCGAAAGAGTTTAATTTTGGTAGAGCAAACGCCAGTTGATACGCATAATTGATCTGTTTTAAAGTCAACGAAGATTGTGTATCAATTTTAAGGGAAAACAAACGCGGTAATTCCCTTAGGTTTTGTAGAAGTCTATAAAGTGGATCTGCTTCGATGGTGTAGAAGACGAGCGATTCGAGACGAATGTATTGTGAGTTGACAATGAATAATGACGCGGTAAGATATCGCGAATCATTGACATCTATATGGATGGAACGTATTTGGGACTGATGATTTGACGGTAACTCTTTCTGGACATTTTGTAAGCCGTTGATTCATTCGATATGATTTTGTATACAAATGAACACGAGCGAAGTATTTGCTGGAAACGAAAATTTAGATTTGAAAATGCTTCGTATATTTCACATCCGGCAAGATAATCGAAGATTTCATAAAAACATTCGTTCGATAGATTTTCAATGGTACTTATCGATCGACCATTTTCAACTAATTCCATACAAAACGAATCAAAACTTTTTTTTTCATCCGAAACCTTACTTCGCAATCTTTTCTTTACGCAATCGACGGATGATCTTCGCTTGATGCTCATCATGAGATTAACCTCCAAGTGATATAAATACCCGCTTTCTCAATCAGAGAAAGGAACCCATGGCTATTGAATTACAACGCCGGCCAATCGAAATTCATTTGAACGTGAATACCATTCGACTCCATCTTCAGGATATACAGATGAATGAACGATCTACTCATCTTTGTTTCGTTCTTCGTGAGAATGACGCAAGTGAAAAAGATTTCATTCTGTGTTAATCAAGATAACAACATTCAGACATAGCTTTCTTTTAATTGAAATAAATGTTAATTTCTTCAGGAAATCAACAGGAAGACAGTAGAAAGACTGTAGGAGTCGTTTGTGATTATAAGATGCATAGTTTTGACAGACAAACTTGTCAAAATGAATAACAGCGTTGGAAACCAATTGGAAAGCGAGAAAGTTCGACTTCTTTATCGTGTCAGGTTTTGTATTTTACTCATTTTACAAATTCCGTCGATCATATTTTATTTGTTGATATTCATATTCTTTATTGAACATACTGCACTTTTGAAAATAACAAAAAATAAAGGTCTATTGCTTTTGCTTATAGTCAACTTCTGTGAAGCAGCATTTGATCTACCGATAACAATAGATTTCTATCGGTTTGGTTATGTTTACCCGACAACATCAGCCTATTGTACATGGTGGACATTTTTTGAATATACTCTCAGTGTTTCAAGTGAATTTCTCATGGCATAGTTATTTCCGTTCAACGTCATATGTTTATATTCAATGAAAACCTCTCACGTGTCCGTAGAAAACGTTTTCTATACTATTATTTTTCACTATTTCTCGCAATTGCGTATCCAACATTCCTTTACTTAGGTCTTGTTGTCATTTATCCATGTGATAGTACTCAATGGGATTATGCATCCATCTTGTGCGGTCTAAGCAATTGTTATCTTGAAAATAGTTATCTGTTAGTGACACTGGACTGGGCGTTAGACAATGGAATGCGACTACTAGTTATTCTTGTACTTATCCTGCGAGTTGTTTATAAAAAACGTCGTTTACAACAATCTGTATGGTGGAAAAAACAGAGACGTATGACAATTCAATTATTAATGATTTCGTCTTTGTATTTTATCGCAGTGATCGAACAAATTGTGGACTCAAGTTATGCTACTGAAATTCAGGCCAACTACGTGTTTGAACTTCTCTACCTTATTTGCCTCTTAATGCCAATACTTTGTATTGCAATTGTTTTAGAGTTTCACTGATGGCTATACGCATGTTGTCTGAAATACAAGTGTTAGCAAACAATAACATCGTACCACTACGATCGATGAACATATAGTAACGAGAAGATGATATTTTTCATCTTGGATAAACTATTTACGAATAGAGGTAGAAGAGTTTGCAATATCTTTCGCTAGGCTATAGACTAATATAATATAAAAGGTGTAAATTGCGGCCGTGGGCAAATATGTGCAAGAAAGAAAAAAGTTGTAGTTATCCTCAAGACGGTGCAAAAGTATCAACAATTCATGCATACCCACGCACATGGTATATTGCTAGTCTGATTATTCTTGCTTCTCACAACACCCTTACTCTTTTTTTTGTGCTTTCTTTTTTTGTTCTTTAACTTACATCCAATTTGTTTGTGTTATGCTTTCTACAAATAGTAGACGAGTGTTTTAAGTTTTTCTTTCACTTTTCTCGTCACAAAACTTTGAGATGCACATTCAGGATTCTTTTCAGTGTCTTTCTCTTTCTAGTTGTGAAATATCTTTTTCTTACATTTACCAGTTTTTAGCAAGATTCGAGTACTTTCGAGACGAATTCGCCAAAGTATGCTTTTCGAACTTGATCACATTAATTCTAAGTAGAATTTGATTCGTAATAATATTTTTATTCTACACCGTTAAAACAGTTATAAATTGAAGAGATTCAGTTTTCTTTATTCAATTTAGTAATCTCGAGCTTCAGTTTTACTAAAACGAGCAATAAAAGCGTTGTGTGGAGAATAACGTCAATTTCAAGGAACTGAATGAAGGATGAACATAATTTCTCTCCACAAAACTGCGTTTTAGATACAACTCGGGTCAAAATGAATAAAAATGATGAGAAAGCTATTTTTACAGACGGAAAATTCTCTTGTTGGATAGAGGAGCAGGGTGATCTCAAAATCAACTTCGGATGGCATGAACATAATGAAAACGACGTAGTTGAAGTTTTCGACCATTTGAGCACGTCCGCAGGTAATACGCAATCATCAGTGAGGTCAAACGCAACTGATCTTCCAACTCACCTTAAACATTCGTGCTCGACAAATAGCAATAATATTGAAGTGATTTGGTTAGATAGTAATGCTGATAATAACGACGATTGCTTAGATACACAAGCTAGGCTTGGTACACTCATTCAATCTTCACAGGTATTTTTGGATTCGGACGAATGTGTTGATTACATTGTATCCAGTGATGATCGCGCAGTCTTTCTTGTCACATCAGGTTCGCTTGGTCGTATTCTGGTTCCACTTATTCATAACACTGATCAGATTATTGGCATATATGTATACTGTGCGAATGTGGGTACTCATATTCAATGGGCACAACGTTATGTCAAAATATACGGCATTTTCAATGAGAAGAATACGCTGTTTACGAAGCTCATACAAGATCTTGAGTCATTCGATACGTCATTCGACACTTTTAGTATGTCAGGTATGATAGATACGAAAAAAGAAACATCAATAAAAGATTTAAGAGCTAAAGAGCAATCTATAGTTTGGTATCAATTGATTATCGAAGCATTATTACGTTTGGAGGATACATCAGATGAAAAAGCAGAGATGGTCGCCGAATGTCGAAAACATTATGTCAATGATGAGATTGAATGTTTAAAAATATGTGACTTTGAAAATAACTTTACTCCAAATGATGCAATTCGATGGTATACAAGGGACTCGTTTTTATATCGGTTATTCAACAAAGCAATGAGAACGCAAGATGTTCCCTTTATTTACAAATTTCGTTTTTTCCTAAAAGCACTGTACAATCAATTGGCGCGTGTTTATAATTGTGAAACGATCCATGCGCAGCCGATTAAAGAAGTTTATCGAGGTCAAATGATACGTATCGAAGAACTACAACGGTTAAAAGACAATGTTGGTTATGCCGTTTCCTTCCATTCATTTCTATCGGCAACGAGAGACAAACAAGTTGCAGCTATTTTCTCTGGCAATGGTAAAGGCCGACCATTTTTTGAATCGGTCGTTTTCTGCATTAAAATACTTGGCGACTTTCATCCGTATATTGAGACAAACTTGCGTGTAATGAATTCGGCAGGAATCGATGGAAAACCATTTGCAGATATTACGAACTACGCAACCTACGGTGGAGAACAAGAGATCTTATTTGCAATGGGATCAGTGTTCAAAGTATTGTCTATTAAGCTAGTTGATAACATCTGGTATGCTAAGTGTAATTTCTATTCCGGAGGAATAGGAAATTTCTTGAGATACGAATTCAGATCGTGGAATGTCCTTCTTGGATATAACCCTCGAATGGACGTTATCGGAGATTTCCTACTTCAGCTAAATAATTACGCCGATGCGATTACTTTTTATATTTCCTCAGCTAAGGATCAATCGGATCACTTAGCAGTTGCATGGGCAAATTATAAACTGGGAAGATTATACATGCGAAAAGGTGAATATCAGACTGCTCTTGATTACTTGCAAAAAGCAGAGAATTTGATGTTGCTGCATGTGGATATCACAGATTTTTGGCTAAAAAATGTTTTTGAGACAACTGGCGATACCTACATGCGACGTGCTCAACAGCAATCTGATCCTAAGAGCGATTATGAATATGCCATAGTAAATTATAAAAAAGCGCTTAACACTGTCATTAAGAAAAAGGACAACGGAGTGAAGCAAAATCCATTAGAATTTCAAGCAACTAAAGTTATCTTAGGTTCAAGCAACGAAGAAGTTATGCAAGCTGAAATTAGTTACAAGATATTCAAAGCTTATTGCCAGATGAACAACCATGCAGACAGTGAATATTTTAGAGAAGTATTCTTAACAACCCTTCTTTCAAATTCGATATACAGTTATGAACAATCAAAAATCAATACGCATGAAGTTTTTACTGCTGGTGTAGATTCCAGAACAGCAGATACCGTAGCAATTCGACAGCGGTTATTCAGTCATGTATCTTACATTGTAGAAGGAGCCGTGGTACCAAATCATCTTGAAATGTACAAGAGATGTACTGAATTAATTCGGTTGGCTATCGAAGAAGAAAAGAAACTAATTCTTTGCAAATTTCTATCAGACATGTGTTCACCATTTTATCCTAATCCATACGATATTCTCATCTTTTATCACAAGTACAATCTATTCAGCGGTAGCAAATACGAGAACGATTACTCACAGTATATCATCCACCAAAAAAATATTCTTAACGCTGATTGCTCAAATGCTCCATCTGGATTCAGTCTGTATATGCGTCTATCTCTCACAGATTTTTATCTAGACACTACGCTTGAAAAAAGATTAGCTTCTGAAGAACTGGATCAAATATTCTTAATTCAAATGATGGATTTTCATTCTGCTCTGTGGATTCAAAGGCGAGACTTGCTTAACATAAGCAACGGTTCCTGTTTTGATTATCAAGAAAAATTTGTACTTGCAAGATACTATTCATATTACGAAAACCCACCTACATCCATCGGCGATGCTTATCAGCGCTTGCGAATGTATGAAAGTCAGTTGAAACTTCTTATAACAATGGATCTAACTAAAGCAGCTCTAGCAAATCCGTATCGAAATATCGCTCGAATCTATAGTTACCTCTACGAATACGCAATGGCGTTGGAGAACTATGAGAAATGTTTAGAAATTGTTCATACACATATGTCACCGAATGTTTCATTTTTGAGAAGAACATATGCACTTATCGCGCATGAAATTGTTGAACTTTATTTAAATACGAATGCTGTTGCACATGCAAGGGATCTTATGAAGTTATGGCTTAATTTTGCACACAAATATGCCGTTTCTGATCATGTACAACTTGCTGCTGTATACTCTCGTTTAATTGATATATGTATGCGACAAGAAGACTACGATTTATGTTTGGAATATGCAGAGCAAGAATTAATGCATCTTCAATCAGTGCAACAGCCTGAGAATGAACGTATAATGGAGTGCAAAGAAAAACTAGAAAGTTTTAGAAAGCAACGTTCTACTTGAAAGGAGAACCTGCCAATACAATAATAATTGAATAAAGAAAGCCTTTTCTTAGCGAAGAGATGTCGTTAGGAAATGTTTAATGTTTTGATTTAAAACGATATGAAGGATTCTTTTTGAAGTCAATACAGCCATCGCATGCACAAAATTGATCACCTGTTCCACAATAGCCGCCGTTGGAACAGCAGTGAGCATTTTTGTCGTCGGGATTACAAATCGGAAAAGTATGACCAGTGATTGGAGGAATGTCCGCACCGCATCGACCTCGCTTGCCGTCCGGTGCATCGAGTAAGTACCAGAGTGGAGGATCAATCGTTGGTCGAACCGGTTCTTCGGTTAAGAGATTAGGATTTTCTTCGTAATTGATTCCTAGTCCTGTACAGTGCTTATCCGATTTACCACAGTAACCCTCGGGTGAGCAACAGGAGTAGCCAGGATCGTCGGGATCACAAACCGGATAATAACCTTTGTATAGCGGAGCTGACCGGCCACACATGCCTGCTTTCTCTTCGCTATCTTCCATTGTCCACCAACGCTTTTCGTCAAGAGGCGAGCATTTATAAGAGTACGATGACGGATTTGTCTGTTTGCATAGTGGTGCATCGCCAACTATTTTCATCATTGTTAGATTGGAATCATCTTGATCGATCGCCCAGATCATCAGACCCCCTAAATTATTGTCCGCAGCGTAATCTGCTTTGTATTTCAATGACCTTGGACTTTCGTAACCTAAATAGATTTGTTCTTGATTGTTGAAAGCAAACGTTGATTTCGTCTTTTCATGAAACTGTTCTCGGTAATTTGCATTGGTTAACCATGATTCTTTAATTTCATTCCAAGGAGCGAAACCGCCCACAAATCTACCGTTTACTGCCGATGCTCTTCTCCACATCGGATCACTCGGATCGATCGATTCTCGATCAACATTTCGCCAAAAGCGACCATAAAATGGAACTCCCATATTGATCTTATGTGGTTGCTTTGTCTTACATACGTAGTATTTCACTGTCCAATGCACATTCGTTTTGCCTGAAAATCGAGGAGGCATACCGAAATACAGAGGCGCCGGTGGTCCTGTATATGCACCCCATTTGGATTCCCAAGCACCAAAGAAATCGTAGGTCATGATATTAACGAAATCCGCGTATTTCAATAGCCCGGGTAAATCAAACCCCGGATCGAGCGTCCATTGACCAGCTGCCGAAGCAAATGATAGCAAACAGCCAGGCCGATGTCTGTCTAGAGCTTGTCGTAGTTCTCTCATGAGTATAACATAGTTTTGTTTATCTTGTGGTACACCTTCGTTAGCACCTCCTGTGACGGGATACTCCCAATCGATATCAATCCCATCCATTTGATGCTCGTCGAGTAATTTTAATGCCGAAGCGATGAAACGAACGCGTTTCTCGGGTGAAGCAGCAATAGAACTGAAATATTGCGAATTTTCCCATCCGCCGACCGCAAACATGTACTTTATATCTGGGAAGGCATCTTGCAGACGTTTAAGACGATCCAAACGTTGTCGAGCAATTCTTGTGTCTTCTTCAACATTTGCACTGTGTGTTCGATCGGCACTACCCAAAAGTATATTACCGTTAGCTTCCACTTCGAAAAATGCAAAGATAATGTGTGTTAAACGGTGCGCATGCTGAGAAGTTATCTTGCCTGTACCCCACGACGGGTAATACCCAATAATACGTTTACCACATTTCGCTGCTTGACTAATATTATCACCTCCTTCATCGGATGATTCATCATCACCTTCGTCGTCACCTTCGATAATGTCATAATTTGCGTCGTCGAAGATACTCAATGAGCTTAAACCGAACAAAGCGGCCATGCCTCTGGCTTCTGCCGGTGTGCAACCTCGTACTTCTCTATTTTCTTCATCGACTTGACGTTTTGATTTTTTCTGCTTTTTCTGCTTCGGTGGTTTATTATCACGTTTCTTTTGATCCATCATTAGATCTGTATGCCAAATATCAGCTTCTTTTTTATCTAACGACATTGCCGATGCACACTGAGCGCCATTGACTGTCAAACCACTTGGTCGTCCTTTAACTGCATCTCGGTATCCGAACAAGAAGGGATTTCTTGCTACAAAATAATATGGATCGGAGCTAAGGTGTGCTATAATTTCCCCTTGTGAAACAGGCGTGAAAATTTTGATGAATTCTGCTCGATCTTTTCTTGTTAATTTAGAATTGTCCGATATGAAACCTACAACATGTGTACGACCGTTTCGGTTGTAACAGATCATTTTCCAGAAGCAGGAAGGTACAGCGACACCGCCGACAAGTTTGGTTCTGCCGCGAGCTTTCGGACAAACACCAGTGACGACGAGACTTGGCGGATATTTATGATTATGACATCGAATATGTGCTTCAATCATGCGCCATGGAACTTGATTTGTAATAGCGTTTTGCGGTGCGAGATTAATACGTAAATTGGAACTGAATGATGCGTCACGAGAATAACTGAGGATTTCACTCGGCGTTAAATGTCCGTGATCATATCCCGAACCATTGTATGCATTCCGACTTGCTTGAGAATCCTTCAGTTCTCTACATGGATGATGCGTGTAACCCTTAGTGCGTTTACCAGCTGTTGTCATCATATCATTGATTTTGTCCAGTACACACATGGACCATATGGGTAAATTGCGTCTTTTATCGAATAAAACAACATAAGCATTGATGCGATCTGTTTTAATTGCAATCAAAGGATGATTATTATTTGGACATGGTTCAGGTTCGCATTTAGGCTCTGGCTTCCAAATGGCACGATTCTTGTTTACAGTATCTCGATGACACACAGCATTGATATCATTCGTTGCTTTATAGAGAAATTCGCATTCGTATCGACATCTCGACCCGATAGATTTAGCATGACAGTCATTGAGAGATTGTGCTATGATCTTGTCATTTTTTCTGTTCACGTCTGGCTTACGGCACCTGGGCCCACCTCGATCTTTACCATCATCGTCGTCGTCGTCATCACAGTCTCGATCATGTTTATTTCCAGCCAAATCACGTTTCACTTGTCGTATCTTGCAATTGCGTTTTTTGTCGTTTTCGTTCTTCTTATCTTTCTTTCCGTTCTTCGATTTCTTCAGTTGGTCTTTGACATTGTTTCTTGACTTACCAATGGAGTCTTTGATTCCTTTGCCCACTTTCGAAGCAGCTTTACCAACACCCGGTAATGGAACAACAGCCAATGCATCGAAACCCACATTTGCTATACCTTCGAGTGCACCTTTCACATCTCCTTTGCCTATGGCTTTACCAACTTTAATCACATTTTCACCAAGACTTTTGACATCTTTAACAATACCAATGCTCATGAATTCGTCTTTTGCTGCTTTTGTGTCCCCATTGACCAGGTGACCAAGCGTTTTAACTGCTTTAATTGGTGTCTCGACGACTTCCTTCGCTGCGTTAAAAAGAGGTTTAACAATTTTGTTTCCAACCCACTTAGCAGCTTTTTTAATAAGACCAAAAAGTCGTCGTTGTCGAATCACAGCCGCCGAATTGATTTCTGTTTCATTTCGTTTACTTAAACTTGTTTGATATCCATTCAATGTTGAATATGTCTGTTCATTTGTCGATGACGATATAGGATAAAAACATTCGCGTGTATCTGTCGTGGGATAAAACAATGGCATGTCATCAATATCATTCAGGGTCAATTTGGAATTGAAATAACGTGAATAAATTTCACCGAATTTATCTTGAACAACAGTGGTTTCATTTTGAAAATAAGTACAAGTTAAAACTTCATTCGTATACTTGATCGAAATGTATTGACATGATAAGTTTAATGGTGAAACAAACAGACATCGATGCAGACAAGTGTCTAAACAAGTATCGTAATTGCTGGTGGACGGACATGGGATAGCATCTTGTTTGAGGTGGGAACTCTGATCAGCAACGGCGAAATCGAGCGTACGATCGAATGCCATTCGCATAGAGGTAAAATTATTATTGGGAAGGAACGGTCGAATGAAACAATGGCGATTTTGAAATTTAACATTCTTGTTTACATATCCCGGTCGATCAGTGCCCATTTTACATTCACGTGTATTGAAATCGTAGGAAAATTTTTGACATTGAATACTCCGTTGACATAAACTGTAACATTGATCGAACGAAATGAATGTTGATGAGGATGAATATAAATCACACTGAGGTATAAATTGAAACTTTTGCTGAGGATATTGCATCCAATAACGACGTTTTCCTGCTTGATTCCAATCACTATAACTTGTCAGATACTGGCAATCTAACGTTAATTCATCGAAATCAATGGCAATACATGAAGGGTTTTGCTTCATGAAGCATTCAGTCATGCAAATGTTTAGTTTTCTCTCTTTGCGTTCTTTTTCGTGTTGCAGATTTGTGGTCATCGGACATATGGGTAGATTTCTATCATTGATCAATGCTGAATTCGGTTCTGTTTTCAAACATTCTTGACATCCGGTTACTTGATTACAACCGTTCATATTCGACAAGTAGCAATTTGGATTATAAAAACTATCGATTTGTGATGATGCAGATGTATTCGTCGATACTTCACATAATGATTTCGTTTTCGAGAGCTGGCGCTCATAGTTAACATCGTCTTCTTCAATAAAACGCCATTGATTCGAACTGTTACCGTAGATAAGTTGGAAATTGATCACTGACAGATATCCATAGGACAGAAACATGTTGCTATCGTCTTCGTTAGTATCGAATAACTGACATGAATTGGAATGGAAATGATATGTTATTGATAAACAATTTCTTGTTACTTGACACATCTGTAAACACTCTAAAGCTGAATCTGCCTTTCGTCGTTCTCCTTGGCCGGAAATTCGTGTATTCCTTGTATAAAGCCAATTTTGAATAAGACCTGTCGGTTGTTTGATGAGAACAGTTTTCCATTGGTCTGTTTGATTGGTTAATTGCAAGCGTTCGCTATCCGCACGCATTCGATCGAATGTTAAACATGTTTTCTCGGTTTCGGAATAGGAATATCCAATACATTGTTTATCATCGACACAAGTCATAAAGCATTGTTCGAAATCCAGATTGTGCTTTGTCGATCGTGGTGGATTATCTTCTTGATTAATGACGACGCCGAGCATTTTATCGAATGGAGGTAGATTTGGACACAGGTCACATAAATGAATTCCGTCAGTGGAATTTTCGAAGACGACCACCGCGTCTCGATTCGGATCGAGATCGGTGCACATCAACGGTTCTGAATTGAGTTGAAAATCATTTGCTTCTAAGAGAAGATACTTTGTGTAAGCGATATAAGCGTCCAATGGTGATAGTGATGAATCAGTTGCATTGTCTATCGACTCAGTTTCATCACTATCTTCTATAGAGAAAAACAAAACACAACTGATCAAGTGCATGAGAGATGGTGGAAGTTTGATCACTTACGAAATTCATAGACGAGATATTTTTCATTTTGAATCAATGTTCGTTCATTACATTTCATTGTTGCATAGCATGAACTGACAACAACATCAGCCGATGTGTCGGAATCGTCATCAGTTTCTTCTCTTTCATCGCTTAAATGATTCCACATACAAAAACGTTTTTTCCGTATTTCGCACCACTGTAAACAATCTGTTAAGGTTAATGGAATAGAAGATTTGCGCCGACCATTGCTCACACATAGGTGCCCTTCGTTCACATTCGTAAACATGATCCACTGTTGATTTTTAATCGCGATATTTTTATCTGTCTCACTAAATTTCCATTCTCCTCGATTATCAATCATCAATGTTTGATTCGTATGCTTCTGCACTATTTTACATCGATCGTTGTTTCCTTTTAGGATTTCGAATTGTTGGTTTTCGTCTGATGTGTCCAATGACCATTGATACAAGAGTGATGAATCCGGAGATGGCTGTTTGATAGCCAACGCTTTTTGTGTTGCCATACAGACAATCACGTAGAGTGTCGCTTTGTCTACTTGGACAGGTAGAAATTGCCATTCTTGATGTTTAGTTTCACTTTTTGGTCGAAGACTGATACCAGAATTCTCAATTGATGTGGAGAATTTGCCACAGTCTAAATAGCCATGTTCGGAGAATATTTTATAGGATTTGTCTTCTTTAGATATGCAAATATTCTCTTCGTCGGAAGTGTTTGGAGGTAAAACTTCCTTTTCACTCGAACAATATTCGTCTGTGTTACCGCAACTAGAATTATATTTGCATAAAGCTGAATCTTTTTGGTAAATATAGTATTAATATACTGACTATCCATACTGTGAACAGCACATATTTGCGTCAGGACAGCCACAGATCCGACAATCACCAACTATAAACTCACGAAGAGTTACGGCTGTATCATAATCGGCTGTGTTACATACCTCGAGTTTTATCGATAAGAGCCAAATCCGGTGTTGTTATTGCTGATTTATCACAGTGCTCTTTCGTTGAACCACAACTAACGAGGGAACATATTTAGGTGATTAAGCGATTTAGATCCCATCTTTTGGTGATAGATAGACCTCAATGAGGTATGAAAAACCTCAAGAGGATTCGTGCCCTCGCGCCTTTATTTCAAAGATACTGAGTTCTCAGGATGTATACGAAAAGAGACTGAAATGAAGGATGATCGTTTTTATAGAACAGTAGAGTTTTCAGGTGAAAACTTTTTTCAGTTNGTGTTGATTACATTGTATCCAGTGATGATCGCGCAGTCTTTCTTGTCACATCAGGTTCGCTTGGTCGTATTCTGGTTCCACTTATTCATAACACTGATCAGATTATTGGCATATATGTATATTGTGCGAATGTCGGTACTCATATTCAATGGGCACAACGTTATGTCAAAATATACGGCATTTTCAATGAGAAGAATACGTTGTTTACGAAGCTCATACAAGATCTTGAGTCATTCGATACGTCATTCGACACTTTTAGTATGTCAGGTATGATAGATACGAGAAAAGAAACATCAATAAAAGATTTAAGAGCTAAAGAGCAATCTATAGTTTGGTATCAATTGATTATCGAAGCATTATTACGTTTAGAGGACATGCCTGATGAAAAAGCAGAGATGATTGCAGAATGTCGAAAACATTATGCTAATGATGAGATTGAATACGTAAAAATACGCGAATTTGAAAATAACTTTACTCCAAATGATGCAATTCGGTGGTATACAAGAGATTCGTTTTTATATCGGTTATTCAACAAAGCAATGAGAACACAAGATGTTCCCTTTATTTACAAATTTCGTTTTTTCCTAAAAGCACTGTACAATCAATTGGCGCATGTTTATAATTGTGAAACGATCCATGCACAGCCAATTAAAAAAGTTTACCGAGGTCAAATGATTCGTATCGAAGAATTACAACGGTTAAAAGACAATGTTGGTTATGCCGTTTCCTTCCATTCATTTCTATCAGCAACGAGAGACAAACAAGTTGCTGCTATTTTCTCTGGCAATGGTAAAGGCAGACCATTTTTTGAATCAGTTGTCTTCTGCATTGAAATACTTGGTGACATTTATCCATATATTGAGACAAACTTGCGTGTAGTGAATTCGGCAGGAATCGATGGAAAACCATTTGCAGATATTACGAACTACGCTACGTACGGTGGAGAGCAAGAAATCTTATTTGCAATGGAATCAGTGTTCGAAGTATCGTCTATTAAGTTAGTTGATAACATCTGGTATGTTAAGTGTCATTTCTATTCTGGAGGAGTGGGAAATTTCTTGAGATACGAATTTAGTTCGTGGAATGTCCTTCTTGGATATAATCCTCGAATCGATGTCATCGGAGATTTCTTACTTGAAATGAATAATTACACTGATGCCATTACTTTTTATATTTCCTCCGCGAATGATCAATCGGATCATTTAGCAGTCGCATGGGCAGATTATAAACTAGGAAGATTATACATGCGAAAAGGTGAATATCAGACTGCTCTCGACTACTTGCAAAACGCAGAGAATACAATGCTGCTACATGTAGATGTCACAGATTTTTGGCTAAAAAATATTTTTGAGACAACTGGCGATACCTATATACGACGTGCTCAACAGCAATCTGATTCTAAGGACGATTATGAACGTGCCGTAGTAAATTATAAAAAAGCACTTGATACTGTCATTAAGAAAAAGGACGACGGAGGGAAGCAAAACCCATCAGAATTCCAAGCAACTAAGATGATAATAGGTTCAGGCAATGAAGAAGTTATGCGTGCCGAGATTAGTTACAAGATATTCAAAGTATATTGCCAGATGAACAACCATGCAGAGGGTGAATGCTATGGAGACGTATTCTTAGCAACTCTTCTTTCGCATTCAACTTATAATTACGAACAATCAAAAATCAATAAACGAGAAGTTTTTGCTATTGCTTCAGATTCTAGAACAATAGATACTGTAAAACTTCGACAGCTGCTATTCAGTAATGTATCTTACATTGTAGAAGGAGCCATGATACCAAATCATCGTGAAATGTACAAGAGATACACTGAATTAATTCGGTTGACTATCAAAGAAGAAAATAAATTAATCCTTTGCAAATTTATAGCTGATATGTGTTCACGATCTTATCCAAATCCATACGATATTCTCGTCTTTTATCACAAGTACAATCTATTCAGCGGTAGTAGATACGAGAACGATTACTCAGAGTATCTCATCTTCCAAGAAAACATTTTTATGATTGATTGCACAAATGCACCATCTATGTTCGCCCAATATTTGCGTATATGTTTCACTGCTGCTTATCTGAATGTTACACTTGAAAAAAGATTAGATTCTGAGGAGCTGGATCAAATATGCTTAATTCAAATGATGGATTTTCATTCTGCTCTGTGGATTCAAAGGCGAGACTTGAGAGGCACGAATGACGATGAGTGTTTTGACTATCAAGAAGGGTTTATACTTTCTAAATACTATTCATATTACGAAAACCCACCTACATCCATCGGCGATGCTTATCAGCATTTGCGAATGTACGAAAGTCAACTGAAACTCCTTATAACAATGGATCTAACGAAAGCAGCTCTAGCAAATCCCTATCGAAATATTGCTCGAATCTACAGTTACCTCTACGAATATTCTATGGCGTTGGAGAACTATGAAAAATGTTTAGAAATTGTTTATACACATATGTCACCGAATGTTTCATTTTTGAGACGAACATATGCACTTATCGCGCATGAAATCGTTGAACTTTATTTAAATACGAATGCTGTTGCACATGCAAGGGATCTTATGAAGTTATGGCTTAATTTTGCACACAAATATGCCGTTTCTGATCATGTACAACTTGCTGCTGTATACTCTCGTTTAATTGATATATGCATGCGACAAGAAGACTACGATTTATGTTTGGAATATGCAGAGCAAGAACTAATGCATCTTCAATCAGTGCAACAGCCTGATAATCAACGTATATTGGTGTGCAAAGAAAAACTAGAAAGTTTTAGAAAGCAACGTTCTACTTGAAAGGAGAACCTGCCAATACAATAATAATTGAATAAAGAAAGCTTTTTCTTAGCGAAGAGATATCGTTAGGAAATGTTTAATGTTTTGATTTAAAACGATATGAAGGATTCTTTTTGAAGTCAATACAGCCATCGCATGCACAAAATTGATCACCTGTTCCACAATAACCACCGTTGGAACAGCAGTGAGCATTTTTGTCGTCGGGATTACAAATCGGGAAAGTATGACCAGTGATTGGAGGAATGTCCGGACCGCATCGACCTCGCTTGCCGTCCGGTGCATCAAGTAAGTACCAGAGTGGAGGATTAATCGTTGGTCGAACCGGTTCTTCGGTTAAGAGATTAGGATTTTCTTCGTAATTGACTCCTAGTCCTGTACAATGCTTATCCGATTTACCACAGTAACCCTCGGGTGAGCAACAGGAGTAGCCAGGATCGTCGGGATCACAAACAGGATAATAACCTTTGTATAGCGGAGCTGACCGGCCACACATGCCTGCTTTCTCTTCGCTATCTTCCATTGTCCACCAACGCTTTTCGTCAAGAGGCGAGCATTTATAAGAGTGCGATGACGGATTTGTCTGTTTGCACAGTGGTGCATCGCCAACTATTTTCATCATTGTTAAATCGGAATCATCTTGATCGATTGCCCAGATCATCAGACCCCCTAAATTATTGTCCGCAGCGTAATCTGCTTTGTATTTCAATGATCTTGGACTTTCGTAACCTAAATAGATTTGTTCTTGATTGTTGAAAGCAAAAGTTGATTTTGTCTTTTCATGAAACTGTTCTCTATAATTTGCATTTGTTAACCATGATTCTTTAATTTCATTCCAAGGAGCAAAACCGCCAACAAATTTACCGTTTACTGCCGATGCTCTTCTCCACATCGGATCACTTGGATCGATCGATTCTCGATCGACATTTCGCCAAAAGCGACCATAAAATGGAACACCCATATTGATCTTATGTGGTTGCTTTGTCTTACATACATAGTATTTCACTGTCCAATGCACATTCGTTTTGCCTGAAAATCGAGGAGGCATACCGAAGTACAGAGGCGCCGGTGGTCCTGTATATGCACCCCATTTGGATTCCCAAGCACCAAAGAAATCGTAGGTCATGATATTAACGAAATCCGCGTATTTCAATAGCCCGGGTAAATCAAACCCCGGATCGAGCGTCCATTGACCAGCTGCCGAAGCAAACGATAGCAAACAGCCAGGCCGATGTCTGTCTAGAGCTTGTCGTAGTTCTCTCATGAGTATAACATAGTTTTGTTTATCTTGTGGTACACCTTCGTTAGCACCTCCTGTGACAGGATACTCCCAATCGATATCAATCCCATCCATTTGATGCTCGTCGAGTAATTTTAATGCCGAAGCGATGAAACGAACGCGTTTCTCGGGCGAAGCGGCAATAGAACTGAAATATTGCGAATTTTCCCATCCGCCGACCGCAAACATGTACTTTATATTTGGGAAGGCATCTTGCAGACGTTTAAGACGATCCAAGCGTTGTCGAGCAATTCTTGTGTCTTCTTCAACATTTGAACTGTGTGTTCGATCGGCACTACCCAAAAGTATATTACCGTTAGCTTCCACTTCGAAAAATGCAAAGATAATGTGTGTTAAACGTTGCGCATGCTGAGAAGTTATCTTGCCTGTACCCCACGACGGGTAATACCCAATAATACGTTTACCACATTTCCCTGCTTGACTAATATTATCACCTCCTTCATCGGATGATTCATCATCACCTTCGTCGTCACCTTCGATAATGTCATAATTTGCGTCATCGAAGATACTCAATGAGCTTAAACCGAACAAAGCGGCCATGCCCCTGGCTTCTGCCGGTGTGCAACCTCGTACTTCTCTATTTTCTTCATCAGCTTGACGTTTTGATTTTTTCTGTTTTTTCTGCTTTGGTGGTTTATTATCACGTTTCTTTTGATCCATCATTAGATCTGTATGCCAAATATCAGCTTCTTTTTTATCTAACGACATTGCCGATGCACACTGAGCGCCATTCACCGTCAAACCACTTGGTCGTCCTTTAACTGCATCTCGGTATCCGAACAAGAAGGGATTTCTTGCTGCAAAATAAAATGGATCCGAGCTGAGGTGTGCTATTATTTCACCTTGTGAAACAGGCGTGAAGATTTTGATGAATTCTGCTCGATCTTTTCTTGTTAATTTAGAATTGTCCGATATGAAACCTACAACATGAGTACGACCGTTTCGGTTGTAACAGATCATTTTCCAGAAGCAGGAAGGTACAGCGACACCGCCGACAAGTTTGGTTCTGCCGCGAGCTTTCGGACAAACACCAGTGACGACGAGACTTGGCAGATATTTATGATTATGACATCGAATATGTGCTTCAATCATGCGCCATGGAACTTGATTTGTAATAGCGTTTTGCGGTGCGAGATTAATGCGTAAATTGGAGCTGAATGATGCGTCACGAGAATAACTGAGAATTTCACTCGGCGTTAAATGTCCGTGATCGTATCCCGAACCATTGTATGCATTCCGACTTGCTTGAAAATCCTTCAGTTCTCTACATGGATGATGCGTGTAACCCTTAGTGCGTTTACCAGCTGTTGTCATCATATCATTGATTTTGTCCAGTACACACATAGACCATATGGGTAAATTGCGTTTTTTATCGAATAAAACAACATAAGCATTGATGCGATCTGTTTTAATTGCAATCAAAGGATGATTATTATTTGGACATGGTTCAGGTTCGCATTTAGGCTCTGGCTTCCAAATGGCACGATTCTTGTTTACAGTATCTCGATGACACACAGCATTGATATCATTCGTTGCTTTATAGAGAAATTCGCATTCGTATCGACATCTCGACCCGATAGATTTAGCATGACAGTCATTGAGAGATTGTGCTATGATCTTGTCATTTTTTCTGTTCACGTCTGGCTTACGGCACCTGGGCCCACCTCGATCTTTACCATCGTCATCGTCGTCGTCATCACAGTCTCGATCATGTTTATTTCCAGCCAAATCACGTTTCATTTGCCGTATCTTGCAATTGCGTTTTTTGTCGTTTTCGTTCTTATCTTTCTTTCCGTTCTTCGATTTCTTCAGTTGGTCTTTGACATCGTCTCTTGACTTGCCAATGGAGCCTTTGATTCCTTTGCCCACTTTCGAAGCGGCTTTACCAACACCCGGTAATGGAACAACAGCCAATGCGTCTAGGCCAACATCCGCTAGACCTTCGAATGCACCTTTCACATCCCCTTTACCTATGGCTTTACCAACTTTGATCACATTTTCACCAAGACTTTTGACATCTTTAACAATACCAATGCTCATGAATTCGTCTTTTGCTGCTTTCGTGTCCCCATTGACCAGGTGACCAAGCGTTTTAACTGCTTTAATTGGTGTCTCGACGATTTCCTTCGCTGCGTTAAAAAGAGGTTTAACAATTTTGTTTCCAACCCACTTAGCAGCTTTTTTAATAAAACCAAGAAATCGTCGTTGTCGTATCACAGCTGCTGAATTGATTTCTGTTTCATTTCGTTTACTTAAACTTGTTTGATATCCATTCAGTGTTGAATACGTCTGCTCATTTTTCGATGACGATATAGGATAAAAACATTCACGCGTATCTGTCGTTGGATAAAACAATGGCATGTCATCGATATCATTCAGGGTCAATTTGGAATTAAAATAACGTGAATAAATTTCACCGAATTTATCTTGAACAACAGTGGTTTCATTTTGAAAATAAGTACAAGTTAAAACTTCATTCGTATACTTGATTGAAACATATTGACATGATAAGTTTAATGGTGAAACAAACAGACACCGATGCAGACAAGTGTCTAAACAAGTATCGTAATTGCTGGTGGACGGACATGGGATAGCATCTTGTTTGAGGTGAGAACTCTGATCAGCAAGGGCGAAATCGAGCGTACGATCGAATGCCATTCGCATAGAGGTAAAATTATTATTGGCAAGGAACGGTCGAATGAAACAATGGCGATTTTGAAATTTAGCATTCTTGTTTACATATCCCGGTCGATCAGTGCCCATTTTACATTCACGTGTATTGAAATCGTAGGAAAATTTTTGACATTGAATACTCCGTTGACATAAACTGTAACATTGATCGAACGAAATGAATGTTGATGAGGATGAATATAAATCACACTGAGGTATAAATTGAAACTTTTGCTGAGGATATTGCATCCAATAACGACGTTTTCCTGCTTGATTCCAATCACTATAACTTGTCAGATACTGGCAATCTAACGTTAATTCATCGAAATCAATGGCGATACATGAAGGGTTTTGCTTCATGAAGCATTCAGTCATGCAAATGTTCAATTTTCTCTCTTTGCGTTCTTTTTCGTGTTGCAGATTTGTGGTCATTGGACATATGGGTAGATTTCTATCATTGATCGATGCTGAATTCGGTTCTGTTTTCAAACATTCTTGACATCCGGTTACTTGATTACAACCGTTCATATTCGACAAGTAGCAATTTGGATTGTAAAAACTATCGATGTGTGATGATGCAGATGTATTCGTCGACACTTCACATAATGATTTCGTTTTCGAGAGTTGGTGATCATAGGTAACATCGTCTTCTTCAATAAAACGCCATTGATTCGAATTGTTACCGTAGATAAGTTGGAAATTGATCATTGACAGATATCCATAGGACAGAAACATGTTGCTACCGTCTTCGTTAGTATCGAATAACTGACACGAATTGGAATGGAAATGATATGTTATTGATAAGCAATCTCTTGTTACTTGACACATCTGTAAACACTCTAAAACTGAATCTGCCTTTCGTCGCTCTCCTTGGCCGGAAATTCGTGTATTCCTTGTATAAACCCAATTTTGAATAAGACCTGTCGGTTGTTTGATGAGAACAGTTGTCCATTGGTCTGTTTGATTGGCTAATTGCAAGCGTTCACTATCCGCACGTATTCGATCGAATGTTAAACATGTTTTCTCGGTTTCGGAATAGGAATATCCAATACATTGCTTATCATCGACACAAGTCATAAAGCATTGTTCGAAATCCAGATTGTGCTTTGTCGATCGTGGTGGATTATCTTCTTGATTAATGACGATGCCGAGCATTTTATCGAATGGAGGTAGATTCGGACATAGGTCACATAAATGAATTCCGTCAGTGGAATTTTCGAAGACGACCACCGCGTCTCGATTCGGATCGAGATCGGTGCACATCAAGGGTTCTGAATTGAGTTGAAAATCATTTGCTTCTAAGAGAAGATACTTTGTGTAAGCGATATAAGCGTCCAATGGTGATAGTGATGAATCAGTTGCATTGTCTATCGACTCAGTTTCATCACTATCTTCTATAGAGAAAAACAAAACACAACTGATCAAGTGCATGAGAGATGGTGGAAGTTTGATCACTTACGAAATTCATAGACGAGATATTTTTCATTTTGAATCAATGTTCGTTCATTACATTTCATTGTTGCATAGCATGAACTGACAACAACATCAGCCGATGTGTCGGAATCGTCATCAGTTTCTTCTCTTTCATCGCTTAAATGATTCCACATACAAAAACGTTTTTTCCGTATTTCGCACCATTGTAAACAATCTGTTAAGGTTAATGGAATAGAAGATTTGCGCCGACCATTGCTCACACATAGGTGCCCTTCGTTCACATTCGTAAACATGATCCACTGTTGATTTTTAATCGTGATATTTTTATCTGTCTCACCAAATTTCCATTCTCCTCGATTATCAATCATCAATGTTAGATTCGTATGTTTCTGCACTATTTTACAACGATTGTTGTTTCCTTTCAGGATTTCGAATTGTTGGTTTTCGTCTGATGTGTCCAAAGACCATTGATACAAGAATGATGAGTCCGGAGATGGCTGTTTGATAGCCAACGCTTTTTGTGTTGCCATACAGACAATCACGTAGAGTGTCGCTTTGTCTACTTGGATAGGTAGAAATTGCCATTCTTGATGTTTAGTTTCACTTTTTGGTCGAAGACTGATATCAGACTTCTCAACTGATGTGGAGAATTTGCCACAGTCTAAATAACCATGTTCGGAGAATATTTTATAGGATTTGTCTTCTTTAGGTATGCAGATATTCTCTTCGTCGGAAGTGTTTGGAGGTAAAACTTCCTTTTCGTTCGAACAATATTCGCCTGTGTTGCCGCAGCTAGAATTATATTTGCATAAAGCTGAATCTTTTTGGTAAATATAGTATTAATATACTGACTATCCATACTGTGAACAGCACATATTTGCATCAGGACAGCCACAGATCCGACAATCACCAACTATAAACTCACGAAGAGTTACGGCTGTATCATGATCGGCTGTGCTACATACCTCGAGTTTTATCGATAAGAGCCGAATCCGGTGTTGTTATTGGTGATTTGTCACAGTGCTCCTTCGTTGAACCACAACTAATCGATACATAAGTGTGACGATGTTAGGCAATAGGTTCAATACTTACTAGCCGTATGGCGAACAGCAAAGGCCCGGTTCACACCCACAGATGCGACAATCGCCATCTGAAAAATACTTTCTCAATTGAAATCATCTCTCATAGATCAATTCAATACTTACTTCTGATTGTAATATTCTTGCTTGATCGAGTCAAGTCATTTTTACAATGTTCAGGGGTGTCTCCACAACTTAGTTTATGAAAAATGTAGGTATGAATGGAATCTACATGATCGTATCGACTTACAAGCCGTATTCAGAGCAGCATAGATCACCGGGACATCCTTCTAGTTTGCAGTTACCATATACTGAAGATGAATGGGAGAGTAGTATTAACTTGTTGAATGTCTCTCATTAACTCACCATAGATGATGAGAAACGAAATCAAGACAATAGAAAGTCGAATATCGAAGATCATGTCTGTTTCTCACTTTTTTCCATATAAAGTAATGATAAAAATAAAATGAAAATGCATTAAAAGGAGATTCGATTTCAAAATTTGTGTTTGGTTTTTCTCCCATCCTAGAGCAGATACCGATTACATCTATGAAGAAAGAGAACTTATCTTTTGATTTGTAATGTAATATTGCAATGATAGGGCGTGGAATGTGCAAAATTAAATGTAAACAAGTATTCTATCTTTTGAGGGTTAGTCGGTCTGTTCTATTCGAAAGCCAGAAATACGATAGTAGTTTAATATTTTCTAAATTCAAAGAATGAAGCAAACCGTCGGACGAATAAAGATGTTGGTTTATTCGTCCATTATTGTATTCAGTTGATCAACTAGATATAGCTTGTTTTGCATGCCTCCTTCATCGTTTATTGATAAAAATCATTCAAACACATCGGAAATAGATGTGAACATATAAGCAGAGCCAAGCTTCGACTCTCAGTACAAACGAAACTCGTGAAAATAATCAGCGACACATGCTAATGATCTAGTCCATGATCTTTAAACTAAATATATGAGCTTTGCACAACAGTTCAATTTCTATCAGTTTCGAATTTTTGCGTTGTGCTGTTTGAATAATCAAGAACGTAAAGATTGCCTTGTCGATCGAACGACAAACCTAGAGCATTTGGTTGACGAACGATGGCATCACCTTGAGCTGCTTCTTTCGACCAGCGTACTACTCGGTTATTATCATAATCTGCCACATAGAGAGTCCCCAATTCATCGACGATTATTCCACAAGGATGTGACAATTGGTTTAAATGATATCCCTGACCCTGTCCACCAGCAACGACAATACCTACTTTTGCATCTTTCGTCCACTTCATTATACGATGGTTTTGGTAATCTGATACATAGACTGAAAAGTTTTGATCGACGGCGATGCCATAAGGATTTTTCAGCTGATCGAGACGAGTTCCTGATCCATTTCCCCCAGCTACAATTGTCCCATTTGCGTCTCCTATTTTCAATCGCCTCACTTCGTGCTTATCCCAGTCGGCAATATAAAGATCTCCATGTCTATCCATAGCCAAACCGTGACAACTAACATTTGAAAGGATTGTTTCTGCAGCTGTGCCATTTCGGCGAGGCCATCGGACTACTCGTCTGTTACCACAATCACCAATGATCAAACAATCATTGTTTTGATCTCTATGAACGATCACCGATTTTGGTGAATTCAATTGCCCGTTATTGCCCGCTATTACTTTTACACTAGTTTCACCAATCTTCCATTCCACAATACGGTTATTGCCAGTGTCGGCTACGATTATACTTTGATTGCTATCATCGATACACATACCCCACGGCCGGTTTAGTTCATTTCTTCCAAATACAGTGATCCCGTTTTGTTTCCATTTTACATTGGTATTGATCTTGCCATCTGAAATAGATACGGAATCGCCAAAGAACGAAGTCAATTCAATTAATATATACACGTACTTGAGAAAACAATGACACGAATCGGAGAAATGAATGATGAAGATTCTTGCTGTATTGAAATATTTGATGATTTCACAAAGTTTTCTTTTAATTCGTCCAAGTTTTCTTTCAATCGAATCAGATGAATTTCATTGAAGTCGTTTTCTTCTCGAATATTTCTCAGCTGCTCCGTGAATTTGCACAATTCAGTTTCAATTGTATTAGTATGTTTGTTGATATACTGTCTTACTAATTGTCTTGACATTTCTGCCCTTTCTTGAATCTTCGTAATCGAGTCCCTTTCCCATTGGTTGACTTCGTCGATTAATGAATGTTTTTCTGGATTCGTTTTTTGTTCCGTTAGGATTTGTCGAAAAAGATTTCGTTGATTTTCTAATTCATCTAGTTCTATGCTAAGTGTTATATTATGTTCGTTGAGATGATTCAAACAAAAACTTTGTAGACAACCTTCGCATTTATATGCAACTCTATCTTTTCCACATGTAACACAATGAGTTTTACCAGTCGATGTCGCCATGTCGGTTGAATTCGTTGATTTACATATGTTTGAAAGTGAGTAACGAAATATAAGGCAGCTTTGTATGTCGACGTGTCAACAAATAAGGTAGAGAACACGAATGAGATTTTCTCCTAATCATTAAAATGATGTCGCTCACAAGAAAAAGAATATTGTAGAATAAAACAACTTCAGTTTTAGTTGCGCAATACGTTTCCTTTCTTTGCATGCGAAGAGGTGAAAGCCACGATTTTGAATGGATGCGAGAATTGAATGCTCTCACAAAACTTCACTCTCCCATACATTAGTGCGATTATTTCATATTTATCGTTGTGTTGTCGGCGCACAGAAAGAAAAGGTAAAAAAATGAGCGTACCTGGAATCGAACCAGGGTTCCGAGTTCCGTAGACGCGAGCGCTGCCACTACACCATACGCCCGTTGTGTTTGAACAGGCATCTAAGTTTCGAAGCGAACCATTATTTTCAGACAGTGGAATCATATATCGAAAACATTTGTAGAACTGACAGCAGAGAATAAAGTGATGTAAACACTTTCATTCTTGCATATGTGAATCATATTTTAAAAAAAGGTAATCGAATTATACAGCCTTATATAGTGACGTATTTTATCCTTGGTCTAGATATGCATGAATACACTTAATTATATACATATGATTGAAGAAGAAGTCGGAGGAAAAATGGAAAGCTTTGCAGCAAATCGTTCAGATGCGCCAAGTCGGTGTACATATATTCTTCATGGTGATCAGACAAAATGTCTAGATCATCTGACTTTCGAGTTCGTTTTCCTTCTTGAGATAAGTCTTTTCCTACGTCTACGTTTTAGACAAAAATCACATCGGTAGAAAATCTACAATAATGTCCTGGAGTTAATTGGTGATACACTACTTGTACTGTTAATCGTTTAAGGCAAGATGCAGGCATTCAATGTAATGTTTGTAAGTTAATTATATATACTCATTTGAGCAATAATTTTACTGAGTATTTGAATTTAGTGACAAAACTGGAATATATGGATCCTGGTGGTAGTATCAAAGATCGAATTGGTTTATGTATGATTGAACAAGCTGAAAGGAATGGATCGTTGAAATCTAATGATACTATCATTGAATCGACAGCTGGAAACACAGGTGTTGGGTTAGTATCGGTCTGCGCAGTAAAAAACTATCGATGTATTATACTGTTTTACCAGAAAAAATGAGTAAAGAAAGGCAAACATCAGAATCACATTTTTGGGTTTTGTCTTATGGTTTGCTATTCAGATAGACGTACCTCGGGCATTGGGTGCAGAAATTGTTCGTACGCCAACGATTGCACCGTTCGATTTACATGAATCAGATATTGCTGTAGCTCATCGATCGAAAAGCAATATTCCTAATTCACATATCCTAGATCAATATCGACATTCTTATAATTCCATCGCACATTATGATACAACAGCAGAAGAAATTTTTCAAGCATGCAACAGTGAGTATAAGATTCGTCGAGATATCTACAACTCAATAGTTTGATTTTGTTATAGGACAAGTTGACATGATCGTCGTCAGAGCTGGAATATGCAATCTAGAAATGTATAACGAGTATTGGTAAATGACAGATGTTTAATTTCAGGAGGAACACTATCTGATCTGTCGAGAAAATTAAAAGAAAAATGCCCGAATTGCATCGTCATTGGTGGTGTTAATGTCGACGGTTCATTGTTAGCGCAACCAGAAGCAATGAACTCAATTGGAAGCACGTTCTATAAAGTAATTCTCTGCTTTTCAACTTCTTTCACATATCTCATTGAGAATTGATTTTGGATCGAAGAAATCGAGTAGGGAATATTCTGTATCTACGGAATATGGATAAAATTGAAATGAATATAGGCATGGTTTTATTCCAACTGTACTCGATTGATCGTTAGCTGATCGTTGGTATAAAAGCTCTGAAAAAACATCATTTCAATGTGCAAGGAAATCAATTAAAGCCGAAGGCATCCTTTGTAGTGGATGGTCCGGCGCAGCTATGGCATGTGCTTTACAAGCATGTAAAGATTTTCAATTGACCGAAAATCAAAATTGTGTTGTTATTTCCCGGATTTCATCTGAAGCTATATTTAAAAATTTCAACCGACTTTCACATTAATCGAATTTAATTTGTTTTTATTAACACAGTTCGAAATTTCTGAGCATTGATTGGATGTATGACCGTCGTTTTCTGGATATTGACGAGAAACCAACTTCTGAATGGCGACAAATACGTCTTGTATCAAATTTATTAATTCATCACCGCGTTACAGTATCAGCAGAAACAACAATTCAATCAGTGCTTGATATTATGCATGCGAGAGGTTTCGATCAAATACCTGTTACTTCAGATAAAGCGTAAATTTGAATTCCTAAATATTCGCTTAGGTGTTGCGTAACTTTTGATAAAGTATTATTGAGTATGACGAAAATGTCCGAAACTATCGTGAAGATGTTGCATGGTGCAATTAATACTGCAGATCCGGTGTAAAAAATAATGACAGATAAATTTCCATTGGTAGATTCGTCTTGTATTATGTAATCCAGAAATGTGGTGGACGAACAATTCGTCGCCATGATAATTTTTCGCACAAGTATTTACTCGTGTAATTAATTACTCGTTACAAGATGAGCGTAATGCATGGATAGAGAGAGAGAGATGTAAACATCGCATAGGGATTAATCCATTATTAAAACGCAAAAATGTAATTTAAAAAAATTAACGATATGCAATGAAACATACTCAAGAAAAAGCAGCTAAGTATTTCATACTGCAACAAGGTTCTCGATTAGTTTTGTAAGTGAGAGGGACCGGATTCTCCCATTTTCCTCCTCCCTAATCGGAGATTCTGTAGTCCAGATTAAAATACCATCAAACACTAGTGAGTCTTTTTTTGTATAAAAAACGGTTTTTATCAGAAATTCTTCGGTCTTGGTGGTTTATACCGGGTGTGGATGGGGTGAGGGTGTGGGTGAGGGTTAGGGTGGGGCTGGATACACCAAATCCACTCATATTCTTCAGCTTTCCAGGATACGCTTCTATTTGGTTATCGTGTTGGATACACTGACTCAGCTGCATATGGTAACGCAGTGAATTGTCTGCTTTTGGATGAATACCGGGTGTAACGGGATTATGACATCACTCAACAAATTACCCAATCTCTGCTCCACAACTCATTCACTCCGGTCGTTTACATTGACTTCTTGCAAGCTTTTGATAAGCTCTGGCAGCAGGCTTTACTATTGAAGTTAAATAGGCTAAACTGCCCATCGCCCTATCTTATCTGGATTGCAAACTACTTCACCGAACGATCACTCAAAATTGACTATGGGGGTATAGAATCAACATTAGTTGAAGTAGAGCGAGGAGCACCTCAAGGAAGCTGTATTGGTCCGGTAATGCATGTCATCAGCCATCACGACATCCCTTACATTTTTGAAAATCCTATCCATGTACATGCCTATGTTGATGATATAGCAATCGCCTACATCCCATCTTTTCATTTGAAATCAAAATCTCAAATTGGAGAAATGAATGAACGCATCAACAGGGACCTGGGAAAACTATTAAGATATTCGAATGATTGGCATCAGCCACTTAACCCCAACAAAACTGAATTTGTAGTTTACCATAAATCAATTCAATGCCCCAAACTCGACATTTACTATGATGGGGTGAAAATTATACAAAAGAAAAATTTCAAATATCTTGGCTTTCATCTAGATGCAAAGTTGTCCTTTCGGAATATGATCGATGCTCAATATTTAAAATTAAGAGAAGCCTATATTATATTAATTAAAGTTTATTCACCGGCAGTTTCCCTCATTTTCGAAATTAAAAATGAAATTTTTCAATACATATATATGGCCTCACATGTACATGATGGCAACAATTTACTGTCCTTTCTCTAATACGTCTTGTGAACGTGAGCAGCTTTTTATCGGCAATACTTGAGACTGATACACTGTTTGTTTCAATGTCCTACAGTAGACTTACATCAACATTTTCAACTGCCCACGATTGAAAAACATTCAGCTGTACGAACCGGTGTTTTTGGAATGTGCATTACAATACAAATTTTTATTTAACACGATCTATTATCATTATCGAATTAAAGCAAATATTAAGTACATGCCAGCAAGTCGACCAACCAAGAGACTAACGTCATATCTTGATAATGAGGAGCATACCTTTTTCGATCGTCTATGCGGGTTTGTCTTGAACTAAATCATTTCATACCTCGATGTGCAGGTTCCTTTCTTCCTATACATCAGATTAGTATTCATAGACTTGTTAATGTTCACTTATGCTTTCTTTTGTTTTTCTCAAGTTGTCGTTCTCTCTTTGAAGCTCACATTATGATAAGACGGTCAGCGCCTAATGGCGAATTCGTCATAAGAAATAAATAAAGCGTTAAAAAAAAAAACTTTTCTCTTTAGCTATAGCGAATAGATTTAGTTTAATAACCAGCATTGATTTACTTGATGTCATTGCTAAACGCAATGAATCAAATCAAATCGCATAACAAAGTTACCTTCATCATACATAGATAAGGAAATCAAGGACGATACAATCAAGCAAGTCCTTGACTCAGATTATGTGAAAACATGATAGAAAAGATAAAGAGGACACAATCATTCGGACCTTCACATTTATCTTTTTTTCGGTTTACCTTCAATTTTTGTGCTTATTTAAGTATACAAATATAGATTTTTTGTCTCAACTCTTTGAGTAACCGTTTCGTTGTATAACAAGAGTTGTGTCACGATGAACGCATGTCTTTCTTTTAGATTTACTGCTGCATCTTCAGTGTGAGAAACACAAATGGACGTGTTGATCGAACAGGTCTTGATGAAATTGCGAGAACCATTACACGATATGGAATCTATCTCGCAATGGAAGATGCAGATGTTCACATTTATCGATAGAATTGCTGAACTTAAAGTATCTTCTACCAACTCAGGTAGTAGTGAGAATATCTCTCTCGATCCAGTCGATTGGTCCGCAGCGCGTCACATAGCTCATGAGATGCTCGATGCATCATTGAACTTTATTCAAACCATACGAGATCGACCTATTTGGCGACCGGTACCAGAAGATGTACGTACTATTTTAGAAGATGCACCTGTTCCTGAACGAAGTCGATCATTAGCGGATGTTTGTAATGACATACTAACATACGTGTTACCCTATCCACGTGGAAATATACATCCTCGTTATTGGGGATGGGTGAAAACTGAAGGAACGGTTGGGGGTGTACTGGCAGATATGATAACATCAACCATTAATCCAAATTCTGCCGGTGGTCAGTTCTACAGTGGTTATTATGTGGAACGTGCTGTAATTGACTGGATGCGGCAATTGTTTGGATTTCCTAGGATGAAGAATGCTGGCGTGCTCACCACTGGAACGTCGATGGCGACAATCATGAGTCTTGCAGCAGCTCGCCAACGAGCTATCAAGAATGTTAGAGAAGATGGACTTGTTAACGGGCCACAGCTGATGGCCTATGCGTCGACAGAAGCACATGGGTGTTTGGAAAAGGCACTTCAATTATTAGGACTAGGATCAAAAGCATTACATCTCATTTCGATTGATGATGACTTTCGCATCAAGACCGACCAACTCAAAATAGCCATACAGAATGATCGAGCTAAGGGTTTAATTCCATTTTGCATCATTGGAAATGCAGGTAAACAGAAGAGTTCATTCAATTCTCTGAAGAATGATCTGAGTTTAGTATTTTGCTTATTTTATAGGGACAGTAAACACGGGTGCATTCGATGATCTCGTCGAGCTTTCTACGATCGCGCGAACAGAAAACGTTTGGTTACATGTAGATGGAGCATTTGGAAGTTCTGTTATTCTTGATCCTCAACGTCGTCATCTAGTGGCTGGTCTTGATCAAGCAGATTCACTTGCATTCGATTTTCACAAATGGTTTCATTGTCCATACGAAGCTGGTTGTATACTCGTTCGTCATGGTCTGGATCTCCAATCGACCTTCTCAATGGAACAATCGATTTTAGGTATCGTCCGAAAAGATTCCATAAATGATGCGCTTCCATTTACTCAATTAACTCCTGATCTATCCCGTTCGTGCCGCGCACTGAAAGTATGGTTTACACTTCAGGAGCATGGTACTCTCAAAATCGGCAAAAAGATTGCTGACAACTGTGATCAGACGCAGTATTTTCTATCATTACTCGAGAAATCCAAGCACACTATTGATATCATTCGCCCTGTCACATTAAACATAATCAATTTTCGATTCGAACCTGTTGAACTTGATACGACCAATCATGAACTGATCGACAATCTCAATATTCGCCTTGCCAATGATGTGCAATTCTCAGGTATTGCTTATCCATCAACCAGTTGCATTCGAAATCGCTCCTATATTCGTGTGTGTATTGTAAGCCATCGAAGTACGCACGAAGACGTTGATATATTTGTAGAAACATTGTTGAAACTGTATGAAATTCGACTCGCCAAGAGTCAACAAACAAATTGATAATTTTTGTTATATCGAAAGTAAAAGTAGATCTACTCGAGATGCTCGTTACTGTTTAGTGCTAATTTGCCATATTTATTGTCAATCAAAGAAATAAATAGTTAAGAGGTTAGTCAAGAAACTTCTTCTGAAACATAACGATGAGCAATGCTCCAGTGATCAATTTATAAATAGCAGATGTTGACATTGATACTGCCGAGTTACATTTGTCTCCATTACAACAACAAACCCAATATCTGCTTCTGTCAATGATTTTCCACGAGCATTCATTCCAAGCACAGATGCCCGATAGAGCGACTCCTCGATCTACAGATGCATAGTCTTCATTCGAAGTGCTTCGACGCTACAAACAAATATCGAACACGTGAGTAGTATGAATATTCAACTTACGTAGCACCAGCCCGTTCTCGAATCTGCTGTCGACACTCCTACACTCTTTCGATTAAATGGTTTTGGACAATTCGTACAATCATAGCAGAGGGTTGTCGGAGGATCCCCATTACATAGACTACCGTCACAACAGCAAACCCATGTTTTAGCACCGTTTACTATCTGCCAGGAACATCCTTTGGTGTAACATAGTCCAGGCGGAGCAGCATTTCGAGTAAAAGTGGCATCGGACGAATCTGAATTACTCATCATCTGAAATTATTTAGAATGAGATTCTTTTTCATTAGTTATTCAACTTACAGAACACCAGCCTGTAGACGTGTAAACTTGCATAACAGACGAGAGATCAGGAGTAAATGGCTTTGGACAACCTACGCAGGAATAACATACACCAGCGCCGCGTTCATTTGATATATTTAATGCTGAGTTGTCACATTCACACACACCTCCAATTAAAACTTTATTTTCTTATCGTTTTAAGTTATTCTTACCGGTAAACAATAGAATTATCGACAATATTATGTATGAAGTATGCATGGGAGAAGTATTCATAGGAATGTAAAAAATAACAAATCAACACTACTTTTATAGTATCACGTTGCACCAATCTTATCATCGTGAAACTACAGCTAAAATGACGTTAGTGGTATCTATGTGTTCTGACTCAGTGTTTCATGAATACGTCAACTCATCAACTTCTGAAGATAAGATTGAGAGTTGTCATCTTTTTTTCCTTGACCCTCATTTGCAGTAGAAAGTCGTTTTACAATATCTTACTATCATTACCACTGTTTATGGCGTAAAAGTATACTGCAAGCCATGTACAGTAGATTTTGTGGATATCTTTTGACTTCACTATACAATAGTGAACAAACGGATGTTATCACGAAGAAAAAATTTTTATATTTTTTTCATAAATTTACTCTTGATTGAATCAATGAAAAAGAAAAAGTAAAGTTCTCGATCACACAGTATATTGTATTCTGTGTTTCTTATTTCTTGCCATCACGAATATCAACGCCATCTTTGTATCCTTCGCCGTAATCCTTACTTCGTTCTCCTTTGTGACAGCCTCCTTGCAGAATATCGAGTGATTGGTCTACATGGTCTATTACACTTTTTAGCGCATCGAACAAAGCATGCTCAAAACCCATACCGTAGCATTGACTTCGTGTTGATCCAACTAGCTTTGTCCACTTGAATGCAATACACTTCAGGCTGTTGAAGAACTGTTCGAACGAGTATAAAAGAGTGACAGCTAATGAAGATCAGAAGAAGAGTAAACTATTCTTCGCACCCTCACCCACACCCTAGTTGTGTCAGAAGATTTAAAGCAAGATTCTAGTGAGCTCTAAGGATGATTTTTCACCTTTTGGTGACTTGCTGGTCGCCAAAGTCGCCGATTCGATTATCCCTTTGTTCTCTTTAATAATCGCTTTACATAGGAAATGCAGCGTTTCCCAATGAATGGTATATAAACGCACTTAAAAGATAATAAAGTACTTAAGGCATAAAATGAAGTTGAAAGAACGATGTTGCATTTTCTATTATCTGTGGACTTTTCTAAAAGGACATGATTAATATCTCACTTTTGATTTGTATTTTATCTGTTGTTAAAACATTGTGCCATATACTCTCTGCATCTGACGTGTAAATACAGCAACGCGAAAGAATCATCAACCATTGTTTTTCATTCGAAAGATAAGCATAATGTGAATGAGAAAGCATATTCGCGAATCACACAAAGTTTATCATCCATATGTCGCGTCCTGGAACGGAAACGGAGGACACTTTTCGATTGAAAAGGTTAATCAGAGTCAGTATTCTGCTTGGAAGACAAATCTCTCTCAGTTTAAGCTTGAACGCATGTATATCCCGTCTTTAATTCCTATATACAGTGTGAGAGCAACTTAAATTTATTTTTAAGTGATTAATTTTCATTTTTTTTTATAAAATGAGAACAACATCAGTCTTCACGATCAAATTTTTGTATTCGACGATTGCCAATGTCAACGACATACAGATTTCCTTCTCGATCGAAAGCTATGTCGTCTAAGCCATTTAATAAATGCGAATCACTTCCCTTGCCATACCCACCGACAACAATCATTGACTCTTGAGTTTTTTCTGACCAACATACTACTCGATCGTTGAGGCTATCAGCGACGTAGACATTACCCAAATGATCAACAACCACTCCCTTAGCGAGAAACAATTGTCCAATGTTGTCTCCTTGCGCATTGCCACCGGCAACAACAATTCCTGCTTTTCCATTCTTCGCCCATTTCATCACACGATTATTATTCGTATCCGATACATAAACGGAATAATGATGATCAACAAATACATACGATGGTTGATCAAGTTGATCTAGTGCATCTCCTACTCGATTTCCACCGGCAACAACTTCTCCAATGTTTTCTCCATCGTTCCATCGTTTGACTACTGCTTGATCGTTATCGCTGACATAGATCGATCCGTCTTGATCAATGGCTAGACCATTACAATTTATGTTCGAAATTATAATCCGTTGTTCCGTCGCATTCTGGAGAGACCATCTCATCACTCGTTGATTCTTTTTATCACAAATAATAAGCGAGTTTTTCTTTTTGTCAACAACCACATCTGTTGGACTATTTAGCTGATTAGCTCGATTACCGAAACCATTCCCGCCAGCAACAATTTCACTACGCGTTGCGTTCATTCTTTGTCTGATAACACGATCATTTCCTGCATCGGCAAAATAAATCGATCCATCGTCATCGATATCGATTCCCTTGAATTGCATACCTTTAATCACAGTGGATCCATATTGATTCCATGAAAGATAAACACTCTCTAAATTGTATTTTAAAAAAATCTACGCTCAAGTCTTCGAATGAAAATATCACACGGTATACTTTCTGCTACTGTATGTGTTACATCTAAGGACGGTTCTCGTGTTTCTAGTGCTGCTAGACTTAATTTTGAGAGCTTTTCATTTTGCTTGCCGACAACAGATATAATAATCACCATGATGGATATGACCAAAACGATCACAACAATAGAGAATAGTACACACATCCATTTCGATATATGAATGTGTTTGTGTCTATAAACAAAATTATCCGTATTCTTTTCTGCTGTTTACGAAACAGATACTTACAATATTCTTGAGTCAGTCGTTTCTGTTTGAGACTAAAAAGAATTAAACAAAAACGCAATCGACTTCGTCTCATCTGATCAGTTAAGAATTACTTTCTCTTCAGATTCTTCGTTGTTACTCATCGATACAATAGAAAAAAAAGTAGAATCAAATAGATGAAGTCGTCACTTAGAAGCGGGGCTACTAGGCTAATATCAGTTAATTCGTTTCCTTTTCAACAATATTTTTCAAGCAAATTAAAACTTATGTTTTTCACCATCTGTCAGAAAAAAGACATATCACATTTCACACAGGACGTGAAAACAAGCTTTTAAAAATGAAATATGCAAATAAATCAACGATTAGTAACCAGTATTTGAACGCGTTTTCAGTGTTGCCATCCTGGTTTTTAGGATTAAGATGCAAAATTATTGGACATCTGCTGTTATTTTGCCGATTTTATGAACGTAAGGATTTGTCGATGAGAAACAGTGAGTTAGAGAAAAATATCATTTGCTGCGATACTTCATCATGCGTCTCAAAAAATTTTACTCACGATCTTTCCATCAATCTGTTCGCGACAAATGGGGAACATGGAATGTTTTCAGCTCTCAATCATCAGACCCATTGATTAAAAGTCGAGAGATCTTATCTACTCGTCTATACATCACTCTCGTGATCATTTCTTTCATCACTTTAACCACGTATACGATGATTATCGATCGGATCGAGAACAAAAGTGTGCCATTTCCAAGCCAATCCAAGTACTTAGCCTTGCAAAAGAAGTATGCGAATAATCTTCAATGTTCGTGTACTGGAATCGCAATTGTACACAAAAACTTTGTCGAAACAAGACCGATATTTCACCAGGTGTGTTCAAGTGAATTTCTTTCGCAACAATGGATCGATTTGGTGTTCAAAGTGGATTCAACCTCTATTTATCCAATTGATCTTCGAACAAGTTTAAGTGCAATGTGGCAATTGGTTCGATCGTTCTGTCAAAGTGCAAACACTGCAATTCTGGACATACTCAAACAATTTCATAATTCACCATTGCTGAGTTCTGTACTGTTGACAGAAGAGTTGTTGAAAGCATCAGTTCAAGCTACTTTACATTCGTTACGGCAAAGCATATCGTCGAGTTTTATTCAATCGGTGATTATTCCACAAAAAATGGCGCAAGCCAATCAACTGGTAACAGCTTTATCAACAAACTATATTCCTGTAACAAAAGAATATGGGGATATAACTGAGCGTTATCCATCTTATGACATTGGATCCTTGGAAGTATCGGCTTACATTGGAATGTTCGAAAATAAATTTATATTACAAAATTCATCCGTAGCTTGTTCTTGTAAGAACAACGTCTCTTGTCCTCTACCTGGCAGTTTTTACAACTACAGTGGGTTAGACAAACTTGGCACTTATGACATGAACAAAATTCAACCGGTTGCTACATTACCGGGCCTTACCATCGATTGTTTACCAATTCAATCGACATTTTTGTCGACATTAGAATGTTTCTACAATCAAACATGTTTAGAACTTCTTCTCTCATTTTACTCAATTCACACCAATTTTTCCGTTCTCAACAAAATTTTACCGAGTCGTTTTAACTTAACTACAAAAATCGAATATCTGGTCAGCGAACTTTTTGTGGAGGAAATTTTCAACGAAATAAACTACAGCAAATATTATGCTGAATGCAAGCCAAATATCTGTCGCTATAGTTATTTAAACCGCTTCAATTGGCTTTATCTTATTACCATTCTTCTTGGACTTTTTGGAGGTATAACAGCAGTATTGCGCATCGTTACTCCATATGTCATTCAGATATATTTCTTTATAAAAGCTCGTTTATGTTCGAAACAAGCACGAAGTATTCGCGACGATCAAAATGTCGTCTCCAATCAAAATCGATTAAGAAATCTTTTCCAGCAAATTGAAAGTCAAATCATGAATTTGAATATTTACTCGAGTAGTTCGCAAGATCAAACTCGTATGTACCGTGACGTTCTCTCCACCTGGTTATACATCATTCTATTATTAGTTACCATCTGTATAAGCATTTTCTATTCCGATTTGTCATCTCAAATAGTAAAAGAAACCATTCCGTATCCAACCATCGAACAATATACAAAATTATACCAACAATATTCAACAGATTTAGTATGTCCGTGCACAAACATATCAATACCTTATGGTAAATTCTTGACAGTTCAAGTGAAATATCATCAGATATGTTCGAGTGATTTCATTCGATCCTGGTGGTATGAACGTTTTACGCCTAAAACATCTCTTGATATTGAAATGAATTTCATTTCGTTCGCTTCGTCATACTTTCAAACGTTAGCTGCATTTTGTGATCTCGCGAATGATACAGTACAAGATGTCATTCAACGATTTTTGACAACGACTTTTGTTGATGCACAACTCATATCCAACGAGACATTTACTTTGACTTTTCAATCTCCAATACATTCCCTAATGGAATTAACACGAATTGAATTAGCCAATGCTATCTCGCTAGCGAATACTACGTTGCATGGTAACCATTATTTAAGTAACATGAGAACAAGCACTTCTCTTTCGCCGCAATTGTTCCGAATCGATGGAAAATATTCAATACGTATAATCTCTTCTCAACTGTTTAGTGTTGACGTAAAAAAACAAGTGTGCTATTGTATTTATGACTCGACCTGCACAGTGGATTATATGCTAATGCTCCAGTCGATATCCACGATTGTTACCTGGCAACTTGAAGGGATACATGGAGGTTGTACGGTGATTGATTCGGTATTGAAATCATCAATGATGTGCTGGTTTAAAAAAGGATGTGTAACTCGATTGCAAATACATAATTCAAATAAGAACACGTCGAACGCTTTGCCAATAAGGTTACTTGATCGAAATTTATCTAGTCGATATTCTCCGGATACACGAATTGAAAACATTGTAAATGATATTATGATCGAAGATTGGAATTTCTCGCATTCATTCGACAAATTTTATCACGAATGCAAACCTATGTCTTGTACATTCACTTACGAGAAAAAAACGAATGTTTTCTACATCGTTACGGTTCTTGTTAGCCTTATTGGGGGAATTAATATCATTCTTCGATGGTTTTCTTTAATCATTATCACCATCGTTTTGAAAGTCATCGTTGCGTTCAAATATAAACGATTAATGCGAACAGGAATCGTAAAACAAGACGAGAGCGGTAAGTTAATCTTCGGTTAGGCTATTCTAGGATGAATTCAGTAATTTCTATATATATGTTTAGGAAACAGTGGAATTAGAGGCAAGATTATGATTGTTTTGCATGAGTTAAAAGATACCATTTTGATGTTAAATATCTTTCACAATAAATCGAATGATATCGAGTCCATTCGTCGTCAGCGAATATCAACACGAGTTTACTTAGTCATCTTTTCGATGTCGGTTTACATTATAGCTGTCTATTTTATATATTCCAACACCACGGCAGTCCAATCGGTACAAAAACCTTCAGAAGATGAATATGACAAATTGTTCATGTCGTATGCGAGTTCGTTGGATTGTCCTTGCAGGAAAATATCGATCGACTACAAAGATTTTGTTGGAATCACTAGGAGATTTCATTCGGTATGCTCGAGTGATTTTACCGTTAAAAGCGAATGGCGTGATTATTTATCTCGTCGAACACATGCGGACCTACGCGATCGACGTGATGTTCGTGGAAATGGTCAAGCATATTTTTCGCTTCTTTCGACTCTATGCCAGATAGCAGAAACTGCAGTTGAAAATGCAAATAATCGATTTCTTCATAGCGCATTTATCAATATTCAATTGATGCCGAAAGCTGATTTTCAAAACCAAATTGAAAGCATTTTCTCGCAATTTCGAGGTATAACTCTAGCGAAATTCGCTCGAACTTTACAACTCACGCGTGATGTTCTGAATGGAAATGCGTTTGTGTCTTCCCATTCTCTCAATTGGGAGTGGTGGAGAGATTTATCTCGTGATTTCTACACCCTACCGGCACGACCGATTGTGACTGAAAACGGATGTTCTTGTGGAACACGAAGTGATTGTACCCAGTCAGGAGGAGTTTACAATGCGATTGATCAGTATCAAGTGTTCGCAATGCCTGGTTTGAATATCGGATGTTCAGCTGTTGAAACACTATTACGTTCGACATTGGAATGCTTATATGAACAGAAGTGTATTGATTCATTAATACGCCATATTGCAGCGAATTCAGGTGGAAATCCTCGAATAAATATGTCAAGTATCAATTCTTCAATGTCAAGTCGTTTTCAAAAGAATACAAGTATTAAATATATTATAGATGAATTATTCATCGAAGACTGGTACATTAATAGTTCTTATTCGTCGTTTTACAATCAATGCGCACCGGTTACATGCTCATACAAGATTCAAGTTGATGATTATGTTATTTATACGACTTCGAAAATTTTAGGTTTTTATGGCGGATTAACTATTACTTTACGGTTTAGTATTCCAATTATAGTTGGACTGATTTTCCAGCTACGAGATCGAGGTCGAAGAAATACAATTAATCCTGCTGAATAATTTACTGAACACATGCTTTTCAATAAATAAAAATTTCGTCTTTCTGCATTCTCTTTAGTCTTTGCTTATTTTCAGATTTCTGGAGGAGTTATAATACGACTTAACACCAATCTAAAACTGGCAATGACTCGGAACAAGATAGGCGTTGTTCATGTAAGCTACTTACTTTCCAAGTAAATCGAAATAGTACTGTTGCCTATTTCAGATCCAGATCATCAATTCAAACACTGCCCAAATATCCAATATTCAAAGAGTTGAACCGTTCGTACACTGTGGAGGCGAATACTTAGTAAAAAAGAGCGTTTTTTCAGATACCCACAGAGTCGTAGAAGAAGATCTTATCGGGGTATATGGGTAACTATATTTGTGATCATGGGTGTACTAGGGATGATCGCGATCACGCCTGTTTTCATGAAGAAATTAAAAAATGCACGACTAGCAATGTCAACCACAGTAGCATCAACGATTACAACGACAGAAGAGAAGACAACATCAAAAATAACGACAAAGGCAACAACGACACGAAGAAAAAGTATATATGTATATATATGAAAGAAAGAAAAATAGTTCTTTGTTGCTCCTGCTGTAGTTAAAATCAATCGCAAATGGATGCAAAATGGTATTACTATTGTTGGAGGAACGAAGCCAGGAATAAAACTGTTCACTCCCAGAAAAGTATACATTGACGATGAAGATGATCAGATAATTTATATTGTCGACAGACACAATAATTCCATCGTCAAGTGGAAGCAAGACGTCAACGAAGGTGAAATTATTGCTGGTGGCAACGGAGCAGGAGATAATATGAACCAATTAAACCTACCGTCAGCTTTAATTATTGACAAATATACGGACTCGTATATAATTTGTGATTCGCGTAACAGACGTGTTGTGCGATGGTTCAAACAAAACCATGATGAAGCACATCAACAAATAGTCCTATCAGAAATTGATTGCTCCGATTTATCTGTAGATAGTGAGGAAAACTTTTATCTAGCAGATTATCAAAATCTTGAGATAAAACGATGGAGAAAAGAAGAAGCACCAGCAACGGTTGTAGCTAGTGGAAATGCGCTTGGAGATCAAAGCAATCAAGTGCGCCTTCTTTTGAACTTTTTTGTCGATCGAAATCAGTCAATTTATCTAGTAGATGCATACAATCATCGTGTATTAAAATGGGCGAAAGGCACCTCAGAAGCGACGGTCGTTGCTGGTGGACATGGTGAAGGAGATAGTCTCACACAATTACGTACTCCTTCGGACATAATTGTCGATCAACAGGGAAATATTTATATAGCTGATCAATGGAATCATCGAATTATGTGTTGGTTAAAGGGTTCGAAAGAAGGCAGCGTTATCGTTGGTGGAAAGGGAGAAGGAAATCAATCCAATCAATTGAGTCGTCCGTTGAGTTTATCATTTGATCAACAAGGAAATCTCTATGTTGCGGACTATGCCAATCGTCGAATACAGAAATTTGATGTTATTGATTGATGAAGTAATCGTTTTGTCGAAATATCTTAGACTATATTTCTATTCTTTAATTAAAAATAAACTGATTAATTGTATTTTTGAGCTCTCGAAGTGTACTATAGTAAGAAAAAAAAGTTCAGTATATCACTTAAACGGTACAGTAACGCAAACTGCAAACCGGTGGTGCTACGAGAAAAAATACATAGAAGTCACTACACTTAGTCACTGTCACACCATTAGACCAATTACAAATATTGTTACCCCAATGGTAACAGGTAGTACCGGACGATATTGTACCAGTTTCTGATGGAAATGCGCCATTAAACCAGCCGGTGGCGTGTGTTCCACATTGATGTATAGGTACAGTATAATTAACCAGCATTGTTCCCGCACCGCCTGAGAATCGAAACCATGATCCTGAAACCGTCATTGGGCTTTGGCGATCGCACAATACAGTTGTGCGCACAGAGTTTATATTCCGTGTGCTATCAGTAATCAACGTGTAGTTTGAACACTGTGTTGGAAGAGGAGTCATCGTACTTTGCACTAAAGCAACAAACAAATTTTACAACAAAAAAGCTGCAGTCATTAGCCTAAAGTACAAAAACGATTTACGTACCACAATCATTTTGAATTAGATCGAACTTTTGAATCCGATGATTACGTACGTCTGTAACAAAAATATTGCCGTTGCTATCGAATGCCATGGCGTATGGTTCATTCAACTGATCAGGTGCTGTTCCAGGCGTATGCGAACATCCAAACAAGCATTTAAATCCGCCAGATAACGAGCGAATAATTCGATGCTTTCCACTGTCGACAATAAACATATGATCGTCGCCATCAAGAACAACATCAGTTGGTCGATCTAAAATGAAAATGACTTCTGCTCCAAAGCCAGCTATTGTGATTCCATTCGTTTCATCTCGATCAAACCGTTGGATTCGATTATTGCGACTATCGGCAACATATAGGCGAAAGTCTTTATCAACAAAGATTCCATGTGGATGATCAAGCATGTTCATTACTGGTCCAGAACATCCAGTACCGGCTATAACTCTTGGTCTTAATGCGTTACTGTTATGATCTAACTTATAAATAGAATGAGATTCTGAGGACGAACAATATAGACTTTTGAGTATATCAACAAAAAGTCCTGTACATGAACTAGCCACTTCCATGACAGATTCAATAACTGAGCCGTTCCGCGACCATCTATCTACTGCATTCTTGTGGAAACCATTATCGATATAGATGTCATTGTTCTCTGTGACAAAGAGACTCCATGAATTAGTGAAGTTCGCCATGATAGTTTTGTTGTAAAAGGGCGATTGTTTGTACCAGATTAGGATCTGACCGTTTTGCCGCTCGGTTACGAAAATCTTGTCGTGTCGATTAATGAAAATGTCTGTTGGTTGCTGACCGATACAATTCTGATCTGCAAATGTAGTTGCTGCGTCATTCCATTTTGCACACGAACTGAACTTAGGCTGATTGAAAGACGTACCTTATGACGACACAAATAAAAAGGCTTTAATCGGATCGAATAGTATAAAATGGTATTTACCTAGACAAGTGTAAGTAGTCGCTAATAAAATGATAATCCAATTTTTCGTTAACATGAATAGAATGCTGTTCTTTGTAAAAAGTTAACTCTACCTAGTCATCTTGGAAATTGAGTGGAACAAGAATAACAGTCGTGATCTAACATATTTTCAGTCTACTAGTAATTTAATCTGTGGAACACGATTGTTTCATTCTTTGTTAATCATCACATCTGACTGTAACCGTATTCCTTAGCGAAAGTCAGGCTTGACTTTTTTTTCATAGAAAAGATCACGTAATGTTTCCCTTTGGGCACAGTTTTTGTCTCTAATGATAAAGAAAATATTGAAAAAAAACCAGCAGAATGATATGGATATAAGGTAATCTCGCAAGTCACCACGATTATCCAACTTGGATGTAGATATGCAAACGAAATTATGCTCCCATTTCAATTCAGAAGTGAATAATTTCAAACATTGCACAGAATACGTTTGCTATCATTCATCTGTTGGTCTCGTTCGAATGATTTGAAACCATCTGGAACGATACGCACCTACACATTTTTTAGTCACTTTTCCAACGTCATTATTTACAATTTTGTATAATGGTTACGAAACAATTTTTCTTATCTATTTTGAAATCTAACAATCACATTTCTCTCTAGTTCTGATCAATAATCGAATGTTACTGTGCATACAAGTCTATTTTCTCTCATTTCATAGCTATCAACTGACAGTTTTATAATAAGTCATATCAAGCACATTCATTCGTATACACAATACAAAAGAAGAATGTCTCGAACCCCTGCCAATCGATTAGGCAAAGACAACAGAGTTCGAGCCGAAGCTCGTGAAATAGCTAGCGAACTTGGATATGGAAGTGGTGGTGTAGGACTTGGCTATGGGGGTCCACGTGTGAGAGCTATTTTTATTCCATGTCCACCGCAATATGGTATGGGTGGTCAACAATATCTTCCTGGTGGCATGGGTGGTATGGGTAATTTTGGCGGCTACGGAGGAGGAATACCGGCAGCCCGAAATAGGCCTTTTGTGACAGCTAATGAAGTAGTTTACAATCAGTTTTAATGAATTGAACTATTAACCACTTAAAACACAACCATGAACGAAAACCAATCGGACAATATCGTTGTTTTGCGTATTTTCTACTGGAGCCATTAAAATAAAATATCTGTTCACTATAGAGAACCGTTCTTTTTATATTGATGAATCAGCCGAGTGTCATATTTCACAAGCTTGGGATTGGAAGTTGTCGCAAGACGGGGACTACCATATGTTTTGACAGGAAAGCGGAGTGGTATGAATAACGAAATGAGAACTCATTTGAGAACAAGCTCAATACCATTGTTTTTTTGTGAATATGTATTTGTGCACATTAGAGAGAAGAACGAAGTATTAGTTCGTTGCTGGTTTTTGTCACGGCACAAGTGTATTATACTTTTCGAAAAAAGTCGCGTCCAGACGTTGACTTGTCATATAGAAATAGAGAAACAAGAAAATATTTTATTTGATGACTTTGTTGTTCTATGATGAATCAAATGCTTAAAAAATATGATGCTCAAGATAAAATAATGTGATATTTGCGGGCCGTAAGAAGAAAATCACATATCAGGACATATGCACATATACTTCTCGCTGTGTAACTTTACCTGGAAATTGTCGTTTTCGTTGATATTATCACAGATAAATCTGAGTTTAATTGTTACTCGGAAATCAATGTTGCTGTCCATGATATTTGCTCGTACCTTTCTTCATATATATATAGTGTGAAAGGTACGATCGATTCATTGCATTGAAGTTTAATACTTTATTTACTGTGTACAGGAAAGAAAACTTATCTCTATGAATCCGACTCAATCGTTGCTGTTATGCTGCTTCGTAGCTTTTCTAGTACATACTTCACAAGCTTGGGATTGTTACGAGACATGGAGCCGTTGTACACGCTGGTCCTCACCAGCGACTGGTATTCTTTGGCAAGATTGTAACAGTTATTGTCAAGGTTGCTACAATGCAGCGAGTGGGACTTGTCGCAAGGTAAAAACTACAAAGTGTCTTGGAAAGACAATTGAAGCATACCAATGCCAATGTTCAGGAAAGTGGAGTGGTAAAAATAAACCATGGTGTTTTCCTTTTGGATTGGGAAGATAAAAAACTGAACTCATGTAACAATGCTATCGATTTCCTTCGCTCAATTGTTTCACTTTGCCTCCAGTAATCTTTTTTTTCTTCATCAACTGTCGTCTATCCCTTCTGAGAAAGTGTTTTTTTTTGTGTATATTAAAGAAGAGAACAAACTATAATGATTCATTTCTCTTCTATGGTATGACGCATAGGCGTGTAATGTACTTTTCGAAAAAAAAATCATGTCCAGGCGTCGGTGTCCTATACAGAAGCAGAGAAACGATGAAATATCTTGCTTACTTACTTCATCGTTCTGCCAGAGAACGTTTATATTCTCATGTTTTTTGAAAATAGTACATAAATAATGTACTTTTGCTCGAAAAAAAGAATTATGCGATGATTTATAACTAACAACTTTACGCAAGTATAAAAGCACAGATAAAATGCCACTGGATAATATTCGTCTCAACTACAACAATAATTATGAATTCAATCTTCTCTACAACTTTACTTCTTGGTTTCTTATGTCTTGCATCGAATTCTGTCCAAGGTAGGAATCGTGTAGAACAATAATCCGATGAATATTTCTTTGTCTAGGATCGGCTCGTTGTCGTCGAGCGGTATCAACATGCATTCTAACACCTGAAACAACCGAAGGTCCATATTCATGGAACACAACTCTGATGCGTCAGAATATCTCGTAAGTGAAACCGTTATTATCCAAACGTCACTTTTATCAAATGAATTTTTGTTTGATTCAGAGAAGATCGTCCAGGCATTCCATTTCGATTGTATCTCACAGTCATGAACATCAACACATGTGAGCCAATCGTAAATGCAGCTGTGGAAATTTGGCACTGTGATGCACTTGGTATCTACTCACATTATATTCAAGCTAGTAACAATGTACAAAATCCAAAAACTGACAACTCTACCTACCTTCGAGGTAATTAAACATACTTTTCGACGTAAATCATTGTTTTCTCGAATCTTAGGTATGCAATTAACCAATGCTAGCGGTGTTGCTACGTTTGATACCATCTATCCCGGCTGGTATACCGGTCGAGCAACACATATTCATGTTCGTGTTCATCTCAATGGAGTGTATGTCACATCTACCGGTTACTACTCTGATGGAAGTCTTGTGAAAACTGGTCAATTATTTTTTAATGATTCATTGACAGATTTAGTTGCACAACAATCACCCTATTCAACTCATACAATTACACGTACATTAAATAGTGTTGATACAATTTATCAAAGTAGCACAATTACTTTGATGGATATTCAATATGTCAGTTCAGCAGCGGGATTATCAGGTGGTATGGTTACATCAGCTACGCTAGGTGTGTCATCGTCATCGACGTCATCATCAACAACAACAAAAGCATCCGCAAGCACAACGACCGCACGGACATCCAGCACGACTACTGTACGGACATCAAGAGCAACAACGACTACGCAGCGTTCACAAACGGGTGGAGCGAATAATTCTAAGCGACCATGGTGGCAATTCTTTGGCTAAACATGTGTGTATGAATAATCATTATCACTGACGTTCGTTTTATTGTAACACAAAGCTTCTAATAAACAAGTAAAGTTTATCCCTAATCATTTACAAATACTGTTATAACCTCGCTAAATGGAAAAGACGATATGCGAAGAAATCAAAGGCATAGAACCCACGTAGTAATGATATAATTCAAATCGGAAATTAACTGCAGGGTTTTACTAAGCCGGTGGTGGTGCATAATTTATCAAAATATTCGTTTGCCTTCCATTTGATCTTGATAGTTCGCATTAGTTTACTGATAGTAGACGAAAAAGATGATTGTCTGTTCAATTACTGAATATGATCCCAAGTAGACTGTCGAGATGTTCAGGGGAGAAAGTCGTATTCACTCCCTTCACCCTCGACTGAGGATAGTTCATTAGTCAACTTCAGACAACTTTGTTGAGAGTAGTGTAGGTCAGATGTATGAACATTATGTCATTTTCAGGAAAGCCAAAGAACGAATTCTTTTCGGATCAGACATTTACAAGGGGCAGAATGCGAGTAACCGCGCTACGCATAATAACACTCTTTGTTCGCAGAAAATCAATAGCAAATGTTTGTCTAAGATTTCCACAGCTCGATTACATTTTCAACTGAAATTTTAGATTTCACTTGCCATGAAACAATGATTGGATGGATTATTAAATAAGGCGCATTATGTCACAAACACACGTCACAATAATTTCTTTCTTCTCACCTACCTTTCAGCCGTTATATCATAAAAGTAAAAAATATCCTTCCTTCTTACTGTGCTATCTGCCAAGTTCATCGATACTTTTCAGTATTAATATTTGATAACAAATCAATCCTAAACATTCGAAAGTTGTTACAAGAATTTTACTAAAGTTTGCAAAATCAGTTTCTTCTTTTTTTGTGTTAATTGAACGGAACACTCTTTCTCTCCGAGCAAAAGGAAGTGCGTCGTTCAGGTGAGTAATAATCCTGTGAAAAAGAGTTCTCTTCTTTTGAATACATCTATATAGAACTTTCATTTACGATAGAAACCTACAGTTTAAATTTTTAGATTGTCAAGGTTTCTTTGAAAAGACTCATGCACTTTACTTCATCTAGTTACAAGAAATGAGTCCCCTAGCTGATGAAATCGGTTATGTCAATTGAATAGCTCGAAACATTTTAGTACTCGGTGATGTATTCTTTTTCGTTCTTGGCGTCATTGACAACTCTAGCAATATCGTGGCATTTTCTTATTTGCCTCATTTCAACAAAAGATCTACTTCAGTCTTTCTCTTATTTTCATTTCTTGGAAGTCAAGCAACACTTCTTACTGGCTTATTACCTCAATTAGTCTATCCACTTACTGGCAACGATCCATTGATTGTTTCTGTTATCCTTTGGAAATTACGATAGTATTTTGGCGGTTCTAGCGCATGTATTGTACTGCATTGCTTAACATTAGCAGTTGTGAATCAATACCTATTAACGTCTCGTAATCTGGGGCGACATACAATGCTTATATCACTTTAATCATTTGTAGCATAGGTTCCATCATTCTGCTATCGATATTTCCACTCTTGACATGACGTCCAGCTTTGGAACGATCGTTGACTCGCTTAGCATCAGTTGGTTGTGCTATCAGACGAATTGATTCATTATATAAATTGAATATACCACAGACTGTAATTCTAATTGCTCAAGAGAATGTTATTACTAATGCATTCATATTAGATGCTTTTACTATTCATACATTTCCGTTTTACACCTATATGATAAATTCGAAAGTGTTTCGTTCAAATATGTCATCTGTATCAATTCAAAAGGTATCCAAAGTTCGTCCTACTGTTTAATAAAAAGACGTAAGTGAACTTTTTAAGCTCACTTTACATCACATTTTGAAAGAAAAGATCCTTACCTTTCATATTCATCTGTAGAACGTTCTCAACGAGCGAAGAATAATTATAATTGGCTCGTATATCAAATATTTATTAACAAGTGTAGAAACAATTACATTCTCATTATTTCCACTTAGCTAGATTCTAGTAGCAGCTAAATAAAGTTCTACTTTGTAACACAAATGTTTTCTTTCGCTTTATTCTTCGAGGTCAATAGTAACTGATAATCGAGACGAAAGCAGAGATGCACTGTTTATTTTATTATGGATTGACGACACATGTCGTAAGCAAGTTTATGTATATCAAAAGAATATATTGTGAGTGTATTGTTATTCGACCAAAAATGCGCTAAATTGACGAGAGAAGAATGTCGTCAAATATATCCACATTTAAAGTTTTTTTCTTGTCTTCTTATCTAATTAAAGTGTACGTATGAAAACACACATAGAATTATTCGGATTTATTACATTATCATCCTGATAAGAATCGCACGGTGATTTTGCTTCCGTCGCTGATTCATCAACTTGTGGAGAATTTTAAAATCCCTATGAGGATATAATATTGCGAGGTATGTTTGCGTACTGTTTGCCTACTTTTTGATTACAACCCTTCTCCTTTACCAAAGCACTACAAATTAAACAGTAAAGCCTTCCAGGAAGTTGTCATCCTATCGCTCAAACTCGCGACAGTATTTGCAACGCAATCGATTGCACCGTAAATAATTATTCGAAGTTGTTTTCGTTGTCTTCGTGGTTTTGAGGTAAAAAATGTAGATAATCACCAGTTTTTCTTCAACGTTCGAGTTGGCTTCCCAGGAAGTAGAATTTAGGTACCACATGTTTACGCAGTCGTGTCAAGCAGAAATGGTTCAATGAACATATTCATTTGATGTCGACCGTACGGTGAAACATCGATTACGTGTATAGTTAGACCTGAGCAGCTTAGTTCGTTTTCTTCGTTTTATGAATCGTATTATCCAATAAAATGACACAACCAAAGCAAAGACAACAAAATCCATATCGCTGATCAGAAGCACTTGACTTCTTATTATGATGGTGTCCATCGAACACCTAACCTCGTTGATACAGAATCAAATCAATAAATTGCCTGATAACATAAAAAGGGACTTGAAGAATATGAAATGGAAAACACAGTGATATTGAAACGAAGAATTCCACAGATTTGGAATTTGGGGTAATATATATATATCATGTTCCAACAAGCGAGTTTTCAACATTTGAGCTGCGTTGAGGTGGTATGACGAAGTAAGAACTATTTTATTATGAAAGGGTTGAAGACTTCTGAATCAACCTTTACCCACTGACACAAATGTAGATAAGTATATTCACTAGCATGATTTCATCATTTGCGATTCTGTTATTCTGAGTTGATAAATATAGACGTTGAAGAATCATATAATTTTAATCGAGAGAGAGAGAGAGAGAGAGCTGTAATGAGTGAAGTGTGTTGTATTTTGCTCTTCATACTCACTCGCTGCTTTTCTTTAGTGAAACAACATGCAATTACATTTATAACGATATCTGTTTCATTACATATTAGAAGTCCTTTTTTGTAGCATCATGTCGTTTCACAATCAATCTGAGATGCAAATACTATTAAAGCCAAGTGATACTGTCGTCATGCTAGCAAAGCTTCAACTAGTTATCAATCATTCTGCGCCAGTGTTTCTTATTTTCGGTACTTTTGGGTTTCTTGGCAATTGTTTTACATTTCTCCACCCGATAATTCGTACGAATACTTGCTCAATTTACTTATTATGCGGCACAATCAGTGATGAACTCGACCTTCTTCTTAATCTCCTACCAAATTATCTTACTCTCTTTGGCTATACCATTCCGTATGTGGCAACATCATCTTCAATGTGTAAATTTGTTATGTTTATTCATACATTTCTACCTCAACTGTCAGTTAGCTTCTTAATTCTCGCTCTGATTGATCGATTTGCTTGTTCATGTGATTTAACATCCAAATGGCGTCAAATCAATAGCCTAAAAATAGTTCCTTGGATGATTGGATTAACAATACTCTATAGCCTACTTATCGGCATTCAAGCAATATTTTTCTATGATGTTACTCCACCGTTTGCATTATACTGTATACCTACACAATCGTTTTTGTGTAGTGTGCTGTACATTATAACGAGCACATGTGTTCAAGTGTCGCTTCTCTCACTTTTTGTGTTACTCATCTTTCGAAATGTGACGCGTAGTCGAAAGCGGGTGGTAAATAATCTTCTTGTTTCACAAAAAGTTTTCTTTCTTACTTTTTCTCTGTCTAGAATGTTGCAGCATCTGGTCGAATGAATCGGCAGTTTATTCGTACAACCGTTGTGCAGGTGTTTGTAACTAGTTTCTTATCAATTCAGTGGATAGTACTCTATTCTTTCGTCATTATCAATAGAGAAGATAGTTTCAATGTGTCTTGGGAACGAATCTCGATCATTAACTTCATATTTACTTTAGGTTATCACGTATTCTATATTAATAGCGTTAAATCTTTCTATGTGAGCACTTTATCCTCAGCGTTATATCGCAAAACTTTCCGAATGGCAATCAAAAAAGCTTTTACCATAAAATACGGTGATCAGTGACGTTCGATTTACCTAATTAATACATTTCTTTGGAAATATTTTGTACGAATGCGATAATACATTTTCCTCTAGCACACAGTATTGAATAGCTTGAAAAACATCTTCAATCAGCAGATCATTCGCATACGTTTTAGATTATGCTATTGACGAGCATAGTGGTGACACAAATTACATAAAACAATGAAAAAAAAAGCATATTGAGGCTTCATATGTTTCGATACACACGCACACGCATTGAAAATCGGATAGTATGATTTAACAATAGTAGAGTAAATCTTCGACATGTGGATTACGAATCCTGATCGGTCTTGGAAGATTGTTCAAATAGTTTCTTCATTTGACACCAGACAAATCCCAATTGTGATTGTCGCTGATCATTTAATGACTAAAAAAGAATAAGAATTCACAAATAACACAATCTATGCGCAATAAAATCTTTTTATTCACTCGTTTTCCAAGCCATAAGTGAAGCCGTTTAGGTGTGGAACAATATTCTGACGGATACTCGGGTTGACATGTTGCAGTACAATGAAGATATTGTTCGATACGATTAATAATCAAACTGGGATCGTACTGGGAAGCTAGTATTGTGTTTTTCATTGACTTATGAACAACGAAGGAAACACTTGTCAATTGTTTGAATTTATCAATAAAAGAAATCATATCTGATCTGAATTTAATAATGCACTGATTGATATGTTCGACACAAGGAAATAAATTACTTAATTTTCTGATATTATCGGCATTTTCTATGGAAACATCACAATCGCTTAATTTCAATGTACGGACCTGTTTGAACGGCTCTAATCCACATATACGCAAGATTTCTGATATTCCAGACGAATTTGCCAGACTTAAAGTGTGAAGTTTTGGCATATGATGTTGAATATATTTCAATAAAGGATATGAGGCGGGACCAATGCTCAAATCTTCTACCTGTTCCAAGTCAAAGATTGATATTAAGTTCTCCCATCGATCGTTCCAAAAAAGTTCAAGAGTTTTAACCGAACTAAATCGAAAGTTATGGGTCAGAGATGCTCTTTCATGAACGATTGAGCTTTGAGGTCTATAGAGAATTGGATGATTGGGTACTGTTGAGTATAGAAATGAATTGGATGATATGTTCGCATACGGTAAAGCGAAGTCAGAAATTGTAAATAGATATCGGTCATGATAAGCGACAAACCAACGTTTTTCTTCAACCCAGAAAGGTGTTCGAAACGAATTCACATACATTTCGCTTTGTAAACGAAATTTAAAACTGAATGAGGACAACGATTGGGTAATCGTTTGCCAATAATATCCAGTAGCCATAGTCATATCAACATTTTGATACAAGATTTTTACTTCAAAATGAGTTAAATTCGGAAAATTACGTAAGAATTGTCCAATTTCATTGAGTGACATTGTTACACCTACAAATATATGTTCCGTTTTACACAGTGGCTTGAGACGCTTTTCGACGAGCGGTTTAAATTCTGATGAAAATATGCTATTTTCGTACTTACCGGCACTTGTTACACTAAGTTGTGTCAATGAATAACATGGTTGACCTCCAGTAAAATCATACAGGTTACTGAGGCAAAGAGTAAGAGATTGAAGTTGAGGAGCATGCTGAAAAATTTTGTTCACATTAGACATTAATGTTCCAGAATTTAGTTTTAAGTGAAGTAGATTTGGAAAATGCATCACTGTTAATACTTCTGAATAGTTCGTACATAAATATCTAAGTCGAAGAAATATTTCAGCACAAAACCTATGTGAAGAGGAACAGATGTTCATGTGTGGTGTTCGTCGGTTATCTCTAGAATCAATACGAATTTCTTTCCCACCGAAGTCGTCAAGCGAAACAGCCTGCAATTGTTTCAATTGAGATAAACTAGGTAAAATTTCGCGTAATGATCCATAGTTGATTTCAATTAATGAGATCGATCGAAGATTTATAAATTGTTCGATTTGAAAATAAGATAGGAATAGTTTCGATTGACTGGGTGTGTCATTTTCGTCCGAAAGTATCAATGAAATGACTTGCTCAGGTGAAATCCATTCACAGATATGATGAAAAGCTGATTTTCTGATGGACCGACAATTGATTCGATATGTGGGATAAGATTTTAAAATTGCATCAATGCGATCATTAAGATTAGAAAATGAATGAAGAGCTTCATGCGCCCAAAAATATTTCAATACGTCATAAAACAATTCAGTTGGCAAACGATCCAATTGAGTCATTTTCGTATTATTATTACTCTAACTTTGCTGTTTTGTTTTGTGTAAAAGTGAATTTTCGGTTACCTTTTAATACGTGAAAAGATAACAGTATTTCATTTATCTCAGTTTGTTTTGAGTAATTTGCATGATATAAATTTACGCATTTCTTATGTTCATCTACCTTCGTTTTGTTGATATACTTTTATGTGAAAGTGACTCGTTACAATACTTCAACATAATTTTTTAGAATTGCTAGATAAAACGAATTCAATGCTTAAAAACATCCCACATCCTGAATAGTAGAGTATAAATGGAAGAAAATCAAGTAAAAAGCTATCGCATGTTGTGTTTTTTTTTGTGGGAAAAAGTGAACTAATATATGTTTTAAGATAACTTTTTTTCTTTTCTTCAGTCTGCTTTTCACCTCATCTGTGCTAAGGATTTACTTTGAGTTCGACGGCAGAACAAAGATCACTAGAACACTGGGAAAAGATGGTGTGTTTATGAGCGATGAGATCGCATCTTTCGCTAGCAAACCCACGCGTTCAACTGACAGTACAAAATAATTAAGAAAAATATGAAAGTTCACCCTCAAGTCATTCGAAAAAAAAATTCTTCACTGAATATCTTTATATATTTCTTCTTCATAACTTTCTATCCGTAAAATTTAGCATGAAAAATCTTTCCATTATATTTGTTTAGTGACGTATGATCAATTTTTCTCGAAGTTTGCATACATGTTTTTTATCCTTGAAAACACACATGACTCGTGCATGGACTTGTAATTTTAAATTAATAACAATGTTTCAAGTATCACGCGGAGAAAGTTCAAGCGAGATTCATATCTCCGTATATAATTATTGTTCTAGAGTGTTGAGCTAGTGCCATCAGATAGAAAAAATATCACATGATATAAAGAGACGAAGTGAAACACCGTGAATATTGAAATATTACACTCCAGCTCATTAGTACATTCACCTTCCCTCATACATCGTTTAACATGGATATAATCTCATATATTGCTTTGATATGATATGACATCCTACCTAGGAGCACCGATGTTCACAATGATTACCGTTCTTGTTATATAGAAGGTACATGAATATTAATTAAAAGTATTCATATCTATGAGCTTTTTTCAATATAATTATTAACATAGACCGTTATTCCTCTGCGAAACGCTGCTCTTCTTTTATAGATCTTTTTAAGTGAAACTACAGTAATCATGTTATCAAGTATCGCTTTCACTATCATTTCTATAGCAAGTACTAGTTTTACAATTTTGATCACTCTTCCTATTGTTATTATCCTGTACATTCGTTTACACCGTGAACGAGCTACTGTGATTCTCCTGTCAGCCAATACGTACGTGGGCTTACTCACATTTTCTATCATACTTCTGTCGACAAACATTAACGTTCTTCGAGCGGATTTGTTCGAAACGAGTTTGGTAAATACCGGTGGGTTAACTGCTTGTCAGCTTCAAGGTTTTCTTGTCTATGAACGCTTCGGCTGCTGTTATTCAAGTTTTGTTCTTCAAGCACTCTCTCGTTTATTAAAAGTCTTATATCCCAAACGAACAATTCTTCAGGTATGTGTACATAATAATCAGATGTAAGAGTAAAGGTCTCTTTTTCGTATTTTAGTCATTCAAATTCAATCTAGTTTGCATTGTCTTACAATGGATTCTATGCTTTCTTCTTCTTCTACCTTCTTACATATGGCGAGATCTATTCTATTCACTTTACGAATTTGATTATTACTGCGGCATACGTTATGAGAGATTATTTTATCTCTGGTATGTCATTTTCAATATATACGTCTTACCCCTTACTTACATGGCTATAATCTACATTCGATTGATGTATTATATACGTCGTGGAAACCTTGAATTATTGCAAACACAACGAGGACGAAGTGCACAACGTAACTACGTTGTTATACGTCGTATTTTATGTACTATGACTGTTCTGGCTTTAGCAGGACTACCGAACGTCGGTTTAGCTATTTTAGCATATATCAAGCCGAACTTGTCCGGCTATTATTATATGTACCGAATTCAATGGATGGTTCCAACAATAACGATGTGTACTCTTAGTATAGTACTTGTATTTATTACCCCACAGCTAAAAAAGGTCATCATGAACGCAAAACTCCCAGATAAACAAGTGATGCCTACTTGAAGTCAAACCTTTAACTGTGCTTATATAACAAATGTATTGTGAAATCAAAATAAACTTTGTTCTATATATAGGACTTTGCATGAGATAGTGATAAAAATAAATATTTCGAGTGTTCTACTACTTCAGACACATTATCAGAGCGAAGAAAATATATTGCCTTTCAAGCTCTAAGGCTGTGTTTAGTTAATATGAATAAGTCATTTATTTTTCAGATAGTTCATATAGTACATCATCTGTATAAAAATATCTGCTACTTTCGTTATTCCCTTACATCTGCTCGAAACACGTGCGCTGCTGTTTATGTGCTGAATGATTCATTCACTATTTCGCAATGTGCTCTTAGGCAAATCGATGATGTTATTGCGCATATTAATGTAAATATAGGTCAAACACATCTTATACCGTCTATTCATATTAGATTTCTCGTGTATATGGCTACACAATCAGCAAAATTAACTTCATTTGTTTATGAGGATTTAATTCGTCAAATTCAATTCATTCAAACTCATATAATTCAGTTGACGAACTATCTAAACGATCGATGCCAAACGGATTTGAAATCACGATCATTCTCTTTTAGTGATCCATTCGGAAACGAAATCACTCAGAAGTTTATGGATCATGAAATCATCGAAATTATCTTTAAAAAATATGTCACAGAATATATATCAAAACATTTACGACCATTTATCAAAATCGGGAAAATGTGCCACGGTCACATCCAACTGATGTACGAACATGAGCTCAAATTTAATGCATCGCAATTTCGTGATGGCTTCCAGTTTATTGCGTGTTGTGAAATAACCGTTTGGGTGGGCGATTACGAAAGTTCAATATGCAGACGAGTGGTAATACCAGTGCGTTTGTTGGATAGTATTGAAAGCGTTAATAACGGCTTGAAGATTCCACCGAAAATTACAAATGTTGAATTTAAATCATTAAGAAACGATCGAAATATGAAACCGACGAGAGATAATTGGGACCAAGGTAAACCACTCATGTCTTCGGATACAATTGGTTCGTCTCAATTATATCAAAACGATACAATTCTAATGGCAAAATTGATACAACCACATGCAGATCCTGCGCATTCCAGTCCTACTTTTCAAATATTCGTCAGAACTCTTAAGGGTCAAGTTATTACATTGACAGTCCGTTCTGACATGTCCATCTGTGACGTAAAAATACTTATACAAAACAGTGAAGGTTCATCTCCTGACATGCAACGTCTAATCTTTGCTGGAAAACAGCTGGAAGACGATCGAACTCTGGCAGATTACAACATTCAGAAAGAATCAACATTGCAGATGGTGCTCCGATTGCGCGGTGGAATGTATCATTTTACAAGTGGTCGACAAAATTTTCAACAGTTATCTTATGATAGTGCAAAAGCAATCCAAAATATTCTCAATTATGAACTCACAAGTATCAGTGATGTGAGTGACTCATCACCAATGGAAATACAAGACAAGATTTTACAAGCACAAACACTTCTTTCGGCACTATACAGTACAATCAGAGAATATTCAGTTGCAAATAATATTGTCAATCTAAAAACGATTATTCTCGAATAGAAAAATCAAAGGGAAAGGAACTCTGTATTTCATTTTACAAATAAACATTTTTATACAACATATAGTTTATAAGTCATTCGAGCATCATCGTAACGAGAGTGAATGTTTAATCAGCCGACAACAACTTGACGACGTGGGTGTGGCTGTGAAAGAATCGATGTTAGTAATAACATACTGCAGCAACAGAAAACTTTCCAACTTTGTAAGAGAATGAGTCATCAGGGAAATTCCGACAAGCTTTTATTATTTATATTACATTTCGTTTCGCAGAAGGAATTAACCGTGGTACTTCCGTTCTGTTTGCGACTACAAGCTCATATACGTAAAAATATATATTCAGTGCATTGCATTGCATTATATTAGTTTGAACAAAAAAAAAACAGCGATGAAAAAAATCGTTGTCATTGGTGCTGGCCAGATTGGCAGAGAAACGGCTTGTCAAGTAGCTGAGATGGGCTATGATGTTGATATTATCAACAGATGTACCAACGAAAGCCAAGCAGCTTCATCTGCAGATCAAGCAGGGGCGCGGGCTATTATCGACAAGAATAGCCTCAAAGTGGTGGAACTACTGAATGCTCGTATGACAGGCAAACTAACATTTAAAAAGTATGCGAATGAAGAAGAATTGGGTGTTTTGCTATGCGAAGCTAATTTTGTAGCAGTTTGTGTCGGAAGAACTTTAAATTCCATGTCGAACGAGAGTAAGGGCATACCTCATCCTTTACAAGGCGCTGTGGAAAATTCCAACATATATGAAGCTATTGGCAAAGCAATTGCGGAGAATGCTGCCGATGACGTGCGTGTTTTATCAACTGCAATTCCGGTGGAAGTCGTTGCAAATACTTTGTATAGTTCAATCAAAAAGAACTGGAGCAAATCAATCGAACGGAAAACTGAGTTTCATGCTGGACGCATCTGTGCAGGTGGAACTTTGCTCGATACGATTCGCTTAAAAAATGTAGTTTTAGATTATATCAACGCAAAAGAAGAAAGAGCTACCGAAATTATTGATGTTTACGCCCTAGGAAGTCATGGATATGGCCCATATTCAGATCAGTATGAAATTGGTCTTATGGCCTCGACACATTGTGGGTCTATTCGATTTGGTGGTGTCAGAAGGTTAGATGGAACTTGGACTGATGGAGATTTGATTCCATTCGATCAGATCATTAATTATGCTGAGAAACAAACACTAATGAAAGCTGCTTTTACACAGCCTGTTTACATTAGGGACGCTGCTGGAGAACGAGCCTTGCACAAAGAAGCTGGCAGAAGTAATGCAGTGGTCATTAAAGCATTCCTACAACCGGAACTGTTCCAAGGTATGAAGTTGTCATTGGCCGTCTTCAGTAAAGACAAGCAGTTGTTTTACGGAGGAGTTTGTACAATGACTGAAAGCGGCTTGTTTGAAGAGATACCACCCTCAACTTATTTATCATCTCAAGAACAGGAAGTATTCAATGTACGAATACGTGGCATACAGAAAGTAAATGATGCTATCAAAACCACTGCACCAGGTACGTCTCTTGACACGATTGTAGCATTGGGTAAACAATTGGATTTGCAACCTCAACAACTTATTGGCTTCATATAACTCGAGATCATTTTTGTAATGTTTCTTTGTTGTTCATTCTAATTCCGAAAAGCGATATAATTATGATACCGTTCCTCATAAGAATTCATATCTTCAACAATCTCGCACAACGAGAATATTCGTATGTGGTAGGAATTCATTATATTTGAAAGAAAATACCAGTTATCCATTATATATACTAAACACAGAAAGAAAAAAGCAGCTTTTTCTTCTGTAACAGTAGAAGAGTTTTGCTTTTTTCAAGATTTACGTAGTGCAAATCTTCCAGTTTCTATCGTAGCACAACTATAGTTTGATCATTTGCAATAAAAACGGTTCTGCAGAAAAAAAGTGTTTCGAGTTTAACATTTTTTGAACACATACAATTGCAACAGTGTAAAAACACTGCAGCAAACTCAATGTCACATACTAATAAAAACTTGCCATTACATGTATTTCTAAATACCAGCTGGAACTGATGAAAAGGAAAAGAATTAATTTCAACGTGAGTGAAATATCGCATTTGCAACACATTACAATTAACAACTGAAATCGTTTTTCTGTTAGTCTCTTTTTCTACTGTTTGCATAGTGAAGGTTCTCTTATTCAATGATCATTGAATGTATGAAAAGAAGTTGTTGATTTTAACAAGCATATTTTTGTAGGATGCGTTCATTTTTACTTTTTTTTTATTTTGGTTTCAGTGTTGGGAGGATGATTTTTTGTCAGTATCACATGGCTGCTATTCAATGATTTTTCATATCAGATAAGCAGAACAATTCAGTACAGATGTTTTTAATTGGATCATAATTGAAATATTCAATTGCTTTATCGTTCTATCAAACCTCTTGTTTAGTTTTCTCAATATTTTTCACCAAATTTCCAAACATCTTCGTAAAAGTTATCATGCGTATGATTGTAAATATTCTTTATGTGCTGAGTTTACCGTGAAGAACTTGATATGTTTTAGAGTTTTTCTGAAAATTGTATATATTCTGGACAACACATAAACTGTCAGAAATTCGAAAAATATTCCATAAAACGGCCATAGTAAAAATCGTTTTGACTGTCGGGAAGAGACACAACTGACCTTCTATAAAAACATCATAACGCATGAAATCCACAATTGATTTTATAGTTAGATATCGCATTCGTGCGTGATTATTAAGTTCCGTTTAACTTAAGATTTACAATTGGTGTACATGCTATTCTACGTTTATATCTTATAATGAAAAATCGTTGAACAATCTCAGTCGTCATATTTTGGAAAGTGTTGATGACGGACCAAGACCAACATTCATATACTCTTTTTGAGTTCTTTTTTTTTATTACGACAAAAAAATATTTTATTCGCGAACATGCTAAGATTTTGATTCGATGAATTTTACCTGAAAAGTATAAACTACGTTGCGTTCTCCCTTCATATTTCATTCTCTTAATATTTGCATTTTGTCGTCTTATTCTTTATTCTTTCATTTCTCTTCTATACTAAATATTCTATCCAGTCGATTGAAGTAGAAAAATGCTATAGAGAGGATGACGGTGAGAAAGAACATAGTTTTTATTGCAGCACAAAACAAAAAAGCTTCTTATCAAGTTTTTTGCTTTCTGTCTATTTTATTATTTGTCTAAGATAGTGTTTCATTACCACGAGTTTCGTTTACGTACAGTAGTTAGTAATTTTCGCCGAAAATGCAGCATTCTCTGTCGCTTCTCTATAGTTTGTATGAAAATTCTCAGAGTCGGTTGACGAAACCAAAGTCAGTATCTCTCATAAAATTGTCTGTTTTTAAACCCTATCAATAAATAATGCGTTTCAAACTTTTTGAACAAAGTAATATACTCGCGTGTAGAATTCCTCCGAGCAAAATTCAGTACTTATCGGGATATGATCGCTGAGCCCTGTACTGCAGTTTTAATCTCACTGGTTGTAGACCGAACTCGATGAACTTTATCTGTTTCAACTGTCGCTTTTTTTATTCTCATCCACACCTGTCCTAAGCATTATATCCATGTGTCTTTATTTGTTCTAATTGATGAATTTATCTATGATTGCAAATGTTCTGACTATGAGGTTAGGTGGTGATTTCTTCGACTATCTTTCTTGCAGATACGTTCGACTAGCAAGTCTGTTGGATACATGGCATTAAATAAATCCGATAAAAAGAAATGGGCGATTTCAGAAGAAAACCAAAGACGATTACTGGAACGATACAGTAACAACGAGGCACTCAAGCATGCGCAGGTTGCAATTGACTCCTTCGGAGACAAAAAGAAAAAGTTACGACAGCGAATGTACGTGCAACCCGTCGGTCAAATACCAAATTTTGAGAGACTTAGGGGTTCGGAGTCATATGACGACGAAGCTGTTGAACACTATCTTGAGCGTGCAATCCTCTATGAAAATGAGACAGCATTACGTGAAAAACGCGATGAGTATGCTATCATCGAAGACGACTTTGGGCCAATGTTAGAAAAAAAACTGGGAAATGGTACAGCTCCATCGTTCAGAACCCTTCGGAAGGCCTGTGAACGACTGGATCGAAATTCTGACCAACACTTCGAAAAAAGTCAGGTAACATACACATATTTCACTCAGCGAGGAGTTGAACAAGATGATGCTAAAGCCTGTGCTATGGCCATCGCATTCTATTCGGGTGGTTACAGCGCACTAGTCAGTACATCAGCAAATTACGTTTGTCGAATGGAACGGAAAGTAGCTGAATTGTATACAGATGAAGAAAACCTAAATACTGATGCGCTCATGGTCATGTATTACCTAATAAGAGGTCTTGCTCGTATCGATTTCCACTGGGGTGTTGTGACACGTTATGTTGACTTGGACAATGATGATGTAAAAGATTATAAACCTGGGGAAATCTTGACTTGGCTGCAGTTCAGCAGTGCAGACAAAGGTGGAAACAATATGATACACTTTCAAAATCGTAATACCGTTTTCAAAATAACATCACTTACTGGTCGAGCTATACAATACTTTTCGAACTGTGCCGACGAGGAAGACGAAGTTCTTTTTCTTCCACATTCGTCTTTTCTTGTATGTAGCGTCGTCGATAGTCGGCCCCAACGACAAATATTTCTGAGACAAGTAAGCCACACATTCTTCTATAGTTCGCTGTCTAAAATACATATACTTTGGTCTATTAGATCGAATTGGGTCTAAGTAAATACGTCATCTTGTGGGTTGACGACAATATTTTTGACGAGGACTGGGGAAATAAGCAACTCATGGAGAGAGCAACAACGCAAGGCACCAGTGTTAATGTTCATTTCATTCCCAAATCGAACACGGAAGCAGCACTTTCGTTTCTACGCTCAGAATTTGGACAACGTCTGAAAAAAAGAGAATCCTTTCGTATCGTCACTGATATGAAGCGAACAAATGAAATTGATCCTAGTATGGCGGGCGTTCGATTACTTGTAGGTGTACGGAAATTAGGTTTTCAACAAGCTTGTCTAATATTCACGGGCCATGAAGAATCAGCTTACAACAAGCTGCAAAAGGCGTTCGGTACTGATAAACCTCAAGGTATTAAAGTCACCCAATACGACTCCGAACTGGAGAAGTTTGTCCTTTTCAAACGCTGTTAGACAATCGAGCATAAACACAAATTTTTCCATTTCAAATACACTAAATGAACTTAGAATCGAGAACTTTTATAAATTACTCCTCTATTATTTTGACGATGATGATGATGAATAGATCAGACGAATACACATAATGAAAACCACCGTCAGTTTTGTGCACTGTTTTCTTGTATTAGAACAGAATGGAATAAATGAAAAAAAGAAAGAAATATAGATCGTGCTCAAAGATCACGTTTGTTCATAACATAGAGAGTTCGATCTATTAACTGATACGAGCACTTCTAGACATGTGATGAAGAGATTCACATGCAAATTCTTTATTGCAATTGCATTTATTTAAGAGAAAATGTGTAAACATTGCATTGCCACAAATCATTGCCTTCTCCTTTTCTTCAAAATATTCGGACAAAGCTATGTAAACTTAACTCTTCATATGGCAATGTCGAAACTAGACATGTATTAGGAATGAAAGCAATCGTATGGTTTTGAACATACATAGATCTTTATTGCTTTCAACGTAGAATCTGGGTAAAAATGTGAATGATTTTTTCCTTCTTGTATTTGACTTTTCCAGAATGAAACTTTCTGCTTCCATTCATGATTGTACTAAGGTAAACAAAAGTGTTCTACATATGATTTTACTATTTTAATCAAATAAGTAATTGTTTATCTTGTCTGTATTTGCTGACTCTTATTGAAAGACAGATCAGTCGGCAATGAAATCAGCAGGGAATGGTCTTTTCTACAAACAATAGAAAAATCATTTGCAGAGGCACACTCAATATTCACTAACTCAACAGTGCAAGATGCGCTTTATTCTTCGTCAGTGAAATAACAAGTAATATTTGTTGAATATATGTTTATTCATCTCTGATATGTTTCATAATTATTAGCAATTTCATACAATTTACCAAACTTTTGTGCCAATGTAACTTAGAATCGAACTTGGATAACATTTCCCGAAGGTAGCAGTACGGATTACAGAGGCTTTGGTCTACTCATCAACACGAATGATAGGTTCTATATAAACAGCCAGCATGACCACAAAATCTATATGTAGCTCTATGAAGTTACTACTCCTACATATAATATCTTCAATAATTTGAATACAGAATTTATTATCTTTCTGACGGACAATGGTGCTATGTATGAGAAGCATACAGTTATAGTTCACTTTAGGTCGTTGTTGGCACCGGTACTAACAGCTCAGATTTAACGACACTTTCTGCTCCTCATGGCATATATTGCTAATGCTGACTTTCGATTATACGTGGTTTACTGTAGAAATGATAAAATTCAATGATTTGATTCTGGATTATTGAATGGAACATCAATAGTCAAAAGTGGAACACCATCAACAGTATCATTTGATCAGCCAAACTATGGACTTGTAGTTATGGCTCATGGAAGTCTGTTCATCATAGATAGACGTGGACAACGCATTGTTCAATTCAGATACATTATCGGATGCCCCGGAGATACAATATTAAAGTCACCCGAAACAATAACCTTTGATAGTCATGGTAATATATATGTTACTGGTCGAGACAATGGAGGAATTCAAAAATTTGCTCTTGCAACGAATTGCTTTGGTGGATATTAAGACAAACAATATTCTACATGCATTTTCCATGACTACACAGAAATCATGCACAGCGTCAATAACTACACATGACTTGCATACAACTTCAATGGTCACAACTCTTCAGTCTTCTGATTCTAAAACGATTTTACACTCAAGCTGCCGTCCTTGCGAGGGGAAAATTGCGAAAGAAAAATATGATCAAACTCATGGACGCACTGTTGTGGAACAATCGATTCACACTCAGATTCAGCGCGGTTATAATCTAAGTGTACCTCCCACTCGTTCGCCAATTTCCATAAGGTTTCTGTTAAACAAACGTACATTCGATTATTATTTGCTTTTCTCTTTTCAAATAGTGAACCAAATCATTTGTCGACTCGATTCCGAAGGACATGTTTCTTTCTTCTTTCTCTTTTTTCTACTAATGCCACGTATTTTTTCTATTTCTTACGTTTCACATTCAACATGCAGGTAATCTTGCCATGTGCAGGTTTATTTTTCTCGCTTTACATATCGTCGAAGCGATGCGTAACATTTTATCGAATTATCATGAACACGGCGATTTCTTTTCCTACCTAGTTTACAAACTCTTCTTCCTTTTTAATTTCTCTCTTCCATAAACCATATCAACTAATCATCAACATGTCGCACAAAGTAATGTTTTTTTTAAAAGTACCGGGGTGCTTTGTAGATATAATCTAACCTACTTACACTAATATTTGCTTGGGATTGTTTAATTCAACTATGGCTATAAATAATGGCGAAACTAATGCAGGCGATGCGCCATTTGTATGTATTTTGATTATTATTTTATCGAAGTTAATGGTTCTGCCTATTTTTCTTAGGCTAAATCTGATCCACCAACGTCTCACTCATCAAATAAGCGACAACCGACGTCAGATGCACTACAAGAACACATTCGCGTTGTATCAGGATGTGCAGCCAATATCTTGTCTTCAATTGGTATTATATTCCTTAACAAATATATCTTCTCCCATTGCCAGATCAAAACGGTGACGTTAACAGCNTCTATAAAAACGATCATCCTTCATTTCAGTCTCTTTTCGTATACATCCTGAGAACTCAGTATCTTTGAAATAAAGGCGCGAGGGCACGAATCCTCTTGAGGTTTTTCATACCTCATTGAGGTCTATCTATCACCAAAAGATGGGATCTAAATCGCTTAATCACCTAAATATGTTCCCTCGTAAGCGATACATAAGAGAGAGAGATGTTAGGCAATAGGTTCAATACTTACTAGCCGTATGGCGAACAGCAAAGACCCGGTTCACACCCACAAATGCGACAATCGCCATCTGAAAAATACTTCCTCAATTGAAATCATCTCTCATAGATCAATTCAATACTTACTTCTGATTGTAATATTCTTGCTTGGTCGAGTCAAGTCATTTTTACAATGTTCCGGGGTGTCTCCACAACTTAGTTTATAAAAAAATGTAGGTATGAATGAAATCTACACGATCGTATCGATTTACAAGCCGTATTCAGAGCAGCATAGATCACCGGGACATCCTTCCAGTTTGCAGTTACCATATACTGAAGATGAACGGGAGAGTAGCATTAACTTGTTGAATATCTCTCCTTAACTTACCATAAATGATGAGAAACGAAATCAACACAACAGAAAGTCGAATATCGAAGATCATGTCTGTTCCTCACTTTTTTCCATGTAAAATAGTGATAAAAATAAAATGAAAATGCGTTAAAAGGAGATTCGATTTCAAAATTTGTGTTCGGTTTTTCTCCCATCCGAAAGCAGATACCGATTACATCTATGAAGAAAGAGAACTTATCTTTTGATTTGTAATGTAATATTGCAATGATAGGGTGTGGAATGTGCAAAATTAAATGTAAACAAGTATTCTATCTTTTGAGGGTTAGTCGGTCTATTCTATTCGAAAGCAAGAAATACGATAGTAGTTTAATACTTTCTAAATTCAAAGAATGAAGCAAACCGTCGGATGAATAAAGATGTTGGTTTATTCGTCCATTATTGTATTCAGTTGATCAACTAGATACGGCTTGTTTTGCATGCCTCCTTCATCGTTTATTGATAAAAATCATTCAAACACATCGGAAATAGATGTGAACATATAAGCAGAACCAAGTTTCAATTCTCAGTACAAACGAAACTCGTGAAAATAATCAGCGACACATGCTAATGATCTAGTCTATGAATTTTAAATTAACTTGTTGTTCTATTACTGTGGCAACAGAAAGGAAATATATGAGCTTTGCACAACAGTTCAATTTCTATCAGTTTCGAATTTTTGTACTGTATTGTTTGAATAATCAAGAACGTAAAGATTGCCGTGTTGATCGAACGACAAACTCAAAGCATTTGGTTGACGGACGATGACATCACCTTGAGCTGTTTCTTTCAACCAGCGTACTACTCGATTATTACCATAATCTGCCACATATAAAGTCCCCAATTCATCGACGATTATTCCACAAGGGTATGACAATTGGTTTAAATGATATCCTTGACCCTGTCCACCAGCAACGACAATACCTACTTTTGCATCTTTCGTCCACTTCACTACACGATGGTTTTCGTAATCTGATACATAGACTGAAAAGTTTTGATCGACGGCGATGCCATAAGGATTTTTCAGTTGATCGAGACGAGTTCCTGATCCATTTCCGCCAGCTACAATTGTCCCATTTGCGTCTCCTATTTTCCATCGCCTCACTTCGTGCTTATCTGAGTCGGCAATATAAAGATTTCCATCTCTATCCATAGCCAAACCGTGACAACTAACATTTGAAAGGATTGTTTCTGCAGTTGTGTCATTTCGGCGAGGCCATCGGACTACTCGCCTGTTACCACAATCACCAATGATCAAACAATCGTTGTTTTGATCTCTATGTAGGATCACCGATCTTGGTGAATTCAATTGCCCGTTATTACCCGCTATTACTTTTCCACTAGTTTCACCAATCTTCCATTCCACAATACGGTTATTACCAGTGTCGGCTACGATTATACTTTGATTGCTATCATCGATACACATACCCCACGGCCATTTTAATTCATTTCTTCCAAATACAGTGATCCCGTTTTGTTTCCATCTTAAATTGGTATCGATCTTGCCATCTGAAATAGATACGGAATCGCCAAAGAACGAAATCAATTCAATCTATATACGTACTTGAGAAAACAATGACACGAATCGGAGAAATGAATGATGAAGATTCTTGCTGTATTGAAATACTTGATGATTTGACAGAGTTTTCTTTCAATCGAATCAGATGAATTTCATTGAAGTCGTTTTCTTCTCGAATATTTCTCAGATGCTCCGTGAATTTGCACAATTCAGTTTCAATTGTATCAGTATGTTTTTTAATATACTGTCTTACTAATTGTCTTGACATTTCTGCCCTTTCTTGAATCTTCGTAATCGAGTCCCTTTCCCATTGGTTGACTTCGTCGATTAATGAATGTTTTTCTGGATTCGTTTTTTGTTCCGTTAGGATTTGTCGAAAAAGATTTCGTTGATTTTCTAATTCATCTAGTTCTATGCTAAGTGTTCTATTATGTTCGTTGAGATGATTCAAACAAAAACTTTGTAGACAACCTTCGCATTTATAGGCAACTCTATCTTTTCCACATGTAACACAATGAGTTTTACCAGTCGATGTCGCCATGTCGGTTGAATTCGTTGATTTACGTATGTTTGAAAGTGGGTAACGAAATATAAGACAGCTTTGTATGTCGACGTGTCAACAAAAGGTAGAGAACACGACTAAAATTTTCTCCTAAACATTAAAATGATGTCGCTCACAAGTAAAAGAATATTGTAGAATAAAACAACTTCAGTTTCAATTGCGCAATACGTTTCCTTTCTTTGCGTGCGACGAGGTGCACGCCACGATTTTGAATGGATGCAAGAATTGAATGCTCTCACAAAACTTCACTCTCCTATACATTAGTGCAATCATTTCATATTTATCGTTGTGTTGTCGGCATAGGTAAAAAAATGAGCGTACCTGGAATCGAACCAGGGTTCCGAGTTCCGTAGACTCGAGCGCTGCCACTACACCATACGCCCGTTGTGTTTGAACAGGCATCTAAGTTTCGAAGCGAACCATTATTTTCAGACAATGGAATCATATACTGAAAAACTTCGCATAATTGACAGCAGAGAATAAAGTGATGTAAACACTTTCATTCTTGCATATGTGAATCATATTTTAAAAAAAGGTAATCGAATTATACAGCATTATATAGTGACGTATCTTATCCTTGGTCTAGATATGCATGAATACACTTAATTATACACATATGATTGAAGAAGAAGTCGGAGGAAAAATGGAAAGCTTTGCAGCAAATCGTTCAGATGCGCCAAGTCGGTGTACATATATTCTTCATGGTGATCAGACAAAATGTCTAGATCATCTGACTTTCGAGTTTGTTTTCCTTCTTGAGATAAGTCTTTTCCTACGTCTACGTTTTANCACTTAATTATACACATATGATTGAAGAAGAAGTCGGAGGAAAAATGGAAAGCTTTGCAGCAAATCGTTCAGATGCGCCAAGTCGGTGTACATATATTCTTCATGGTGATCAGACAAAATGTCTAGATCATCTGACTTTCGAGTTTGTTTTCCTTCTTGAGATAAGTCTTTTCCTACGTCTACGTTTTAGACAAAAATCACATGGGTAGAAAATCTACAATAATGTCCTGGAGTTAATTGGTGATACACTACTTGTACTGTCAATCGTTTAAGACAAGATGCAGGCATTCAATGTAGTGTTTGTAAGTTAATTATATATACTCATTTGAGCAATAATTTCACTGAGTATTTGAATTTAGTGACAAAACTGGAATATATGAATCCTGGTGGTAGTATCAAAGATCGAATTGGTTTATGTATGATTGAAGAAGCTGAAAGGAATGGATCGTTGAAATCTAATGATACTATCATTGAATCGACAGCTGGAAACACAGGTGTTGGGTTAGCATCGATCTGCGCAGTAAAAAACTATCGATGTATTATACTGTTTTACCAGAAAAAATGAGCAAAGAAAGGTAAACATCAGAATCACATTTTTGGGTTTTGTCTTATGGTTTGCTATTCAGATAGACGCACCTCGGGCATTGGGTGCAGAAATTGTTCGTACGCCAACGATTGCACCGTTCGATTTACCTGAATCAGATATTGCTGTAGCTCATCGATCGAAAAGTAATATTCCTAATTCACATATCCTAGATCAATATCGAAATTCTTATAATTCCATCGCACATTATGATACAACAGCAGAAGAAATTCTTCAAGCATGCAGCAGTGAGTATAAGATTCGTCGAGATATCTACAATTCAATAGTTTGATTTTGTTATAGGACAAGTTGACATGATCGTCGTCAGAGCTGGAACAGGCAATCTACAAATGTATAACGAGTATTGGTAAATGACAGATGTTTAATTTCAGGAGGAACATTATCTAATCTGTCGAGAAAATTAAAAGAAAAATGCCCGAATTGCATCGTCATTGGTGGTGTTGATGTCGACGGTTCATTGTTAGCGCAACCAGAAGCAATGAACTCAATTGGAAGCACGTTCTATAAAGTAATTCCCTGCTTTTCAACTTCTTTCACGTATCTCATTGAGAATTGATTTTGGATCGAAGGAATTGAGTAGGGAATATTCTGCATCTACGGAATATGGATAAAATTGAAATGAATATAGGCATGGTTTTATTCCAACTGTACTTGATCGATCGTTAGTTGATCGTTGGTATAAAAGTTCTGAAAAAACATCATTTCAATGTGCAAGGAAATCAATTAAAGCCGAAGGCATCCTTTGTGGTGGATCGTCCGGCGCAGCTATGGGATGTGCTTTACAAGCATGTAAAGGTTTTCAATTGACCGAAAATCAAAATTGTGTTGTTATTCTCCCGGATTTCATGTGAAGCTATATTTAAGAATTTCAATCGACTTTCACATTAATCGAATTTAATTTGTTTTTATTAACACAGTTCGAAATTTCTGAGCATTGATTGGAGTGATGTCATAATCCCGTTACACCCGGTATTCATCCAAAAGCACACAATTCACTGCGTTACCATATGCAGCTGAGTCAGTGTATCCAACACGATACCCAAATAGAAGTGTATCCTGAAAAGCTGAGGAATATGAGTGGATTTGGTGTATCCAACACGATAACCAAATAGAAGCGTATCCTGGGAAGCTGAGAAATGTGAGTGAATTTCGCGTATCCAGTGACCACCCTCACCCTCACCTGCACCCTCGCCCCACACCCTCACTTACACCCTTACCTTATTTGAGTATCGGGCTGGATACACCAAATCCACTCATATTCCTCAGCTTTCCAGGATACACTTCTTTTCGGGTATCGAGCTGGATACACCAAATCCACTCAGATTCCTCAAAGTTCATGATGGTCGTATTCTTTCTGTAATATAAAAGTGGTTACCCGCGGATAGAACGGGCTGGTATCGATACCGGTGTTCGTTCGTTGATCAGTATCAGGGTATCGTGACGTTTGGCTGTCGATACCCGGTGTAATGGTATTATGACATCTATGCAAAAAATCGTTGGTAAAACGAATGAAAAACATTCAGCTTCACGAACCGGTGTTCTTGGAATGTCCATTACAATACAAATTCTTATTTAACACGATCTATTGTCATTATCGAATTAAAGCAAATATTAAGTACATGCCAGCAGGTCGACCAACCAAGAGACTAACATCATATCTTGATAATGAGGAGCATACCTTTTTCGATCGCCTATGTGGGTTTGTCTTGAGCTAAATCACTTCATATCTCGATGCGAAGGTTCCTTTCTTCCTATACATCAGATTAGTATTCATAGACTTGTTAGTGTTCACTCATGCTTTCTTTTGTTTTTCTCAAGTTGCCGTTCTCTCTTTGAAGCTCACATTATGATAAGACGGTCAGCGCCTAATGGCGAATTCGTCATAAGAAATAAATAAAGCATTTATAAAAAAAAATTTTCCTCTTTAGCTATAGCGAATAGATTTAGTATAATAACCAGCATTGATTTACTTGATTTCATTGCTAAACGCAATGAATCAAATCAAATCGCATAACAAAGTTACCTTCATCATACATAGATAACGAAATCAAGGACGATACAACCAAGCAAGTCCTTGACTCAGATTATGTGAAAACATGATGGAAAAGATAAAGAGGATACAATCACTCGGACCTTCACATTTATCTTTTTTTCGGTTTACCTACATTTTTGTGCTTATTTAAGTATACAAATATAGATTTTTTTTCTCAACTCTTAGAGTTACCATTTCGTTGTATAACAAGAGTTGTGTCACGATGAACGCATGTCTTTCTTTTAGATTTACTGCTGCATCTTCAACGTGAGAAACACAAATGAACGTGTTGATCGAACAGGTCTTGATGAAATTGCGAGAACCATTACACGATATGGAATCGATCTCGCAATGGAAGATGCAGATGTTCACATTTATCGATAGAATTGCTGAACTTAAAGTATCTTCTACCAACTCAGGTAGCAGTGAGAATATCTCTCTCGATCCAGTCGATTGGTCCGCAGCGCGTCACATAGCTCATGAGATGCTCGATGCATCATTGAACTTTATTCAAACCATACGAGATCGACCTGTTTGGCGACCGGTACCAGAAGATGTACGTACTATTTTAGAAGATGCACCTGTTCCTGAACGAAGTCGATCATTAGCGGATGTTTGTAATGACATACTAACATACGTGTTACCCTATCCACGNAATTAAACAAAAACGCAATCGACTTTGTCTCATCTGATCAGTTAAGAATTACTTTCTCTTCAGATTCTTCGTTGTTACTCATCGATACAATAGAAAAAAAAGTAGAATCAAATAGATGAAGTCGTCACTTAGAAGCGGAGCTACTAGGCTAATATCAGTTATTTCGTTTCCTTTTCAATAATATTTTTCAAGCAAATTAAAACTTATGTTTTTTACCATCTGTCAGAAAAAAAGACATACCTCATTTCACACAGGATGTGAAAACAAACTTTTTCAATCGACGATAAATACCCTGCACCATAAAATGAAATATGCAAATAAATCAACGATTAGTAACCAGTATTTGAATTCCTTTTCAGTGTTGCCGTCCTAGTTTTTAGGATTATGATGCAAAATTATTGGACATCTGCTGTTATTTTGACGATTTTATGAACGTAAGGATTTGTCGATGAGAAGCAGTGAGTTAGAGAAAAACATCATTCACTGCGATACTTCATCATGCGTCTCAAATTTTACTCACAATTTTTCCATCAATCTGTTCGTGACAAATGGGGAAGATGGAATGCTTTCAGCTCTCGATCATCAGACCCATTGATTAAAAGTCGAGAGATCTTATCCACTCGTCTATACATCACTCTCGTGATCATTTCTTTCGTCACTTTAACCACGTATACGATGATTATCGATCGAATTGAGAACAAAAGTGTGCCATTTCCAAGCCAATCCAAGTACTTAGTCTTGCAAAAGAAGTATGCGAATAATCTTCAATGCTCGTGCACTGGAATCGCAATTCTACACAAAAACTTTGTCGAAACAAAATCGATATTTCACCAGGTGTGTTCAAGTGAATTTCTTTCGCAACAATGGATCGATTTGGTGTTCAAAGTAGATTCAACCTCTATTTATCCAATCGATCTTCGAACAAGTTTAAGTGCAATGTGGCAATTGGTTCGATCATTTTGTCAAAGTGCAAACACTGCAATTCTGGATATACTCAAACAGTTTCATAACTCACCATTGCTGAGTTCTGTGCTATTGACGGAAGAGTTGTTGAAAGCATCCGTTCAAACTACTTTACATTCGCTACGGCAAACCATATCGTCGAGTTTTATTCAATCAGTGATTATTCCACAAAAAATGGCACAAGCCAATCAATTGGTAACAGCTTTATCAACAAATTATATTCCTGTAACAAAAGAATATGGACATATAACTGAGCGTTATCCATCTTATGACATTGGATCCTTGGAAGTATCGACTTACATTGGAATGTTCGAAAATAAATTTATATTACAAAATTCATCGGTAACTTGTTCTTGTAAGAACAACGTCTCGTGTCCTCTGCCTGGCAGTTTTTACAACTATAGTAGGTTAGACAAACTTGGAACTTATGACATGAACAAAATTCAACCGGTTACTACGTTACCGGGCCTTATCATCGATTGTTTACCAATTCAATCGACATTTTTGTCAACATTAGAATGTTTCTATAATCAAACATGCTTAGAACTTCTTCTCTCATTTTACTCAACTCAAACCAATTTTTCCGTTCTCGACAAAATTTTACCGAGTCGTTTCAACTTAACTACAAAAATCGAATATCTGGTCAGCGAACTTTTTGTGGAGAAAATTTTCAACGAAATAAACTACAGCAAATATTATGCTGAATGCAAGCCAAATGTCTGTCGCTATAGTTATTTAAACCGCTTCAATTGGTTTTATCTTATTACCATTCTTCTTGGACTTTTTGGAGGTATAACAGCGGTATTGCGCATCGTTACTCCATATATCATTCAGATATATTTCTTTATAAAAGCTCGTTTATGTTCGAAACAAGCACGAAGCATCCGCGACGATCAAAGTGTCGTCTCCAATCAAAATCGATTAAGAAATCTTTTCCAGCAAATTGAAAGTCAAATCATGAATTTGAATATTTACTCAAGTAGTTCGCAAGATCAAACTCGTATATACCGTGACATTCTCTCCACCTGGTTATACATCATTCTATTATTAGTTTCCATCTGTATAAGCATTTTCTATTCCGATTTGTCATCTCAAACAGTCAAAGAAACCATTCCGTATCCAACCATCGAACAATATACAGAATTATACAAACAATATTCAACAGATCTAGCTTGTCCGTGCACAAACATATCAATACCTTATGGTAAATTCCTGACAGTTCAAGTGAAATATCATCAGATATGCTCGAGTGATTTCATTCAATCCTGGTGGTATGAACGTTTTACGCCTAAAACATCTCTTGACATTGAAATGAATTTTGTTTCGTTCGCTTCATCATACTTTCAAACGTTAGCTGCATTTTGTGAACTCGCGAATGTTACAGTACAAGATGTCATTCAACGGTTTTTGACAACGACTTTTGTTGATGCACAACTCATATCCAACGAGACATTTGCTTTGACATTTCAGTCTCCAATACATTCCCTAATGGAATTAACACGGATTGAATTAGCCAATGCTATCTCGCTAGCGAACACTACGCTGCATGGTAACCATTATTTGAGTAATATGAGAACAAGCACTTCTCTTTGGCCGCAATTGTTCCGAATCGATGGAAAATATTTAATACGTATAATCTCTTCTCAATTGTTTAGTGTTGATGTAAAAAAACAAATATGTTATTGTATTTATGACTCGACCTGCATAGTAGATTATATGCTAATGCTCCAGTCGATATCCACGATTGTTAACTGGCAACTTGAAGGGATACATGGAGGTTGTACCGTGATTGATTCGGTATTGAAATCATCAATGATGTGCTGGTTTAAAAAAGGATGTGTGACTCGATTGCAAATACATAATTCAAATAGGAACACGTCGAACGCTTTGCCAATACGGTTACTTGATCGAAGTTTATCTAGTCGATATTCTCCGGATGCGCGAATTGAAAACATTTTAAATGATATTATGATTGAAAATTGGAATTTCTCTCATTCATTCGACAAATTTTATCACGAATGCAAACCTATGTCTTGTACATTCACTTACGAGAAGAAAACGAATGTTGTCTACATCGTTACGGTTCTTGTTAGCCTTATTGGGGGAATTAATATAATTCTTCGATGGATTTCTCGAATCATTATCACCATCGTATTGAAAGCCATTGTTGCGTTGAAATATAAACGATTAATGCGAACACGAATCGTAAAACAAGACGAGAACAGTAAGTTACTCTTCGGTTAGGCAATTCGAGGAAGAATTCAGGGATGACTCTTATATATTTTTAGGAACCAGGGGAATTGGAGGCAAGATTATGAGTATTTTGCATGAGTTTAAAAATAACATTTTGATGTTAAATATCTTTCACAATGAATCGATTGATATCGAGTCCATTCGTCGTCAACGAATATCAACACGAGCTTACTTAGTCATCTTTTCGATGTCGGTTTACATCATAGCTATCTATTTTATATATTCTAACACAACGGCAGTCCAATCGGTACAAAAACCTTCAGAAGATGACTATGACAAATTGTTCATGTCGTATGCGAGTTCGTTGGATTGTCCGTGCAAGAAAATATCGATCGACTACAAGCATTTTGTCGGAATCACTAGAAAATTTCATTCGGTATGCTCGAGTGATTTTACCACTAAAAACGAATGGCTTGATTATTTGTCTCGTCGAACGCATGCGGACCTACGCGATCGACGCGATGTTCGTGGAAATGGTCAAGCATATTTTTCGCTGCTTTCGACTCTATGCCAGATAGCAGAAACTGCAGTTGAAAATGCAAATAATCGATTTCTTCATAGCGCATTTATCAATATCCATTTGATACCGAAAGCTGATTTTCAAAACCAAATTGAAAGCACTTTCTTACAATTTCGAAGTATAACTCTAGCAAAATTCGCTCGAACTTTACAACTCACGCGTGATGTTCTGAATGGAAATGCTTTCGTGTCTTCCCATTCTCTCAATTGGGAATGGTGGAGAGATTTATCTCGTGATTTCTACACCCTACCGGCGCGACCAGTTGTGACTGAAAACGGATGTTCTTGTGGAACACGAAGTGATTGTACCCAGTCAGGAGGAGTTTACAATGCAGTAGATCAGTATCAAGTGTTCGCAATGCCTGGTTTGAATATCGGATGTTCAGCTGTTGAAACACTATTACGTTCGACATTGGAATGTTTATATGAACAGAAATGTATTGATTCATTAGTACATCATATTGCAACGAATTCAGGTGGAAATCCTCGAATAAATATGTCAAGTATCAATTCTTCAATGTCAAGTCGTTTTCAAAAGAATACAAGTATTAAATATATTATAGATGAATTATTCATGGAAGACTGGCACATCAATAGTTCTTATTCGTCGTTTTACAATCAATGCGCACCAGTTACATGTTCATACAAGATTCAAGTTGATGATTATGTTATTTATACGACTTCGAAAATTTTAGGCTTTTATGGCGGATTAACTGTTACTTTACGGTTTAGTATTCCGATTATAGTTGGATTGATTTTCCACCTACGAGATAGATGTCGAAGAAATACAATTAATCCCGCTGATTGATTTACTGAACACATGCTTTTGAATAAATAAAAATTTCGCCTTCCTGTATTCTCTTTAGTTTTTGCTTATTTCAGATTTCTGAAGGGGTTACAATACGATTTAACACCAATCAAAACCTCGCAATGACTCGGAACAAAATAGGCGTTGTTCATGTAAACTACCTACTTTCAAAGTAAATCGAAATAGTACTGTTGTGTATTTCAGATCCAGATCATCAATTCAAATACTGCCCAAATATCCAATATTCAATCAGTCGAACCGTATGTAACATTGTGGAGGTGAATACTTAGTAAAAAAGAGCGTTTTTTCAGATACCCACAGAGTCGAAGAAGAAGATCTTATCGAAGCATATGGGTAACTATATTTGTGATCATGGGTGTGCTAGGGATGATCGCGATCACGCCTGTTTTCATGAGGAAATTAAAAAATGCACGACTAGCAATGTTAACCACAGTAACATCAACGATTACAACGACAGGAGAGAAGACAACATCAAAAATAACAACAACAGCAACAACGACGACACAAAGAAGAAGTATATATATATATATATATGAAAGAAAAAAAGATAGTTCTTTGTTGCTTCTGCTGTAGTTAAAATCAATCGCAAATGGATGCAAAATGGTATTACTATTGTTGGAGGAAAGAAACCAGGAATACAACTGTTGACTCCCAGAAAAGTATACATTGACGATGAAGATGATCAGATAATTTACATTATCGACAGACACAATAACTCCATCATCAAATGGAAGCAAGACGTCAACGAAGGTGAAATTATTGCTGGTGGCAACGGAGCAGGAGACAGTATGAACCAATTAGACCTTCCGTCAGCTTTAATTATTGACAAACATACGGACTCGTATGTAATTTGTGATTGGCGTAACAAACGTGTTGTGCGATGGTTCAAACAAAACCATGACGAAGCACATCAACAAATAGTCCTGTCAGAAATTGATTGTTCCGATTTATCTGTAGATAGTGAGGAAAATTTTTATCTAGCAGATTATAAAAATCTTGAGATAAAACGATGGAGAAAAGAAGAAGCACCGGCAACGATTGTAGCCAGTGGAAATGCACTTGGAGATCAAAGCAATCAAGTGCATCTTCTTTTGAACTTTTTTGTCGATCGAAATCAGTCAATTTATCTATCAGATGCATACAATCATCGTGTATTAAAATGGGCGAAAGGTACCTCAGAAGCGACTGTGGTTGCTGGTGGACATGGTGAAGGAGATAGTCTCACACAATTACGTACTCCTTCGGACATAATTGTCGATCAACAGGGAAATATTTATATAGCTGACCAGTGGAATCATCGAATTATGTGTTGGTTAAAGGGTTCGAAAGAAGGCAGCGTTATCGTTGGTGGAAAAGGAGAAGGAGAACAATCCAATCAATTGAATCGTCCGTCGAGTTTATCGTTTGATCAACAAGGCAATCTCTATGTTGCGGACTATGCCAATCGTCGAATACAGAAATTTGATGTTATTGATTGATGAAGCAATCGTTTCGTCAAAATATCTTAGAGTATATTTCTATTCTTTAATTAAAAATAAATTGATTTATTGTATTTTCGAGCTCTCGAAGTGTACTATAGTAAGAAAAAAAGTTTAGCATATCACTTAAACGGTACAGTAACGCAAACTGCAAACCGGTGGTGCTACGAGAAAAAATACATAGAAGTCACTGCACTTAGTCACTGCCACACCATTAGACCAATTGCAAATATTGTTACCCCAATGGTAACAGACAGTTCTGGAAGACGTTGTACCAGTTTCTGATGGAAATGTGCCGTTAAACCAACCGGTGGCGTCTGTTTCACATCGATGTATAGGTACAGTATAATTAACCAATATTGTTCCCGCATCACCTGAGAATCGAAACCATGATCCTGAATCCGTCATTGGGCCTTGGCGATCGCACGCTACAGTTGTGCGCGCAGAGTTTATATTCCGTGTGCTATCGGTGATCAATGTGTAATGTGAGCACTGTGTTGGAAGAGGAGTCATTGTACTTTGCACTAATGCAACAAACAAATTTAAAAGTAAAAAAAAACTGAAGTCATTAATCTAAAGCACAATAAGGTCAACATACGTACCACATTCATTTTGAATTAGATCGAATTTTTGAATCCGATGATTACGTACATCTGTAACAAATATATTGCCATTGCTATCGAATGCCATGGCGTATGGTTCATTCAACTGATCAGGTGCTATTCCAGGTGTATGCGAACATCCAAACAAGCATTCAAATCCGCCCGATATAGAGCGAATAATTCGATGATTTCCACTGTCGACAATAAACATATGATCGTCACCATCAAGAACAACATCAGTTGGTCGATCTAAAATGAAAATGACTTCTGCTCCAAAGCCAGCTATTGTGATTCCATTTGCTTCATCTCGATCAAACCGTTGGATTCGATTATTGCGACTATCGGCAACATATAAGCGAAAGTCTTTGTCAACAAAGATTCCATGTGGATGATCAAGCATGTTCATTACTGGTCCAGAACATCCAGTACCGGCTATAACTCTTGGCCTTAATGCGCTACTGTTATGATCTAACTTATAAATAGTGTGGGATTCTGAGGACGAACAATATAGACTTTTGACTATATCAACAAAAAGTCCTGTACATGAACTAGCCACTTCCATGACAGATTCAATAACTGAACCGTTCTGCAACCATCTATCTACTGCACTCTTGTGGAAACCATTATCGATGTAGATGTCATTGTTCTCTGTGGCAAAGAGACCCCATGAATTAGTGAAGTTCGCCACGATAGTTTTGTTGTAAAAGGACGATTGTTTGTACCAGATTAAGATCTGATCATTTTGCCGTTCGGTTACGAAAATGTTGTCGTGTCGATTAATGAAAATGTCTGTTGGTTGCTGACCGATACAATTTTGGTCTGCGAACGTGGTTGCTGCGTCATTCCATTTCGCACACGAACTGAACTTAGGCTGATTGAAAGACGTACCTTATGACGACACAAATAAAAAGAGTCTAATTGAATCGAATAGTACAAAATGGTATTTACCTAGACAAGTGTAAGTAGTCGCTAATAAAATGATGATCCAATTTTTCGTTGACATGAATGAAATGCTGTTCTTTGTAAAACGTTAACTCTACCTAGTCATCATGGAAATCGAGTGGAACAAGAATAACAGTCGTGATCTAACATATTTTCAATCTACCAGTAATTTAATGTGTGGAACATGATTGTTCCATTCTTTGTTAATCATCACGTCTGACTGGTAACCGTCTTCCTTTGCGAAAGTCAGGTTTGATTTTCTTTCATAGAAAAGATCACGTAATGTTTTCCTCTGGGCACAAATTTTGTCTCTGATGATAAAGAAAATATTGAAAAAAAAAACCAGCCGAATGATATGAATATAAGGTAATCTCGCAAGTCACCACGATTATCCAACTTGGATGTAGATATGCAAATGAAATTATGCTTACATACTCAATGCAGAAATGAATAATTTCAAACATCGCGCAAAATACGTTTGATATCATTCATCTGTTGGTCTCGTTCGAATGATTGAAACCATCTGGAACGATACGCACCTACACATTTTTGAGTCACTTTTCGTACGTCATTGTTTACAATTTTGTTTAACGGTTACGAGACAATTTTTCTTATCTATTTTGAAATCTAACAATCATATTTCTCTCTATTTCTGATCAATAATCGAATGTTACTCTGTACACAAGTCTATTTTCTCTCATTTCATAGCTATCAACTGACAGTTTTATAATAAGTCATATCATGCATATTCATTCGTATACACAATACAAAAAAAAAAGAATGTCTCGAACCCCTGTCAACCGACTTGGCAAAGACAACAGAGTTCGAGCTGAAGCTCGTGAAATAGCTAGCGAACTTGGATATGAAAGTGGTGGTGTAGGACTTGGTTATGGAGGTCCACGTGTGAGAGCTATTTTTATTCCATGTCCACCACAATATGGTATGGGTGGCCAACAATATCCTCCTGGTGGCATGGGTGGTATGGGCAATTTTGGCGGTTACGGAGGAGGAATACCGGCAGTCCCAAATAGGCCTTTTGTGACAGCTAATGAAGTAGTTTACAATCAGTTTTAACATGAGTATAAACGAAATGGACAGTATTCTTGTTTTGCGTATTTCTATTTCGATCAATTAAAATTCTTGAGTCATTGAAATAAAATATCTGTTCATTATAGAGAACCGTTCTTTTTATATTGATGAATGAACCGAGTGTCATATTTCAAATATGCTTGTTTTCTTTCTTTATATATACGACGTGAAAGCTACGATCAATTCATTGTATAGTTAAATTCAGCATTCCACTTCCTGTACGATAAATAATTATTCGAATGAATTCAACTCGATGCTTGTTGGTACATACTTCACAAGCTTGGAATTGGAAGTTGTCGCAAGATGGACACTACCCTATGTTTTGGCAGGAAAGTGAAGCGGTATGAATAACGAGATGAGAAATCATCTGAGAATGAGCTCAATACTATTATTTTTGTGAATATGTATTTGTGTACACTGGAGAGAAGAACAAACTGTTGGTTCGTTGTTGGTTTTTGTCACGACACAAGTGTGTTATATATTTTTCGAAAAAAACTCGCGTCCAAACGTCGACTTGCCGTATAGAAATAGAGAAGCAAGAAAATATTTTGCTTGATGACTTTATCGTTCTATGAAAAAGTCACATCTATTGGGTACACTCTAATATTACGATAAATCAAATGCTTTAAAAAAATTGACTCTCAAGATAAAATAATGTAATATTTGCGGACAGTAAGAAGAAAATCACATATCAGGGCACATACATATACACTTCTCGCCATGTAGCTTTACCTGAAAATCGTCGTTTTCGTTGATATTATGACAGATAAATCTGAGTTTAATTGCTACTCGGAAATTAATGTTTCTGTCCATGATATTTGCTCGTACCTCTATTCATCTATATATAGTGTGAAAGGTACGATCAATTCATTGCATTGAAGTTCAATACTTTATTTACTGTGTACAGGAAAGAAAACTTATCTCAATGAATCCGACTCAATGGTTGCTGTTATGCTGCTTCGTAGCTTTTATGGTACATACTTCACAAGCTTGGGATTGTTACGAGACATGGAGCCGTTGTACACGCTGGTCCTCACCAGCGACTGGTATTCTTTGGCAAGATTGTAACAGTTATTGCCAAGGTTGCTACAATGCAGCGAGTGGAACTTGTCGCAAGGTAAAAACTACAAAGTGTCTTGGAAAGACGATTGAAGCATACCAATGCCAATGTTCAGGAAAGTGGAGTGGTAAAAATAAACCGTGGTGTTTTCCTTTTGGATTAGGAAGATAAAAAACTGAAATCGTGTAACAGTGCTATCGATTTCCTTCTTTCAATTGTTTCACTTTGCCTCCAGTAATCTTTTTTTTCTTTGTCAACTGTCGTCTATCAAATAAAATCCGCTCACTCTATTTCGTAGTAGAAGTCACATATCACTTCTGAGAAGGTGTTTTTTGTGTATATTAGAGAAGAGAACAAACTATAATGATTCATTTCTCTTCGATGGTATGACGCATAGACGTGTAATGTACTTTTCGAAAAAAAAATCATGTCCAGGCGTCGGTGTCCTATACAGAAGCAGAGAAACGACGAAATGTATTGTTTACTTACTTCGTCGTTCTGCCAGAGAAAGTTTATATTCTCATGTTTTTTGAAAATAGTACATAAATAATGTACTTTTTGTCGAAAAAAAGAATTATACGATGATTTATAACTAACAACTTTACGCAAGTATAAAAGTACAGATAAAATGCCACTGGATAATATTCATTTCAACTACAACAAAAATTATGAACTCAATATTTTCTATAGTTTTACTTCTTGGTTTTTTGTGTCTCGCATCGAATTCTGTCCAAGGTAGAAATCGTGTAGAACAATAATCCGATGAATATTTCTTTGTCTAGGATCGGCTCGTTGTCGTCGAGCGGTATCAACATGCATTTTGACACCTGAAACAACTGAAGGCCCATATTCATGGAACACAACTATGATGCGTCAAAATATCTCGTAAGTGAAACCGTTGTTATCCAAACGTCACTTTTATCAAATGAATTTTTACTCGGTTCAGAGAAGATCGTCCAGGCATTCCATTTCGATTGTATCTCACAGTCATGAACATCAATACATGTGAGCCAATCGTAAATGCAGCGGTGGAAATTTGGCACTGTGATGCACTTGGTATCTACTCACATTATATTCAAGCTAGTAACAATGTACAAAATCCTAAAACTGACAACTCCACCTATCTTCGAGGTAATTAAACATACTTTTCGACGTAAAGCATTGTTTTCTCGAATCTTAGGTATGCAATTAACCAATGCGAGTGGTGTTGCTACGTTTGATACCATCTATCCCGGTTGGTATACCGGTCGGGCCACACATATTCATGTTCGTGTTCATCTCAATGGAGTGTATGTCACATCTACTGGATACTATTCCGACGGAAGTCTTGTGAAAACTGGTCAATTATTTTTTAATGATTCATTGACAGATTTAGTTGCACAACAATCACCTTATTCAACTCATACAATTACACGTACATTAAATAGTGTTGATACAATTTACCAAAGTAGCACAATTACTTTGATGGATATTCAATATGTCAGTTCAGCAGCGGGATTATCAGGTGGTATGGTTACATCAGCTACGCTAGGTGTGTCATCGTCATCGACGTCATCATCAACAACAACAAAAGCATCCGCAAGCACAACTACTGCACGAGCATCCAGCACAACGACCGCACGTACATCCAGCACGACTACTGCACGAACATCAAGAGCAACAACGACTACGAAACGTTCACAAACGGGTGGAGCGAATAATTCTAATCGACCATGGTGGCAATTCTTCGGCTAAACATGTGTGTATGAATGATCATTATCGATGAATTTCCTTTTATTATAACAAGCTTTTAATCAACAAGAGAAAAACTTCTTTTTTAAAACTTCATATATCTTGTTTTTATAGTCGATGATGTGATTGAATCTCGTAACAGAGAGGAAAATGGATATTTTTCAAGATTGCTTTTAATAATAACAAATGAGTTCTGCAAATAGATATTTATCGCCTGAGAAAAACTCATCAGAAAGCCTTAGGACATCTCCGAGAAGCAAAAAGTGAGTGAAAGCGAAAAATCGATTTAATTGAATATATATATTTACGAAATCTCTCTTCGCACGCAAGATTCGATCTGTCATGAAACAACGACGCATCTTTGTAACACGAACGTTTTCTTTTGCTTTATCCTTCACGATGAGCAACGACCAATAATCGAGATCAGAGCAGGCATATATTCGCTTCTTTAATTACGGTTTGATGACGCTGCCGTAAGCAAATATCTGCATATCAAAAAAATATTTGGTGAGTTCCTCGTTCATTATACTGTCAGAAAAAATATCATCACATTTGGAGTTTTCTTTTTGCCTTCTCTATTATGAACTACTCTTTCGCTATCAAAGAAAATGATCAGGATGAGAATGAGTAATGATCAACTTCAATATACTCGATATATTCGAGTTAATTGTTTCATAATTAAGAATTTCCAGACAGAAGATCTTGATAAGTCACTCGGTGATGTTACTACCGTTGTTGATCACGTCATTTTTGTACACCCAACAAACACAAAAAGAGAATTGGTCTAGCGATGAGTTTCGGACTTTATTAGCGGATGTTAAAGAATGTAAACACATCCATACTCTCGCACCAGCACTTCAAACTCGCAACGCACCACTTTTCCAATGATAAACGAACGGTATCGTTTCGTTGAATACAGGTATCGATAAATTAAGTCTATATTTCAAAGGAAATTTCGAAAAATCTCTCTTTGTTTCGAATGATATGATCCGAAGGCAAAATTGACTTAGAATTTCAAATTTGTTACGAAAAATCCTATGAGAACATACTCTTGCAAGTTGTGCCTGAGCACCTTTTGTCCATTCTCTGACTATGTCCTTGCTCCCATAACAAAGCATTAAAAATTCAACAGGAAAGTCTTCCAGAAGATCAGTACCCCACTGCTCAACCTTATTATAATATTGGCGCAATGTTTTGCATCATGAAAGATTATTCAAAGACACTTTCATTTTCTTCGAAGTTTTGTTATAAAAAATACAGATAATCACCAATTGTTTTCTTTTAATATTTTTCCAATTTAGAATGCTGCAGCACCTAGCCGAATGAATTGTTAATTTATTCGTGCAATCCAATGGCTAGTTCTCTGTTCTTTTGTCGCTAATAATAGATAAAATAGCTACAGCATGTCTTCGAAACAAATTTCGACCCTAAACTTCATATTTGCTTTAGGTTATTATATTTTCTACATTAACGGTGTTAAATCTTTATTTCGTAAAACTTTTCGAATGGCGATTAAAAAGCTTTTGTCATAAGATACGACGCTCTGTGACGTTCGATTTGCCTAATTAATACACATTTCCTCTCGATCAGAAGCATAATGTTGTTTGCTATAATTCGATTGGTAATGAATCAAATCAACTGTGTTGATATTCCATATCTCTTTACCGAGAGGAATTTTCTCTTTGCACTCATATTTACTGCGTAGAACTGTCTAGCACAGCATAACATAGCTTGAAAGCGAACTTCAATCAACAAATCATCCACATACGTCTTTGATTATTTTATTGACGAGTATAGTGATGACACACATTACACAAAACAATTTGCAAAATCATATTGAACCTCTGCTTCTTGAGTATCGTGTTTAATCTTTTTGGACACACATGCGGCGAAAGTCATATACTGTAATTATAGATGATAATAAGAGTACAAAACAAATCTTCGACATGTGGATTACGAATCATGATCGGTCTTGGAAGATCGTTCAAATAGTTTCTTCATTTTACACCAGACAAATCCAAATTGTGATTGTCGCTGATCATCTGATGACTAAAAAAGAATAAGAACTCACAAATAACACAATCTATGTGCAATAAAATCTTTTTATTCACTCGTTTTCCAAGCCATAAGTGAAGCCGTTTAGGTGTGGAACAATATTCTGACGGATACTCGGGTTGACATGTTGCAGTACAGTGAAGATATTGTTCGATACGACTAATAATCAAACCGGGATCGTACTGGGAAGTTAATATTGTGTCTTTCATTGACTTATGAACAACGAAGGAAACACTTGTCAATTGTTTGAATTTATCAATAAAAGAAATCATATCTGATCTGAATTTAATAGTGCACTGATTGATATGTTCAACACAAGGAAATAAAGCACTTAACTTCTTGATATTACCGGCATTTTCTATGGAAACNGACGATGTGGGTGCGGCTGTGAAAGAATCGATGTTGCTAATAACATACTTCCGCAACAGAAAACTTTCCAACTTTGTAAGAGAATGAGTCATCAGATAAATTCCAGTAAGCTTCTATTATTTATATTACATTGCGTTTCGCTCAAAGAATTAACCGTGGCACTTCCGTTCTGTTTGCGACTACAAGCTCATATACGTACAAACATATACTCAGTGCATTGAATTATATTAGTTTCAACAAAAAAAAAACAGCGATGAAAAAAATCGTTGTCATTGGTGCTGGCCAGATTGGCAGAGAAACGGCTTGTCAAGTAGCTGAGATGGGCTATGATGTTGATATTATCAACAGATGTGCCAACGAAAGCCAAGCAACTTCATCTGCAGATCGAGCAGAGGCGCGGGCTATTATCGACAAGAACAGTCTCAAAGTGGTGGAACTACTGAATGCTCGTATGACAGGCAAACTAACATTTAAAAAGTATACGAATGGAGAAGAATTGGGTGTTTTGCTACGCGAAGCTAATTTTGTAGCAGTTTGTGTCGGAAGAACTTTAAATTCCATGTCGAATGAGAGTAAGAGCATATCTCATCCTTTACAAGGCGCTGTGGAAAATTCCAACATATATCAAGCTATTGGCAAAGCAATTGCGGAGAATGCTGCCGATGATGTGCGTGTTTTATCAACTGCAATTCCGGTGGAAGTCGTTGCAAATACTTTGTATAGTTCAATCAAAAAAGAACTGGAGCAAATCAATCGAACGAAAAGCTGAGTTTCATGCTGGACGCATCTGTGCAGGTGGAACTTTGCTTGATACGATTCGGTTTAAAAATGTAGTTTTAGATTACATCAACGCAAAAGAAGAAAGAGCTACCGAAATTATTGATGTTTACGCCCTAGGAAGTCATGGATATGGCCCATATTCAGATCAGTATGAAATTGGTCTTATGGTCTCGACACATTCTGGGTCTATTCGTTTTGGTGGTGTCATGAAGTTAGATGGGACTTGGACTGATGGAGATTTGATTCCATTCGATCAGATCATTAATTATGCTGAGAAACAAATACTGATGAAAGCTGCCTTTACACAACCTGTTTACATTAGGGACGCCGCTGGAGAACGAGCCTTGCACAAAGAAGCTGGCAGAAGTAATGCAGTGGTCATTAAAGCATTCCTACAACCGGAACTGTTTCAAGGTATGAAGTTGCCATTGGCCGTCTTCAGTAAAGACAAGCAGTTGTTTTACGGAGGAGTTTGTACAATGACTGAAAGCGGCTTGTTTGAAGAGATACCACCCTCAACTTATTTATCAACTCAAGAACAGGAAGTATTCAATGTGCGAATACGTGGCATACAGAAAGTAAATGATGCTATCAAAACTACTGCGCCAGGTACGTCTCTTGACACGGTTGTAGCATTGGGTAAACAATTGGATTTGCAACCTCAACAACTTATTGGCTTCATATAACTCGAGATCATTTTTGTAATGTTTCTTTGTTCTTCATTCTAATTCCGAAAAACGATATAATTATGATACCGCTCCTCATAAGAATTCATATCTTCAACAATCTCACATAACGAAGAATATCCGGATGTGATGGGAATTCATTATCTTCATGAGTATGTGCATGAGCATACATCCATGGATGACACGCTCGTTGTTCATGCATGATCGATCAGAAATGATCGCATCTATCTACAAAAAGCTAAGAAAGATTCAAAGTATTTTCAACACGATCTATAATTAACTTTGCGTCTTCCAGCGGAAGGAATTTGTACACAACTTACCTATGTGAGAACAATCACGAAATAAGATATGCGAACGGAATCACTACTAAGACAACCTGTTTACTTTCTATTGTAAAAGTATTGTTGTGCATGAATTTGGAAATGTTCCAGTTGTTTAGTCAGCAACTGCAGTTTTGATCATATGAGTTTCTATACAATCTAAAACTAACTTCACAATCAGTACATGATGAGTCTGCTGAAATTGATGATGATTTTCTCTTAGTGTTGTACTAAATGTGTGCAACTATTTACTTTATGCATGAAGATGTAGTTCATTTCCTCAGAAGTGTTTCTGTTCATTATATTTGAAAGAAAATAGCAGTTGTCCATTATATACAATAAACTTAGAAAGAAAAAAGCAGCTTTTTCTTCTTTAACAGTTGAAGAGTTTTGCCTTTTTCAAGATTTAAGTAGTGCAAATCTTTCAGTTTCTATCGTAGCACAACTATAGTTTGATCATTTGCAACAAAAATGGTTCTGCAGAAAAAAAGTGTATCAAGTTTAACATTTTTTGCGCACATACAATTGCAACTGTATAAAAACACTGCAGCGAACTCAATGTCACATACTAATAAAAACTTGTCATTGCATGTATTTCTAACTACCGGCTCCAACTGTTGAAAAGAAAAAGAATTAATTTCAACGTGAGTGAAATATCGCATTTGGGACACATTACAATTAACAGCTGAAATAGTTTTTCTGTAAATTGTATATATTCTGGACAACACATTGACTGTCAGGAAGAAATATAACTGACCTTCTATAAAAACATCGTAACGCATGAAATCCACAATTGATTTTCTAGTTAGATACTGCATTCGTGCGTAAATGGTAAGTTCTGTTTAACTTAAGATTTACAATTGGTGTACATGCTATTCTATGTATATATCTGCAGAAGTATCCAGTGTTCATCTGTACACTTATAATGAAAAATCGTTGAACAATCTCAGTCGTCATATTTTGAAAAGTGTTGATGACGAACCAAGACCAACATTCATATACTCTTTTTGGGTTCTTTTTCTATAACGGCAAAAATACATTTTATTCGCGAACATGCTGAGATTTTGATTCGATGAATTTTACCTGGAAAGTATAAACTACGTTGCGTTCTTCCTTCATATTTCATTTTCTTATATTTGCATTTTGTCGTCTTATTCTTTATTCTTTGATTTCTCTTCTATACAAAATCTTCTATCCAGTCGAGTGAAGTAGAAAAATACTATAGAGAGAATGATGGTGAGAAGGAACATAATTTCTATTGCTGCACAAAACAAAAAGCTTCTTATCAAGTTTTTTGCTTTCTCTTTATTTTATTATTTGTCCAAGATAGCGTTTCATTACTACGAGTATCGTTTGCGTGTAGCAGTTGGAAATTTTCGCTGAAGATGCAGCATTCTCTGTCGCTTCTCTAGTTTGCATGAAAATTCTCAGAGTCAGTTGACGAAACCAAAGTCAGTATCTCTCATAAAATTGTCTGTTCTTAAATACTATCAATAAGGAATGCACTTCAAAACTTTTTGAACAAAGTAATATACTCGCGTGCAGAATACCTCAGAACAAGATTCAGTACTTATCGGGATAGGATCGCTTAGTCCTGTGCTACAGCTTTAATCTCACCGGTTGTAGACCGAACTCGATGAACTTTATCTGTTTCAACTGTTGCTTTTTTGATTCTCACCCACACTGTCCTAAGCATTATATCCATGTGTTTTCATTTGTTCTAATTGATGAAGTTACTTTTTATAATTGCAAATGTTCTGACTATGACGTTAGGTGGTGATTTCTTTAATTCTTTCTTGCAGATACGTTCGACTAGTAAGTCTGTTGGATACATGGCACTCAATAAATCTGATAAAAAGAAATGGACGATTTCAGAAGAAAACCAAAGACGATTACTGGAACGATACAGTAACAACGAGGCACTCAAGCATGCACAGGTTGCAATTGATTCCTTCGGAGACAAAAAGAAAAAGTTACGACAGCGAATGTACGTGCAACCCGTCGGTCAAATACCTAATTTTGAGAGACTCAGGGGTTCGGAGTCATATGACGAAGAAGCTGTTGAACACTATCTTGAGCGTACAATCCTCTACGAAAATGAGACGGCGTTACGTGAAAAACGCGATGAGTATGCTATCATCGAAGACGACTTTGGGCCAATGTTAGAAAAAAAACTGGGAAATGGTTCAACTCCATCGTTCAGAACCCTTCGGAAGGCCTGTGAACGACTGGATCGAAATTCTGACCAACACTTCGAAAAAAGTCAGGTAACATGCACATATTTCACTCAGCGAGGAGTTGCAGAAGACGATGCCAAAGCCTGTGCTATGGCCATCGCATTCTATTCGGGTGGTTACAGTGCACTGGTCAGTACATCAGCAAATTACGTTTGTCGAATGGAACGGAAAGTAGCTGAATTGTATACAGATGAAGAAAACCTAAATACTGATGCGCTCATGGTCATGTATTATCTAATAAGAGGTCTTGCTCGTATCGATTTCCACTGGGGTGTTGTGACACGTTATGTTGACTTGGACAATGATGACGTAAAAGATTATAAAGCTGGTGAAATATTGACTTGGCTGCAGTTCAGCAGTGCAGACAAAGGTGGAAACAATATGATACACTTTCAAAATCGTAATACCATTTTTAAAATAACATCACTTACTGGCCGAGCTATACAATACTTTTCAAACTGTGCCGATGAGGAAGACGAAGTTCTTTTTCTTCCACATTCGTCTTTTCTTGTATGTCGCGTCGTCGATAGTCGGCCCCAACGACAAATATTTCTGAGACAAGTAAGCCACACATTCTTCTACAATTGACAGTCTAAAATGCATATACTTTGGTCTATTAGATCGAATTGGGTCTAAGTAAATACGTCATCTTGTGGGTTGACGACAATATTTTTGACGAAGACTGGGGAAATAAACAACTCATGGAGAGGGCAACAACTCAAGGCACCAGTGTTAATGTTCATTTCATTCCCAAATCGAACACGGAAGCAGCACTTTCGTTTCTGCGCTCAGAATTTGGACAACGACTTAAAAAAAGAGAATCATTTCGTATCGTGACTGATATGAAGCGAACAAATGAAATTGATCCTAGTATGGCGGGCGTTCGATTACTTGTAGGTGTACGGAAATTAGGTTTTCAACAAGCTTGTCTAATATTCACGGGTCATGAAGAATCAGCTTACAACAAGCTGCAAAAGGCGTTCGGCACTGATAAACCTCAAAGTATTAAAGTCACCCAATACGACTCCGAACTGGAGAAGTTTGTCCTTTTCAAACGCTGTTAGACTATTGATCATAAACTCAAAGTTTTGTATCCCACTTTAATAAACTACTCCTCTATTATTTTGATGGTGAATAAATAAGACGAATACACATAATAAAAATCCACATCAGCTCCATTGATTGTTTTCTTATATAAGAACAGAATGGAAGAACAAGATATAGATCGTGCTCAAAGGCCATGACAGATCTCTAAGATCACGTTGGTTCATAACATAGAGAGTTCGATCTACTAACAAATACGAGCACTCCTAGACTTGTGAGGAAGAGATTAACATGCAGATTCTTTATTGCAATTGTATTGTTTAAGAAAAGAAGGATGTAAACATTCCACTACCACAAATCATTGCCTTTTCCTTTCCTCCATAATATCTGGACAAAGCTATGTAAACTTAAATCTTCATATGGCAATGTCGAGACTAGAAATGTATTCAGATTGAAAGCAATCGTATGGTTTCGAACATACATAGATCTTAATTGCTTTCAACATCAAAATCTAGGTAAAAATGGGGATGAATTTTTCCTTCTTGCATTCGACTTTTCAAGAATGAAATTTTTTGTTTGCACTGATGATTATACTAAGATAAAAAAAAGTGTTCTATATATGATTTTATTATTTCAAACAAATAAGTAATTGTTTATCTGGTTTGTATTTGCTGAATCTTATCCAAAGACAGATCAGTCAGCAATGGAATGAGCAGGAAATGATCTTTTCTACATACAATAGAAAAATCATTCGCAATTTTGCAGAGGCGCACTCAATATTCACAAACTCGACAGTGTAAGATATGCTTTTGTTCTTGCTTTATTCATTATCAGTGAAATAACAAGTAATATTTATTGAATATATGCTTATTCATCTCTGATATTTTTCATAATCATTAGCTACTTCGTACAATTTACCAAACTTTTGTGCCAATGCAACTTGAAATCTGACTTCAACAGCATTTCCCGAAGGTAACAGTACGGATTACAAAGGCTTTGGTCTATTCATCAACACGAATGATAGATTCTATATAAACAGCCAACATGACCACAAAATCTATATGTGGGTCTATGAAGTTACTACTCCTACATATAATATCTTCTATAATTTGAATACAGAATGTTCTGTTTTTCTGACGGACAAAAAAAATGGTGCTATCTATGCTGATCAGAGCACCGCTAATGAAGTGAAGATGGCAATAATCAATCAAAGCGGTACGAAATTGGCCATGAGCACTGAAGCAGCGTGTACTGGACTTTTCATTGATACGAATAATACACTTTATTGCTCTATGTATGAGAAGCATACAGTTATAATACAATTTAGGTCGTTGCTGGTACCGGTACTAACAGCTCAGATTTAACGACACTTTCTGCTCCTCATGGCATATATTGTTGATGCTGACTTTCGATTATACGTGGTTTACTGTAGAAATGATAGAATTCAATGATTTGATTCTGGATTATTAAATGGAACACTGTTACAGGCATGTACATACACATGCCTTCACATCCTCCTCTCCATCTGTTTCTGTTATCTTCGATGCACATTCTCTTTCGCATCGTTTCGAATAAACAGATTGAGATTCGTCGCTCGAGCGAAGACATCGCTAATAAACACCAATAGTCAAAAGTGGAACACCATCAACAGTATCATTTGATCAGCCAACTATGAACTTGTAGTTATGGCTCATGGAAGTCTGTTCATCATAGGTAGACGTGGACAACGCATTGTTCAATTCAGATGCCCCGGAGGTACAATATTCAAGTCACCCGAAACAATGAGCTTTGATAGTCATGGTAATATATATGTTACTGATTGAGACAATGGAGGAATTCAAAAATTTGCTCTTGCAACGAATTGCTATGGTGGATATTAACACAAACAATATTCTAGATGCATTTTCCATGACTACACAGAAATCATACACAACGTCAATAACTACACATGACTTGCATACAACTTCAATGGTCACAACTCTCCAGTCTTCTGATTCTAAAACGATTTTACACTCAAGCTGCCGTCCTTGCGATGAAAAAATTACGAAAGAAAAATATGATCAAACTCATGGACGCACTGCTGTGGAACAATCGATTCACACTCAGATTCAGTGTGGTTATAATCTAAGTGTACCTCCCACTCGTTCGCCAATTTCCATAAGGTTTCTGTTAAACAAACATACATTCGATTGTTATTTGCTTTTCTCTTTTCAAATAGTGGACCAAATCATTCGTCGACTTGATTCCGAAGAACATGTTTCTTTCTTCCTTCTCTTTTTTTCTACTAATGCCACGTATTTTTTCTATTTCTTACGTTTCACATTCAACATGCAGGTAATCTTGCCATGTGCAGGTTTATTTTTCTCGCTTTACATATCGTCGAGGCGATGCGTAACATTTTATCAAATTATCATGAACACGGCGATTTCTTTTCCTACCTAGTTTACATACTCTTCTTCTTTTTTAATTTCTCTCTTCCATAAATCATATCAACTAATCATCAACATGTCGCACAAAGTAAAGTTTTTTTAAAAGTACCAGTGCTTTGTAGATATAATCTAATCTACTTACACTAATATTTGCTTGGGATTGTTTAATTCAACTATGGCTACAAATAATGGCGAAACTAATGCAGGCGATGCGCCATTTGTATGTATTTTTATTATTATTTTATCGAAGTTAATGGTTCTGCCTATTTTTCTTAGGCTAAATCTGATCCACCAACGTCTCACTCATCAAATAAGCGACAGCCGACGTCAGATGGACTACAAGAACACACTCGCGTTGTATCAGGATGTGCAGCCAATATCTTGTCTTCAATTGGTATTATATTCCTTAACAAATATATCTTCTCCCATTGCCAGATCAAAACGATGACGTTAATAGCTATTCAAATGGCGATCACTTGGTTGGGATTGGTCATCTGCTTGAAAATGAATACGTTCGTACGCAAAAGTGCGCCATTGATGAAAGTTTTACAGTTAGCTGGCGCGTTTTGTGCGTTCGTGGTCTTTACTAATCTTTCCCTTGAATACAATACGATCGGTACATATCAACTATTCAAAGTCTTAACAACGCCCGTTGTCGCATTGATCTCCTGGCAATATTACAAAGAGAAATATTCACGAATGGTTATCGCTACATTGATACCTGTTGTCATAGGTGTTTGCACACATTCAGTTAACGATATTAAACTGACAATTTTTGGTACACTCATTGCGTCTATCGGCGTGCTTGCAGCATCGCTCTATCAAGTTTGGGTTGGTGTCTGTTTGAAAGAGTTAGAAATGAAGCCACAACAATTACTATTTTATCAAGCACCTCTATCCGCGGTGTTATTGATACCGTGTATTCTGCTAATGGAAAGTTTACCGTCGTACAAAACAAGTGAAGAAGAACGAACTGCATTCTTTGCAGTTCTTGCGTCTAGCGTCGTGGCATTCGTATTCAACCTGTCCCTTTATTGGGTGATTGATAACACGTAAGTAGTTGTTGATAATGTCATCTTGCTTTTTTCTTCTTACATTGGAATATGATCTGTATTTCTCATGTAGATCACCCTTGACATACAATATGATTGGACATTTGAAAACTGTTTTGATACTCGTTGGTGGCTGGTTCCTATTCAATGACACATTGAACTTTAAACAATTCATTGGTATTTTATTGACATTATTTGGTTTATTTACTTATTCATTCGTTAAAATGGGCGAAAAAAATCAATTGCCATGTAAACGATGGAATACAGATCCTGGCAATAGTATAGTCTAAACGTCTCGACCATAATGTTCGTTCATTGACTATTTCTCTTTGCATTCTGACACAAAACGTATTCGTTCTTATGCATATAAATGTTGTGATAAATATTTGATACAATTCACTCGCAGTTCACTATCCCATTTTGTCAAGCTTTTCGTGATCGTCAAAATTCATGTTTTATGCGTAAAGATGTCAGAGATAATAAAACATGACGTCCTACAAATGCCTTTTCATGTACGAAATCCAAAGTCGTCAGTTCGATATGTGATTTTTTTAATTTCCGACTCTACGACAAAACATTTGAATTCATTCAATTAAACGACAATAACATAAGAAACAGGTTCGCTTTAAGAATACTGATTGTGTCAATATTCTATTCGGCAAGTTCAGCAGCAGCCTTACGCCGTTTTTTCTCCTTTTTCCGGCGTTTCTTCTCTTTGACTAAGATTTGTTCACGTTCAACTTCTGCTTCTTCCAAAGCAATCTTCATAACATCGACATTTTTCGGTGGTAATTCGCCACTATCATAGAATTTCAGACGATCAGATACCTGCTGTTTCAAATGATCACCGAACACAGCAGTCGGAATGTCTACAAGAAGTAAACATAAGATTTGNAAGAACACATTCGCGTTGTATCAGGATGTGCAGCCAATATCTTGTCTTCAATTGGTATTATATTCCTTAACAAATATATCTTCTCCCATTGCCAGATCAAAACGGTGACGTTAACAGCTATTCAAATGGTGATCACTTCATTGGGATTGGTCATCTGCTTGAAAATGAATACGTTCGTACACAAAAGTGTGCCATGGATGAAAGTTTTACCGCTAGCTGCCGCTTTTTGTGCGTACGTGGTCTTTACTAATCTTTCCCTTGAATACAATACGATCGGTACATATCAACTATTCAAAGTTTTAACAACGCCTGTTGTCGCATTGATCTCCTGGCAATATTACAAAGTGAAATGTTCACGAATGGTTATTGCTACATTGATACCTGTTGTCATAGGTGTTTGCACACATTCAGTTACCGATATTAAACCGTCAATTTTTGGTACAATCATTGCGTCTATCGGCGTGCTTGCAGCATCGCTCTATCAAGTTTGGGTTGGTGAAGGTTTGAAAGAGTTAGAGATGAACTCACAACAATTACTATTTTATCAAGCACCTTTATCCGCGGTGTTATTAATACCGTGTATTCTGCTAATGGAAAGTTTACCGTCGTACAAAACAAGTGAAGAACAACGAACTGCATTCTTTGCAGTTCTTGCATCTGGCGTCGTGGCATTCGTAGTCAACCTGTCCGTTTATTGGGTGATTGAAAACACGTAAGTAATTGTTGATAATGTCATCTTGCTTTTTTCTTCTTACATTGGAATATGATCTGTATTTCTCATGTAGATCACCCTTAACATACAATATGATTGGACATTTGAAAACTGTTTCGATACTCGTTGGTGGCTGGTTCCTATTCAATGACACATTGAACTTTAAACAATTTATTGGTATTTTATTGACATTATTTGGTTTATTTACTTATTCATTCGTTAAAATGGGCGAACAAAATCAATTGCCATGTAAACGATGGAATACAAATCCTGGCAATAGTATAGTCTAAACGTCTCGACCATAATGTTCGTTCATTGACTATTTCTCTTTGCATTCTGACACAAAACGTATTCGTTCGTATGAATATAAATGTTGTGATAAATATTTGTTACAATTCACTCGCGGTTCACTTTCCCATTTTGTCAAGCTTTTCTTGATCGTCAAAATTCATGTTTTATGCGTAAAGATGTCAGAGATAATAAAACATGACGTCCTACAAATGACTTTTCATGTACGAAATCCAAAGTCGTCAGTTCGATATGTGATTTTTTTAATTTCCGACTCTACGACAAAACATTTGAATTCATTCAATTAAACAACAATAACACAAGAAACAAGTTCGCTTTAAGAATACTGATTGTGTCAAGATTCTATTCGGCAAGTTCAGCAGCTGCAGCGGCTGCTGCTTCAGCTGCCTTACGCCGTTTTTTTCTCTTTGACTAAGATTTGTTCACGTTCAACTTCTGCTTCTTCCAAAGTAATCTTCATAACATCGACATTTTTCGGTGGTAATTCGCCATTATCATAGAATGTCAGACGATCAGATACCTGCTGTTTCAAATGATCACCGAACACAGCAGTCGGAATGTCTACAAGAAGTAAACATAAGATTTGTCATTAATTTGGCAGACAAGCAAACCTGAAAAACAATCGATTCGGGATGCAATTGCACATTTATTTGCCAGATATCGAGATATGCGACCCTTATTTTGTGTATTTGCTTTACCAATATATGACGAATAGTAAATAAGACCATACTTCGGTGTGTTGCCTTTCGTTTTCAACGCCCTAGACGAATCGACAAAAGTTTCACTTCAGTCAATACAGCTCTATCGAATATTTTACCGAAAAAGCGCTTTTTCAGCACCTAAGATTTGAATAGTCGGCGCAGGATACTTCGCAAGATTGGTTAAACTATCAGCATGAGCAATGAGACGTGCACCGACCTATAAAATGTCGCATGAAAGTAGAAAAACTAATTGTCAGCACTTACTTGTTCGCCAATCAACATTGCTAGATTTGGGGCGACTTGTCCCATTTTACTTTTCAGATACTAAACAAAAGGAATTAACGAAAACTATCGACGTCTAAATACATACTTCTTGTAAACTTTTTCGGTAGTCGAATAAATGAATGACATGATTTGCAAATGATTCGATGTTGATCAAATCAATCGGTGAAATATCCATTCCTAAAATATTCTCTCAAGCTCTGATATAAATCACACTTTATATAATCCACCGATCGTTGTCTTCATTGCCTCGAAGACTGCTGCTGTTTTTCCACTATCCATAGTGATTGCTTCTAACTCTTCCTGACGATCAATGGAGAAATCTTTTCGATTTTTGATTAAATGCACAGCACGTGCGTATGTGTAATTGTCAGTGATGATTTTGATCAATTCAGGAAAATGATAGCCATACCATTCTCTAAAGTCTGGGGTATAGACACGAAATAATTCTCTCGTGAAGGACTTTTCCGTACCAGATGCGCATGGAGAACGTATTGATATCTTTATCGAGTTGGCCGAGTAATGTGATGGACTGAATGATCATATTATCGACACGATTTACATTGAGCTTGACTTTCGCACGAGAATATGCATGACCCAAACCAAGTTGAGGTTTGCTTTGATTTTGATCGGTTAAGCCCTTGACCAAATTTGGGAAATGAACTCGAATACCTAGAAAAACAAACAGGTTCATGATTCATTTTCAGCGATCTTAATTGTACCTCGTAGGAGTTCGGGTACAACTCCCGTATGTCGACAAGTAACTGAAAAGAGTTCATTAATACTTGATGCGACGCGCGAATCAGCAACATCGAGAATCATTTTTGCACGCTTCTTCTCTTTGGGCAGATTCGTGTCGAGAAATGTCCGTAGATCATCATGGAATAAACCTTCAGAAACGGAATTGATATTGTCCAATGCATTGATACCAGATTGAAATGGATGAAATGCAACCAGTTTAACAACAGTTGCGAATTTCGATAAATCAACGACACTTGCTTCGACTTGCGGAATGTTCATACCAATCTCCTCAAACTCCCGAAATCGAAATAGTGCGTAGCCCGGCGCATGCTCGAATAGAATGTATAATTTTGACTAAAGAACCAAAAGAGAATCATAGTTAAGATCGCAAAAATCGTTTTTTCTCACCATATCTTCTTCTCACGGTTGTTCGATCAAAATACAAGTATGTATGACGATGAGCGCAGGATCGTTTTATTCATTCATCCATCAATCGCGTACAACGCTGAAAGTCTCACGGTAATTACACAGTTAACTACAATTCTAATAACCATTCGAACGATAACTACAGAAAAATCGTCTCACACGACATCAATAATACAATCAAGCACTTTCGTAACAACCGTTTAATCAACTTCAATTAAATATCCTACCAGTCAAGGTAATTCCTCGTTTATTGTAAGTTAATTCAATTTTTCTCATCTCTCATTTCATCGACAGCACCAGTACTTTTATTTATCAGACAGGGTTGTCCGAATGGTGCAATTTGTCGAGATATAAATACAAGTTATCATTGCGATTGTTTACATAGGAACATGTCTTCAGTTGATCAATGACACATTCGATTGCACATGTGCTCCGAATTGGACAGGAATTTATTGTGAAAACGTCAGTTATGAAAATACCGGCGTTTGTCGACCGTTATTAAGTGATTATCAGTGTGAATGTCTCGATTCTTCGTCATAAAGTATTTTCAAAAGTAACCGTAGCTCTAGGAACTGCCATGGCTTTCGTTGTTATTATGGACGTATTAAAATATCTCTTCAAAATTGATTCAATGCAGAAGTATACGCCGACGTGCTGTGACAGTCAGATTTATCTATAAAAATCCAAATTCAGTTGGTTAGAATGCAATGCTTTCTTGGTCGAATGAGAAGTGTAGCAAATGTGTCATGAACGATGAACACTTCAATATCGATTTGCATTCGTCTCGCTCAAACAAATGTGATTTTCCTTGTTTAGTTTATTTTCGCGAAAAAATGAAACAGTCTTAAGACTTCGTCGAATAAACAAAAATTTATTCTCTTCTGAGACACTTTGAAAATAATAAAGGATGGAAAATGTCCGCTTGAATATTTGTTTACTTTTATCTCAATAGCATTTAAATATATTCGTTTATACCGGAAAATTTTTTGAATCGATCAAAAATTCAGATGAAATCTGGGTTTTTATTTTAAAAAAATCAAATGTTGATATGTCACGATCAATACAATTCAGCGGTTTTCAAGTGGCCACCACTATCGTCTCCGGCTGCCAGTAAAACTTTTTCATTTGATAAGATCGATGCTGTGTGATAATGCCGTTCATAATTCATATTTCCTGTCATTGTCCAGATGCCAGTTAATGGGCTATACAACTCAGCACTGCTAACGATTTGCCCACCAGCCACCAAAAGTTTGCCGTTCGATAAAAGTAATGCTGTATGATAATATCGTCCGACATTCATATTTGGAGTGTTTGACCAACTCCCAGTTGATGGATCATATAGTTCAACACTTTTGAGAGCACCACCCTTCCATCCACCAGTGACTAGCACTTTTCCGTTTGATAATACACATGCTGCATGTTTATACCGTTGAACATTCATATTTACTGTTGCAGCCCATTCTAAACGAGAAGAAAGGAAGTTGTATTTGAAAACCTATGTCATAGTTTCTACTTCAGCTTACGATCTGAGCAATTGAACAGGGAAAACTTTTGAATTCGATGATTATTCCGATCAATAACGAAAATATTACCAAACGAATCAAAACTTAGACTTGACGGCTGATTCAATTGATTAGAACCTGATCCACCTTTTTTTTATCACAACCAATAAAGCAAACGAAACCGAACTGACTTTGTCGAACAACTCGATTATTTCCGCAATCGGCAACGAACAAAGTGGAGTTATTTTCATCGAGAAAAATTCCTCGAGGATTTCGAAGTGTTGCCGATGTCGAACCGAGATCTCCTGTTCCTGCGACGGTTAACAAATAACTCCACTCATCGGGCAACGATTTCGCAATAATTTGATGCTGGTCAGACAATGAACAGTAAAGAGTTTGGTTTAGGGTGAGAAAGATATCGATACATCGCACACACAAATCCATTCGCAGGATTGAATTTGTCATATTCGATTTCATTTCGGTCACTCCATTTATCGATGAAAAATAAATCTCATCACTTGTCAATACAAATAAACTTGAGAGATTTGTTGAATTGGCTGTGATCGATTTAACTAAAGTCGAATTTACTCCGAGAAAGACGCGAATAATCCCCTGATTCTCATGTGGAATATAGATTGTGTTGCTTCCATCAATAACTATGTCAATAGGATTTAAACCAGCGATACTCTGATTGCCAATAGTTGTCCCAACTGGATTCCATGCTAAATCCGGGGAAACTATTGGTCGATTGTATGAAATCACTAAGCCAAGTAGGTTTTTATTGTAAAATTTACACAAAACTTTTCTTCATTTTACCAGAGACCTCTGTAATTAGAGATGAAAAAGAAGAAATGATGGAGTTTATCATTGAACAACATTGCGATGAGATGAATTCTGATAGATTCGAAGTGAGTTTTTATAGAGAATCTTTGTCAAGTTTTCATTCTATGCCAAGGTTCTTAGAACCTAACTTTTAAAATAATCAAAATGACATTTTACTCAGATTGTTCTCTCGATAGTCTAATAACGATAGTCAATCGTCATGTTTCCTCCTTTGACTTATCCAATAAAAACAAAATCTATAACAATACCATTCAGATAAATCGATTAAGTCATGCGCGTATCTGCAGACATGCATGCAAACGTATAAAATCTGGCAGACAAGTATAAAAGTAAATATATTTTTTTCTCAAACTATATACAAACAATCAAAACAGACTGTTCATCGAATAACTCTATCGACAAATATTTACATCAAGCTTCTTTCCGTAAAACGCTTTAAAAAATTTCCATGAAAATTTTCTATTCCCAGAAATGCCAATAAGTTCCCCGGGTGTACACGAACATTCACTATAAACATCCATATTGTTTCGCATATTTTGACTCTCCTTTCTTACTTAATAATCGACATTTATATGTTGACACAATAATTATTGTTGACATCGGAGATAGCTATACCTCTCAACAAGACTGCCTAGTTCTATATTTTTCTTGTAGATTATCTTCTGGCGTTGTGTATGTACATGTCGCACCACATTGTCTTTCCATATACTAACAGAAAAGGAAGTTACTTAATGTATATTTTCATAATACAACGGTATCTTTCTTTTCCTTCCATAAATATTCTGTTAGGACAATTGCCTCCTGACAATCAGATAGAACTCAAGTGTTTCTTTCTTTCTTTCTTTCTGCTTCGAGTAATATTAGGAGATAAAAGACAAGAATTTCCTGTTCTCTTTCTCAGTAGATTTATAATTCGAGTATAGATACTCTGTGTAATTCGCACTTGAAGATAAAAATTCTTTAGAATATGAATCAACAAATGGTATCATCAAGCCGAGTTTCCCATATTTCAAATATGTTTCCATCAGCAAATATCTACGAAGATGAACAATATATTGCCAATCTGATTAATCAACACTTAGCTTTATGTTCTTCAGGAACGTCAGGCAAAGTAAAGACGATTATCAAGCCAGTTCTTACGGAAGATATCTCATTATTCAACGACACAGGTTTCCTTGCTAATCAACTTCGTCGTTCGGAAATCTCTTATCCGTATGAGTACAAGACACCTGCGAACGTCAAGCAAAACTCTGGTGTTACATTACGAAACACCTCAATGACTATGAATGATTTCAATGAAGAAATTCCAATCAATGTCAATCATCTACGTCGACAACATAGAGGAGGAATTAGAAAACGAATCAAATCGATTTCCAAAGTGCGTGTTGTTGATCAATACGCCGAACCGATCGAGAGCGCTGTGCAACTTGATCATCGACAACAATCGGCTCTGTCACATCCGATTACCTATAGAATACCTGTCCATATTCAACCGACTACTGGCACAATTTCAAGAACGCATTATGCGATAACAGAAGAGGAACCCGCACAAGAAACATCGATTCATGTTGCTCAATTACGACAGCCATTATTTGCACCGATGAACGCAGCTAAACGGTCAGTTTCGTCTATTATCGCACCAAGTGCATTCGTTGACATACCCGTTATTCACGAAACTCCGATTTACGTTGATCGTGTTCGTCATCTGATTCAACCGCAAATTGTTCAATATAAACCCTCGAAAAATATTCTACCATCTATAGGTTCACTGTTTCAAACAAGATTCGCGCTGAGCCAAGAGGAATCGCCTGAAGAAAGAGCGTTTTATGTTAATCAACTACGTCAGCCTACTAGGAAAGACCCATCGAATAATGAGAAAGGATGGGTTTGGGTGTAGAGAGATTGATTATGTTTATTTTATTCATATTTATTCGCCCTGATCCCTTGCTTGGTTTTTTATCTTTTTTTAAATTTTACACATCGCACTTTGAATAATGTCTAATGCCAACGATTCTCGATTATGTATAATAAATATTTATCAACAATATGCACTTTCAGCGTGAAGTATGTGTTTAGATTGTCTATCTGATCCGAAATTTCGACGACCTCACTCTATTTTGCCATCCTCAGTATTTCTGGGATAACTGTCGATCGTCGTTTGCATTTTGTCACACAATACATCATGAGTTTGACCAGTCGTCGAACAAAAAGTTTTAAAGCATAGTTGTCAAACCACCAAAAATTCCCACCACTGTTGTCACAATATAGGTCCATGCGTTCCTTGTTTCAGTAGTTGAATTTGTAGAATATTGACTTGATGTTGAAGAGTTAAGTGCTGTGATATTGGATGCTGAGTAGAGATAGGGCTATATTGTGTTCATATATTCTTGACTATAGAAGCATTATAAGGTCGACTGGAGTAAAGCTTCAATTATATAATATTCTGTAAAGAATACGAGAATTGCAAATAAGGTGGTAGGGTCCGGATGTGTGGCTATAATAGTTTCTAGTAGGCATTTTGATGAAAGCTTATAGCTACAGTTCCCAAAGCCGAGTAGGTCTGCGGATGTTTCCATGTCATCAGAAACTTTGAGTTGGTAGTTTTTTGACCCAGCGGAGAGGAGCGCATTGCTCTGAGTTGTATCACGAATCAAATAGAGTGACAAGAGAAAACTGGTGATTGTTGATGATTCGAACTGATCAATCAGTGCTCGAGTTTGGACTCGAAAAAGATCTTCAGATGTGATTGATGCAGTGGCATACTGATAGGAATAGAACTATTGTAAACTATTTCTGATTGTTTTACTCGCACTTTTGCATAACATCTGCAAAGCTTGGAATGAAAGTGGATCGATCCATTAAAAGTCTTCTAGAAAATATATTACATCATCTTCCGTGAAAAAATAACTTATTCATCGGTGAGTGATGAAAGCATTGGCGAACACTCGATGAAATGTGTATCGAATTTCAAAAGACTTTTCATAGTTGGCAGATGTGGACGAGTGAAGTATATGAGGTGAAGATTGTGAGAGACAGGATGAAGAGAAGAACGAATAATCTTGTTGATAGTCATCTGTAAAAGGTGAATGAATGGAAACATATGAAGAGTTTGAAAGTAGTCCTTGATTCGGTGCCATACCGTTGGTCTTTGTGTGACAATCGTGCTTACTAGGGTAGTACAAAATACATGGCACTTGATGAATGACGCTGCATGTATAATATACTAATGATGAACATCTCGTTGTAATTGATTTTCAAGAAATACGTAAGTATCTCCACAGTAGGAGCTTTTTTATTACAGGAAGGAAGTAAACCGTATATATCTCATTGAATAAAGCAAATTCCTTACCTTCCATCATGAAAATACACTATAGCTGTGTAATCAATAACTGTAACTTTGATAATTCACTATTGAGTAATCATTAGAAAACAGGTGGTGAAATTTAAATAAGAAGCACTGGAAAAGAATAATAAATGCTAATGATGCCCAAAATCACATAAAACTACTAAATGAAGAAAGAACACTTCTTAACGAAATTCTCAATGAGTATACGATGATTGTACAAAAATCTACATTCCCTTCGCATTAGTATTGTTCGCTCTTTGTGCAACTATTTACTTTATGCATTAAGATCTAGTTCTTTCTTCCGAGAAATGTTCTTCTCGTTTATTTCAAAATATTAGTTCTGCCTTATATATCTATGCCGAGTACGTAAGGAAAAGTTTTTATTTCCTTTTTCCACACTTGAAGAACTTTCTGCAACTAAACGTTAATTTTTCTGACATAGTCCTGGAAATAACGAATAACTCAATCATATATCGGGGAAAACCCGTACGGGCACAGAAAGTAGATGAGAGAGCTGTGTCATAAAACTTTTTAAAGAAGAATTGACAATTAACCACTAAACAGAGTTGATTTCATTTTATGTATGGTATTTCCATATACGCATTGTATCAATTAATAGTTGAAGATATTTTCTGATGGGCTATACTTGTTTCTGTTGTTTGCACAATTTAACATACTTTTTCAATGACAAATCAAATATGATTGTCGCTATTTTCCGAGAAGACGCCACATAGAAATCAATAAATTCATTCTTAGCGGTCCAGGAAAAACATCTAACTGTTCGTACTCTAAATTTTGAGAAAAAAGAATCTTATCTTTTAACACTTGGCAAGAAAATACCCTACCAAAACGATTGCTTGGAAATGTTAGTCATCATCAAATATGCATTCGTGTGTCAGTCGATGAGTCATTTTTCTTCTTTTGTTATTGCAACACGTTTTGCATATATAAAAGGACAGAAGAATACATGAAATCATTTTCAAAAATGCCCGAAAAAACTTCGCTGACATTACTTGATCACTTACCAACAGAAATTTTATTCGACATCTTCGACTATCTTTCATGTAATGATATTCTTTACGGATTTTACAATTTGAACGAGAAATTCAATCGTATTTTATTGAAACATTATCCACATTTGAACAGCTTGGAAACTCCAAACAATGACTTCTGTTTCTGGCAAACTATTCTTCCGATTATTCAACTCCGAGTCGAACATGTAACAATCACTAACATTGACTCTGGTCTCACGCTGAATGCATTCCCGAATCTCAAATCACTCGTCATCTCCACAGCAGTTCCCATTTACTCCGATGAATTAAAACCGATAATCGAAGATGAAAAAATTCGTCAATTAACAACACTTAAACTTCGCAGTGAAATTTTGAGCCGCGCAGATCTCAATGAAACATCTTATATTATTCCGACTATATTTCATCATGCAAATTCTATCGAAACATTCGAGTTTCTGTTGACATTTGACTTACATCGATTGGAAAAGGTGATTAACGTCACAATTCAATCATTGACAGTGAAACTGAGAAACAGCGCATCTATACTAACTTTAATAACACATATGCCGAACTTACGGTATCTAAATGCTGTTTTGCATTCAATGTTCACCCACCCTTCACGAGAAGAGACTGTCAATTTAACACACGTTCAATTAAGAACACTTCTCATTACATCAGAAAACGGTTCCATCAACAAACAGAGTTTCGCCAGATTGTCAAATACGATTAAACAATTTGCAACCTCATTAATTCGTTTATCGGTGAAGTTAAGTTCGATCATATCGACAGACAATGAATTTGATGGTGTTATACTTCGAAGCCAACTGCTTAACTCGATGACACAATTGAAAGTGTTTCACCTTTTTGTCACCTTCGATGAAGAACCAACAGAAATCAGCACATTATTATCTACATTTCAAAATAAATTTTGGTATGACCGTCGTTGGACGGTTGGAATTCATGGAAAGCATTTATTTACATTACCATTTCACTTTAAGGAACTGAACTGTTTTACTGATGTCGATCAAATCAAGTCAAGTAATTCGAAAATGTTATCTACATGGCCGTATGTGACATCAATCGATTTGTCTCAATGCAACAATTTGGATGTAAATCTAATCAAACAACTGAAATCCAACATGCCGAATTTAACAACAATAATCTTGAGTGCGGAATCAATGAACAACTTAGTGATAGATGAGACTATGACACTAGATAATGTTAGTACTATTCATTGTAAAGGCGAATACCTGCAAAATATTAAACAGTGGCTAGTCAAGGTCGTTCCGAACACAAAAAAGTTGGTTTTATCATATCGACCACAATTTGCAACGTCTTCCTTGAACCGAACGGTGTATTTGCATAAACTTGACGCATACTTTCGTGGTCCACAAACGATTAGAAATTATACTTATTTTCTAAATATTCAACATGTTGATGTCAAATTTACCGTGGACGACGCCGAGGATTTCTATAGGCATGTGCTTCGCCTTATTCGGGAGTTTTTCGAGATGTTCAAGAATTTGAATTCATTTACATTTGAGTTTTATCAAAATATTTTCGATATGAACAATATCCCGTTCAGAGAACCAAGCGAACTGGTTAAGTTATTAAATATGGACAGAATTTCGCAGAAATATCGCCTGAAACGCGTCGACAACTATATTCAATTTATCAAAAAAACTCGTGTATAATTTGTTAGAAGTGTTGTATTGTTTATTTTGTCATTGTGTCGGTAGATTGTTTCGCGTTAAACAAAATTTCAAAAGTTGATCTCATTGAATAGTTTCCGGAACATTCCAAGCAAAGTAAGACACATTTTCCATGGTCCTCTGTTCTGACATCATGTGTCATACAGCCACCCGAGAAGATCGTCAATAGTGATCTCCAACATCTCTTCCAATCTGAAGTCTCTGTTTGTAGTTATTTTACAATGTTCTTCGGGGGAAAAGTAAACAATTAACATTTGCACTTGCATATCTGGCCTCAAATTTCAATTTTTCTCTCTCTGAAACAATTGACGACGTTTCTCTTCAGCCTTGAGATGACTGGACTTTATCGCAAGAAGAAAGCTGAGAAAATATATTGGAAAAATCCAACTAACATCAATAATGCATAAAGAAAGAGAGAAAGCATACGCCTCCGCCCTTGAAGAGTATATAAGTGTATGTACGCATGATTATTTAACGCATAATCATATCAATCAGTCTGCTATTGTTTGAAAATCGTAAAAAAGATTAAATGTTTTATCGTTGTAGGCCCTTTTCACGAACAGAAATATGGCGCAGCCTATCGACGGCGTACATACGGGATACAATTCTAACAGAAATATCGATAATGCTATATTGTGCGGAAGTGAGGTTTCACGCTAAAAAGTTATCCAACGGAATACCTTTCACGTCGATTTTTAGGGCGTGGATGGAGCACCTTACAAGTGGTCGCGTTATGTTCAGCCGCGTTCGCAGTGGGTAATCTCTTCATTATGTATCATACGGTATCTACGGTTTACCCCACATTCAAAGGTGTTTGGATATATCGAATCGATAATATTGGTACCAGTATCTACCTGGTTTAAATTCATTTCTCAAATATTTCATAGTTTAGAACTGTTTTTATCGCCAATACCGAAAAGTTTGGATCAAATTAACGATCGATGGAAGTCAAAAGATTATGATAGTATTCTTTGGGACGAGAGTTGTCCCACACATCGGATGGTACCACGTGAGACGTTATATATACTTTCGTTCAAGTACGGAGTTTCGGTTGATGAGCTAATTGCTCTGAATCCTGTTGTGAACGTGACGGAGCGAACGACTGGAATAGTCCTACGGCTACCATGTTATCGTATGTATCGAAACTTTCATTAAAATCTGCTCTACTTAAATAAACAATAATGCGATTAGTGTTGGTGCCACAGCGTATATACTATCATGGCATGTATTCTGGCTCAAAAGCGTGGTTTCAACACACAATTGGCCCAGAAGACACAGTTGGTAAGCTTGTTCGGTATTACGGTGCTGAACTGGAAGATATTGTAAATGCCAATCCGGGAATTCAACCTGACGTAGTGGTTAATGGACAAAAAGTTCAAGTACCTATTAGCATTCGGCAGGCCATTCGGTTTCTGTCTGCCTACCAAGGAAAATAGAGATGNTACCAATCTCCTCAAACTCCCAAACTCGAAATAGTGCGTAGCCCGACGTATGCTCGAATAGAATGTATAATTTTGACTAAAGAACCAAAAGAGAATCATAGTTAAGATCGCAAAAATCGTTTTTTCTCACCATATCTTCTTCTCACGGTTGTTCGATCAAAATACAAGTATGAATGACGATGAGCGCATGATTGTTTTATTCATTCATCCATCAATCGCGTACAACGCTGAAAGTCTCACGTCAACTAGACAATTAACTACAATTCTAACAACCATTCGAACGACAACTACAGAAAAATCGTCTCACTCGACATCAATAATACAATCAAGTACTTTCGTAACAACCATTCGATCAACTTCAATTAGATATCCTACCAGTCAAGGTAATTCCTTGTTTATTGTAAGTTAATTCAATTTTTCTCATGTCTCATTTCATCGACAGCACCAGTACTTTTATTTATCAGGCAGGCTTGTCCGAATCAGACGTATATTAGCATTCATTGTAACATATCTGCAACACCATGTGAAGTTGTAAATCTCTGTCAGAATGGTGCGATTGTTTACATAGGAACATGTAATCAGTTGATCAATGACACATTCGATTGCACATGTGCTCCGAATTGGACAGGAATTTATTGTGAAAACGTCAGTTATGAAAATACCGGCGTTTGTCGATCGTTATTAAGTGATTATCAGTGTGAATGTCTCGATGAAGCTTATTTTGCTCGACATTGTGAAACTTCATCGAAGTCGATTCTTCGTCATAAAGTATTTTCAAAAGTATTCGCTTCGATTGCTACCGTAGCTCTAGGAACTGCCATGGCTTTCGTTGTTATTATGGACGTATTAGAATATCTCTTCAAAATTGATTCAATGCAGAAGTATACGCCGACGTGTTGTGATAATCAGATTTATCTATAAAAATCCAAATTCAATTGGTTAGAATGCAATACTTTCTCGATCGAATGAGAATGTGTAGCAAATGTGTCATGAACGATGAACACTTCAATATCGGTTCGCATTCGTCTCGCTCAAACAAATGTGATTTTCCTTTTTTTTAGTTTATTTTCGCGAAAAAATAAAACGATCTTAAGACTTCGTCGAATAAACAAAATTATATTCTCTTCTGAGACACTTTGAAAATAATAAAGGATGGAAAATGTCCGCTTGAATATTTGTTTACTTTTATCTCAATAGCATTTAAATAGATATTCGTTTTTACCGGAAGCTTTTTTAGATCGCTCAAAAATTCAGATGAAATCTCGGTTTTTATTTTTTTAAATCAAATGTTGATATGTCACGATCAATACAATTCAGCGTTTTTCAAATGACCACCGCTATCGTCTCCGGCTGTCAGTAACACTTTTCCATTTGATAAGATCGATGCTGTGTGGTGATACCGTTCATCATTCATATTTCCCGTCATTGTCCACATGCCAGTTAATGGGTCATACAACTCAGCGCTGTTGAAAACACCACTGGTACCTTGTCCGCCAGTGACTAATACTTTTCCATTTAACAACGTTGTTGCTGTGTGAGAATATCGTGCACCACTCATCGCTCCAGTCATTGTCCAACTGCTAGTTAATGGATCGTACAATTCAGCACTGCTAACGATTTGCCCACCAGTCACCAATAGTTTGCCGTTCGATAAAAGTAATGCTGTATGATAATATCGTTCGACATTCATATTTGGAGTGTTTGACCAACTTCCAGTTGATGAATCGTATAGTTCAGCACTTTTGAGAGCACCACCCTTCTATCCACCAGTGACTAGCACTTTTCCGTTTGATAATACACATGTTGCATGTTTATACCGTTGAATATTCATATTTACTGTCGCAGCCCATTCTAAACGAGAAGAAAAGAAGTCATATTTGAAAATTTATGTCATATTATCTATTTCAGCTTACGATCTGAGTAATTGAACAGGGAAAACTTTTGAATTCGATGATTATTCCGATCAATAACGAAAATATTACCAAACGAATCAAAACTTATACCTGACAGCTAATTCAATTGGTTATAGAACCTGATCCAGCTTTTTTTTATCACAACCAATAAAGCAAACGAAACCGAACTGACTTTGTCGAACAACTCAATTATTCATTGAATCAGCAATAAAAAAATATCCGCTTCCGTCCAACATTATTGCTGTTGGGCAATTCAAGTCAATCGTCTGAATAGTTTGTCCGAGAAGCGAACCTGATTCGAATGATTGAATCCGATTATTTTCGCAATCGGCAACGAAGAAAGTTGAGTTATTTTCATCGAGAAAAATTCCTCGAGGATTTCGAAGTGTTATCGATGTCGAACCGGGACCTCCTGTTTCTGCGACGGTTAACAAATAGCTCCACTCATCGAACAACGATTTCGCAATAATTTGATGCTGATCAGACAATGAACAGTAAAGAGTTTGGTTTACAGTGAGAAAAATATCGACGCATCGTACATACGAATCCATTCGCAGGATTGAATTTTTCACGTTCAATTTCATTTCAGTCACTCCATTTATCGACGAAAAATAAATCTCATCACTTGTCAATACAAATAAACTTGATAGGTTTGTTGAATTTACTCCGAGAAAGACGTGAATAATCTCCTGATTCTCATGTGAAATAAAGATTGTGTTGCTTCCATCAATAACTATGTCAGTAGGATTTAAACCAGCGATACTCTGATTGCCAATAGTTACCCCAACTGAATTCCACGCCAAATCCGGGGAAATGATCGGTCGATTGTATGAAATCGCTAAACCAAGTAGGTTTTTCTTGTAAAATTTACAGAAAGTTTCTCTTCATTTTACCTGAGACCTCTGTAATTAGAGATAAAAAGACAAAACGACGGAGTTTATCATTGAACAACATTGTGATGGGATAAATTCTAATCAATTCGAAGTGAGTTTTTATAGAAAATCTTTGTCAATTTTTCATTCTATGCCAAGGTTGTTAGAACTTAATTTTTAAAATAATCAAAATGACATTTTACTCAGATTGTTCTCTCGATAAACGTTTGTTGACCTTTCTCAGTGCGTCGTTTAATTTCATGAAAAATAGTTTTCTTAGAAAATTTTCTCAAACAACTTGCCCCTATCCTCATACGTCTAATGACGATAGTTAATTGTCATATTTTCTCCTTCGACTTGTCCAATAAAACCGAAATCTATAACAATACCACTCAGAAAGTTCGTTTGGACGTGGTTCCATTCAGATAAATCGATTAAGACATGCGCGTATCTGCAGACATGTATACAAACGTGTAAAATCTGACAAACAAGTATAAAAGTAAGTATCTTTTTTTCTCAAACTATATACAAACAATCAAAACAGACTGTTTCTCGAATAACTCTATCGAAAATATTTACTTCAAGCTTCTTTCCGGAAAACGCTTTAAAAACTTTCCAGGAAAATTTTCTATTCCCAGAAATATCAATAAGTTCCTCGTGTGTACACGAACATTCACTATAAACATCCATATTGTTTCGCATATGTTGACTCTCCTATCTTACTTAATAATCGATATTTATATGTTGAAACAATAATTATTGTTGACATCGAAGATAGCTATATCTCTCAACAAGATTGCCTAGTTCTATATTTTTCTTGTAGATTATCTTCTGGCGTTGTGTATGTACATGTCGCGCCACATTGTCTTTCCATAATACTAACAGAAAAGGAAGTTACTTAATCTATATTTTCGTAATACAACGGTATCTTTCTTTTCCTTCCATAAATATTCTGTTAGGACAATTGCTTCCTGACAATCAAATAGAACTCAAGTGTTTCTTTCTTTCTTTCTGCTTCGAGTAATATTAGGAGATAAAAGACAAGAATTTCCTTTTCTCTTTCTCAGTAGATTTCTGATTCAAGTATAGATACTCTGTGTAATTCGCACTTAAAGATAAAAATTCTTTGGAATATGAATCAACAAATGGTATCATCAAACCGAGTTTCCCATATTTCAAATATGTTTCCATCAGCAAATATCTACGAAGATGAACAATATATTGCCAATCTGATTAATCAACACTTAGCTTTATGTTCTTCAGGAACGTCAGGCAAAGTAAAGACGATTATCAAGCCAGTTCTTACGGAAGACATCTCATTATTCAACGACACAGGTTTCCTTGCCAATCAACTTCGCCGTTCGGAAATCTCTTATCCGTATGAGTACAAGACACCTGCGAACGTCAAGCAAAACTCTGGTGTTACATTACGAAATACTTCGATGACTATGAATGATTTCAATGAAGAAATTCCAATCAATGTCAATCATCTACGTCGACAACATAGAGGAGGAATTAGAAAACGAATCAAATCGATTTCCAAAGTGCGTGTTATTGATCACTACGCCGAACCGATCGAGAGCGCTGTGCAACTTGATCATCGACAACAATCGGCTCTGTCACATCCGATTACCTATAGGATACCTGTCCATATTCAACCGACTACTGGCACAATTTCAAGAACGCACTATGCGATAACAGAAGAGGAACCCGCACAAGAAACATCGATTCATGTTGCTCAATTACGACAGCCATTATTTGAACCAATGAACGCAGCTAAACGGTCAGTTTCGTCCATCATCGCACCGAGTACATTCGTTGACATACCCGTTATTCACGAAACTCCGATTTATGTTGATCGTGTTCGTCATCTGATTCAACCGCAAATTGTTCAATATAAACCGTCGAAAAATATTCTACCATCTATGGGTTCACTGTTTCAAACAAGATTCGCGCTGAGCCAAGAGGAATCGCCTGGAGAAAGAGCGTTTTATGTTAATCAACTACGTCAGCCTACTAGGAAAGACCCAGCGAATAATGAGAAAGGATGGGTTTGGGTGTAGAGAGATTGATCATGTTTATTTTATTCATATTTATTCGCCCTGATCCCTTGCTTGGTTTTTTATCTTTTTTTATTTTACATCGCACTTTGAATAATGTCTAATGTCAACGAGTCTCGATTATGTATAATAAATATTTATCAACAATATGCACTTTCAGCGTGGAGTATGTGCGTGTAGATTGTCTATCGGATCCGAAATTTCGACGACCTCACTCTATTTTGCCACACTAGGTGACCTAAATTAGCTTTCTATCCTCAGTATTTCTGGGATAACTGTCGATCATCGCTTCCATTTTGTCACACAATACATTATGAGTTTGAGCAGTCGTGGAACAAAAAGTTTTAAAGCAGTTATCAAACCACCAACAATTCCCACCACTGTTGTCACAATATAGATCCATGCATTCCTTGTTTCAATAGTTGAATTTGTAGAATATTGACTTGATGTCGAAGAGTTAAGTGCTGTGATATTGGATGCTGAATAGAGATAGGGCTATATTGTGTTGATATATTCTTGCCTATAGAAGCATTATAAGGTCGACTGGAGTAAAGCTTCAATTTTATAACATTCTGTAAAGAATCTGAGAATTGCAAATAAGGAGGTAGGGTCCGGATGTGTGGTTATAATAGTTTCTATTTAGTAGACATTTCGATGAAAGCATACAGCTACAGTTCCCAAAGCCGAGCGATTCTGTGGATGTTTTCATGTCGTCAGAAACTTTGAATTGGTAGTTTTTTGACCCAGCGGAGAGGAGCGCATTGCTCTGAGTTGTATCATGAATCAAACTGAATGACAAGAGAAAACTGTTGGTTGTTGATGATTCGAACTGATCAATCAGTGCTCGAGTTTGGGCTCGAAAAAGATTTTCAGAGGCGATTGATGCAGTGACATACTGATAAGAATAGAACTATTGTAAACTATTTCTGATTGTTTTACTCGCACTTTTGCATAACATCTGCAAAGCTTGGAATGAAAATGGGCCGATCCATTGAACGTCTTCTACAAAATATATTACATCATCTTCCGTGAAAAAATAACTCATCCGTCGGTTAGCGATAAAAGCATTGGTAAACACTCGATGAAATGTGTATTCAATGTCAAAAGACTTTTCATAGTTGTCAGATATGTATGTGCATGGATATGTGAGCGTTGGTAATTGAACGATAAATGTTTTATTGATGTGGACGAGTGAAGTATATGAGATGAAGATTGTGAGAGACAGGATGAAGAGAAGAACGAATAATCTTGTTGATAGTCATCTGTAGAAGGTGAATGAGTGGAAACATATGAAGATTTTGAAAGTAGTCCTTGATTCGATGCCATACCGTTGGTCTTTGTGTGACAACCGTGTTTACTAGAATAGTACAAAATACACGGTGCATGAGGGATGACGCTGTGTAATATACTAAACTCTGTTTAATAAGAATATCTTGTAGCTGAGAAGTAGAAAATATATGCCTGCATGGTGAACATCTGCTTGTAGTTGATTTTCAAGAAATACGTAAGTATCTCCATAGTAGGAACTTTTTTTTATTAGAGGAAGGAAGTAAACCGTATGTATCTCATTGAATAACGCAAATTACTTACCTTCCATTATGAAAATACACTAGCTGTGTAATCAATAACTGTAACTTTGATAATTCACTATTGAGTAATGATTAGCGAACAGGTGGCGAAATTTAAATAAGAAGCACTGGAAAAGAATAATAAATGCTAATGATGCACAAGATCGCATAAAACTACTAAATAAAAAAAGAACACTTCTTAACGAAATACTCAATGAGTATACGATGATTGTATAAAAGTCTACATTTCATTCGCACTAGTATTGTTCCGTCTTTGTGCAACTACTTACTTTATGTATTGAGATCTAGTTCTTTTTTTCCGAGAAACATTCTTCTCGTTCATTTTAAAATATTAGTCCTGCCTTATATATTTATGCTGAGTATACGTAAGGAAAAGTTGTTATTTCCTTTTTCACACTTGAAGAACATTCTACAACTAGACGTTAATTTTTCTGACGCAGTCCTAGAAATAACGAATAACTCAATCATATATGGGGGAAAACCCGTACGGGCACAGAAAGTAGATGAGAGCTGTGTCATAAAACTTTTTAAAGAAGAATTGACAATTAAACACTAAACAGAGTTGATTTCATTTTGTGTATGGTATTTCCACATACGCATTGTATCAATTAATAGCTGGAGATATTTTCTGATGAGCTATACTTGTTTCTGCTGTTTGCACAATTTAACATACTTTTTCAATGATAAATCAAGTTATGCAGAGAAAAAAATTGATACCAAAAAACGGCAGCGTGGAACAAATACTACAGGACAGCTTCTGTCTGTTTGAGATCGAAAATCATCATGCAACTTGAAAGTGTTTAAAAGGGAATAAAATCTATTCAGATTGATATCTGTACGAGATGTATCAGTAGTAGGTGAGACAAGTCAAATATGATTGTCGCTATTTGCCTAGAAGACGTCGCATATCAATCAATAAATTCATTCTTAGCGGTCCAGGAAGAACATCTAACTGTTCTTACTCTAAATTTTGAGAAAAAAGAATCTTATCTTTTAACACTTGACATGAAAATACACTACCAACACGATTGCTCGGAAATGTTAGTCATCATCAAATACGCATTCGTGTGTCAATCGGTGAGTCATTTTTCTTCTTTTGTTATTGCAACACGTTTTGCATATATAAAAGGACAGAAGTATACATGAAATCATTTTCAAAAATGTCTGAAAAAACTTCGCTGACATTACTTGATCACCTACCAACAGAAATTTTATTCGACATCTTCGACTATCTTTCATGTAATGATATTCTCTATGGATTTTACAATTTGAACGAGAAATTCAATCGTATTTTATTGGAACATTATCCACATTTGAACAGCTTGGAAACTCCAAACAACGATTTCAATTTCTGGCAAACTATTCTTCCGATTATTCAACTCCGAGTCGAACATGTAACAATCACTAGCATTGATTCTGGTCTCACGCTGAAT